AGGTGGGAGCAGGTGGTGCGAGTTCTGATGCCCAGATTTGGAACACGTGCAGTCTGAAAGAGGCAATTGACGATGAGAACATTGGAATACCACCAGATGAGCCACTGCCTCATGACGATCGAGACATCCCTTATTTCGTGATTGCTGACGCTGCATTTGCACTACGCACCACCCTGATGAAGCCTTTTGGTGCCAAGCCACTGACCATGGAGGAGAGGATATTTAACTATAGACTTTCCAGAGCTAGGAGATGTGTGGAGAATGCCTTTGGCATTCTTGCAAACAGATTCCGGTGTCTTCTGAGTGCTATGGCACAGGTGCCTTCCACAGTGGAGACCATCGTCCTCGCCTGCCTGTGCATCCACAACCTCCTGAGAGACCAGGCATTCGCTGAGCAGAATGGCATGATGGACAGAGAGGACGACCAGCACAACATCATCCCGGGTGCATGGAGAGAGGGGGGCGTGCTGGATGACATGCAACAGAGGCTTGCTGGCAACTACACCACCAAGATTGCCAAGCGCCAGCGCCTGTACCTCAAGCATTACTACAATGGCACCGCCGGAGCAGTTCCCTGGCAGCAGCGCATGGCCTAAGCAGTTGGCCAAACATAACAAACAGACAAATCATGCAACTCTTGATGCTTAAATTTGACAACAAAAAAATTGAACAAGGAAACGAAAGGATGTAAATTTATTTATAAAATCTGTGTTGAGAAAATCTTTAAAACTCCTATTTCACAAAACAAATGGAGGAACATTGTTTCAAAACCAATTGTTACTTGGGACAAAATTTATATGATTCCTTTTAAATGTTCTTTATCAAGAAAACTTAGATATTTACAATATAAAATTCTTCATAATATCCTTGGTGTTAACAAGTATCTGAAAACTGTTGGTATATTAAATTTGTGTTCTTTTTGTTCAAAACACTCTGAAACTATTGCCCATTTATTTTGGGAATGCCCCTTCAATCGTCGATTTTTAGATGATTTTGAAAAATACACTCTCAAAAGTGAAATAATGTTATCTTTTAATGATTTTGTATTTGGCATACCAGGTGGAAATTATTCTTCTTTTAATTTTGATATTTTATATGCTAAATATTATATATTTTCAACTAGGTGTTTAAATGGTTATTTATCGTTTTCATCATTTAAAAAGAAATTAAAATATCAGCATGAGATAGAACGCGTTATGAACACGCAACGAAATAAGTGTATTGTACATCTTGATGGGTCGAGGCACATCGAGCTTATTTAAATTTTGTTTTGCTATATTTTGTTTTCTATACATGTATAATATTGTTTGTAATGTATTACATGCATTTTGCATTTGATTATCGTCGGTGGGCGTCCAAAATCTCGTAAGTCGTTTTTTTTTTGGAAAACACTAGATCTCAGACTTGATGAAATGCGACTGAAGCAAGCTCCGATCCACGTGGGTTTATATGCGGATGGTGCGGACGCCAGAGGAAGTCATCCGTAAGTCCGTAAGTCATCCGTAAGTCGTCAGTAACATGTGTCAGCGGGTTGGCAGCGGATGGGTTCATCCGCAGGTTTTACCCGTATCATCCGTAATTCATACGTAACATCCGTAACTAATCCGTATCGTCCGCAGAATATAGGTAACTTTTGCTCAAATTTCCGTATTGGGGTTAAAAATTACGCATTTTCATTATCCAAATATACGCAGGCATCCGCAGGTCCGTAACATGGCCGTGTGACTGTAGCATAACGAGCGCGCTTCGCTTGCTCACTACCGCCCCTCCCTAAAATAAGATCCTAGCTCCGCGCCTGCATTAAAATATATAGCTATGATGTTGACTAGGTTGACAAAATAATTCGTATATTTATGTCGTCGAGGAAATTGATCATTTGCGCATACGCAAGTACTATACGTAAAGAACAGAACCCATTCAGACGGGAAAATTAGATGGCAGCCTTTTTGCTTATTCCCATTTATACAAATCATTTTGTTGCAGTTTGATGTCAGTTCTTCACGATAAGCCAATTGCTCTTCTTCCGGTGGTTCCGTGAGTCCCTAAAGTCAGTGAAAACAAAGTACTCGAATGAGACGGGGTGTTTTACACACTAATATATATATATATATATATATATATATATATATATATAGTAAAGCTACATACACTTAACTGAAGGAAAGAAACCTATAGAAGACGGACTGGATATTATTGAAAATACTATTCTAAACAAGAATGTACTACATGTACTACATTACGTTTCAATTTCACGAGAGAAATAGAACTCGAGAGGGGAAGAAAAGAAGAAGTGATGAAAATGAAAGAAGACTAATAGCATGAGAGGAAAGAAAAGAGCTAAGAAGACAAGAAAAGGGTGTAAAAAGGAAAAGAAAGAGCAAGAGAGAGAGAGAGAGAGAGAGAGAGAGAAAGAGATATCCTTGAGCTTTTGATCGGCTAATGAGTAATAAATGAAACAGATTTTGAGCGGAGTAATTATCTTTCGCTGGAGAACTTGCATAAGGAGCTAAAACTTGATGTTTTTTTAAATCAAACATTATGGGGAATAGCAAAAAAACGGCTGAGCATTTATTGCATTTATTGCATTTATTGCATTTATTGCATTTATTTATTGCATTTATTGCCAGAGGAGCATTCATGTCTTCCACGAGGCCGCACTTTTGGATCAGAGAGCAATTTAATTGTCGGCGGAGCATTGTCTTTTGCGGGGTACTTTTGGGGAGGAGCAACAATTATTATTGTCGTAGTAGCCTTTGTATTTTACGGGGCACTTTTTTAGCGGAGCAAATGTCGGCGGAGCAATTGTCGGCGGAGCAAATGTCACCGGAGCAAGTGTCGCTTCAGGCGGAGCAAATGTCGGCGGAGCAATTGTCGGCGGAGCAAATGTCACCGGAGCAATTGTCGCGTTTTGCGGAGCAATGTCAGCGGAGCAATTGTCGGCGGAGCAACTGTCGGCGGAGCAACTGTCGTTCGAGGAGCATTTGTCACCGGAGCAATTGTCGCATTTTGCGGAGCAATTGTCGGCGGAGCAATTGTCGGCGGAGCAAATGTCGGCGGAGCAATCGTCGGCGGAGCAATTGTCGGCGGAGCAATTGTCGGCGGAGCAAATGTCGGCGGAGGAATTGTCGGCGGAGCACATGTCGGCGCAGCACATGTCGGCGGAGCAACTGTCGCGGAGCAATTAATTGTCGCGTTTTGCGGAGTAAATGTCGGCGGAGCAATCGTCGGCGGAGCATGTGTCATGGAACCGAAAGGGCACCTTCAAAGGGAAATCTCAAAGCGAAAATATATTTTTTTTGACATTGGTATATACCCCTTTATATACCTCACTTAAGTAATCCAGCAATCTGATTGGTCGAAATTGCATTCATAAACTTTAACTGTTCCCGAAAATTCCCGGTAACCATGGTTAAAAAACAGTTCAAAATCCCAATAACCATGGTTATTGGGAAAATAGGTAAGTCTCCATGGTTACCCCATAGGTTTACATGTTAAAAAAATTTCTGAGCGATCGGGGATACCGTACGTGTGCGAAGAATTGGTCGGTAATTTCACAATACAATTGAATCTCGATCGATCTTATACCGACAATTTTATCTTGCTTTGTTGACATGAAGACGAAAATAAACTTCCAAAAACAAAAAAACAACATCTGCCGATAGATCTTGATCTAAGTTCGTGCCAATATGCATTGCAAAAGTAAAAGAAGGGCCCGTTTAATGGAGCAGCGGCGAAGCATCGACCACGCGAAGCCGTTTTCAATTCATTTTAATGTATATATTAAAGAAAACTTCTGTTCTCGTTTACAGAACGCGCTGGCCGAGCGGTGTGAGGCGCTGGTTGTACTTATATCACCTTTTGTACGCAAGAGTTCGAATCCCATCTTCGACAAAAGTTTTTTTTTTCTTTTTTTCCTTTTTTTTCGGCATATAAAAGTATTAATGACTGCTTTAATATTCGAGAAATAGTTGTTTTTATACGCTCTCGGGAAGGTTACATTCCCCTCGGCACGCCTCGGGTTATAGCACAATTCTAACCTTCCCTTGAGCGTATAAAAACAACTATTTCTCTCAAAGCAGTCATTAATACTATAATATTGTGATTACTTTATCAGGGATGATTTCATTATTTTTTTCTTTTTATACCACATATAAGATATTGCTAGGGGAATGGGCACTTATAAGAAGGAAAAGGAGTATTTATTAGGAAGGAAAAGGGGGACGTGTCACTTAATAAAAGGGGCATTTATAAGAGATGAAAAGAACACTTATCAGGAGGGGAAGGGGCACTTGTCAAACTAAAATGAGTATCTCTTAGAATTGAATAGGGTTATTTACAAGAGATGAAAAGGGGTGTTTAAGAGAAGGGAAAGGGGCATTCATTATGAGAAAGGGAAGGGGCTCTTTTTGAAATGGGGGCATTTTTCATAAGGGAAAGGGGCATGCACTTAATAAAAAAAGAAACGGGGCACATGTGAAAATATAAGGTGCGCTTATCCAAATCAAAAAGGGGTAGTTATTAAAAGGGCCGGGAAGGGGCAATTTTTACAAAGAAAAAGGGAACCTCTCAGATTTGAATAGGGCAATTATCAGAGGTGAAGGGGGCGCTTATCAAAAGTGCAAATGGGCGCTTCTCGTACCTGAAAAGGTGAACTTACTAGAGATTTTAAAAGGCACTTATGAGAATGAAAAATGGACACTTATTGCAAAAGAAAATGGGAACTTGTCAAAGTAAAAGGGGCACTTTACCTATTTAAAAAGGGCACTTTTGGGGTACTTGAAAAAGTGGGGGCGCTGTTCACGCCCCCCCCCCCCCCCTCCCTGTCCCCCGGGGGCGCCGCCTCTGCCTATACCCCCTCCCGGGCCTATTACCGGATTATATGCCAATTTATGCAGCGCGTTCACTTGCGTAGGCCTACTACGTGTATTTGTTTTTAAAAGAGACTGAGCAAGCAGACTAACTCGAGCTCATGAACACAACCACGTTTACGTACAAGACTAGCTTAAATCTTCGCTTTGACTCGTACACACACACACACAGGTGCGTCGTAGTCGTACACATGACGTGCATGTAGTTAGCTGCAACAACGTGACAATTTATCATTTCAGTCCCGCACGTTCATTTTCAAGTTTTAAGAAAGAGGTTCGTTCGTATTCTGTCCTGTGTGTCAACAATATCTCACCAAAATGGCGAAAACAGAAAAGAAAAAAAGGAAGGAGCAAGGAATAAAGAAGTCCAACAGTAGTACAAACCCAGGTAAGTTGATTTTGAATAATCAATGGCCCAATTTTGCCTATTTTGTCTCAAGTTCAACTTCAATTTGCTATCAATCAAGGTTGATGATTTGATCAATTATTTTTCAACTCAATTATTCAGTGCAGTGTTTAAAACGAACAAAAATATCAGATGAGGAAATCTCACTCACCATAAGTTATAGAATTAATATCAATGACAATAATTCACAGTGTCACAAGTGTGTTAATCTTCATTTCATGAATTTAAGCCTGCACTAACCTAGACCGAAAGCTTCAGTCTCTATAATCGTCGGTTGTTCCACTGAGACTACGTCTGGCTCCACTAGACCTCCGGTTATAGAGACTGAACGACTGCCTATGCCAGCCTGTGTTGAACTTATTCCGCTAGATTTTAGCCGCTAGGCCCCTCCCACAAACTTGCCACGGCCGTATTGTTATGCCCCCAAAATCCCCCAAAATGTCATTTTACCTCGTTCATTTCCAATTTTAAATTAGGCCTAGGCTAAAATACATCGGTTCCACTTACTAATTTCATTGATATAATCCGTTTAATGGTCCCTTTTAAGGAAATTATCGGTCAAAATCGACATCCATGTTGAAAATCTTGCAAGCCGTGTTTAACTCTCGCTGCCGTCAATCTCATCCCTTCTAGTCTACGCCGAAGGCAAAATGATTATGAAGGAAAAACTGTGCGCCATCTACACGTTCGTAATGGCGTTATCACAGTTTTTCCTTCATAATCATTTTGCCTTCGGCGTAGACTAGAAAGGATGAGATTGACGGCAGCGAGAGTTAAACACGGCTTGCAAGATTTTCAACATGGATGTCGATTTTGACCGATAATTTCCTTAAAAGGGACCATTAAACGGATTATATCAATGAAGTTAGTAAGTGGAACCGATGTATTATAGCCTAGGCCTAATTTAAAATTGGGAATGAACGAGGTAAAATGACATTTTGGGGGATTTTGGGGGCATAACAATACGGCCGTGGCAAGTTTGTGGGAGGGGCCTAGCGGCTAAAATCTAGCGGAATAAGTTCAACATAGGCTGGCATAGGCGATCGTTCTGTCTCTATAACCGGAGGTCTAGTGGAGCCAGACGTAGTCTCAGTGGAACAACCGACGATTATAGAGACTGAAGCTTTCGGTCTAGCACTAACCATGCTAACTAAGGTCGTAACGAAGAACATGAATGATGATGAAGAAGAATAAATAGACAGGGAGAAGAAGGAGAAGGTGTCGATGTGAGTGATGGGGTATAGCTGCAGTCGACTTGTTGTCGAGGTCTAAGACAATGAGGTTGACTGCACTACGACCAGTAGGGGGCTGGTCCGATCGTCCGCAGTTTCGCTGACGATTCTACTTTCCGATCCGGGCGTTGACGATGCGAAAAGCGGATTCTACAATGATTTTCTTGAAGTATTTCACATTAACTAAGTACAGAGACTTTCACGTTATCCTCGGGAAGAAGGACAACCCATAATAGTAGACGGTTAACTGGGGGTATTTTATTCCGCTGAATCTGGTTTTCGCATTGCCAGCGCAAGAATCGGGAACCTGAAAACCCGCAGAGTGCAAAGATAAAAATAGGTTAGCGAAAATGCGGACGATCTTTTTTTCTAAGGACGCAATTTGTCCGCATTTACGAGGATATCCTCTTTTGTGATCCTCGTTCTCGGACCAGGGCCCTACTACTGATCACAAATAGGTGGACTGCAGCCGTCACTCACAAATACTCGTACTGCTCATAGATCAACCGGGAAGACGACAATCGCTAAACAAAATAAAAGTACATTTAGATATGAAACCATGAAACATTTCTTTGTCAGATGTTTTTTAATTGGTAGAAAATGATAAAAAGTTAACTAGATCTAGTGTTGACAGTCGTGTTAGTCAATAAGATCTAAGAATTGTGAGGAAAACAAATTCCTTGTTCTGATTCTCTGAATCTTAAAAGTTTTTTATGATGGAAATGTGCCTTCTTATTTCGGAAGAGCCACAGTCCACTGTTGCAAATACTATCTGCTATGGCATACCAGTTAAAGCTAGTGGTCTATTTTTCTATGATTCTATTTTGTAGTAGTAATGCCATACGGCCCGTTTAAAGGAGCTACACAAAAAAAATTCACTAACAACTCATAATTAGAACAAATTACATATGGATGGAAAGATTTTCTCTTGAAAAACACGAACAATTTGCTGAGAAATCATAGAGATATCATGGAAAGGCGTAAAATGCAATTTTTCAAGACCCTCCTTAGACCCCCGAACGCCCCTGAACGTAAGTCAAACACACAAGCGTAGCGAGCTCTGAATTGTGATGTCACACACTTGACTAACAGCTCAGTGCCGTGTAGCAGTATGCAGCTAGCCAGCCATGTCCCGTATGTGACGTCACAAATATTGACGCTCTACAAAGGACCGCTGAAGGCAGAAAATCTGGATCTAAAAACTAACATTTTTTAGAGTTGATTACTGCGAGCCCCAAACATATTTTGAAGAGAAGAGTTGTTGTATTTGATCGGCAAGGCTTCCCCTTCGCAATGATATGAGTTTTGCATCAATTCAAAACACTTTTGATTCTTTGTGTGGCTACTTATAACATGTGATGAATGTTCATGACTCTTCTTGTTCCTTATAGATCGAGGCAATGCAGGGAGTGGCATGAGAGACCGCTCAACCATCATGAGATTAAACATGTATCGGAAGGGAAAACCCCAAAGGTACATCTTTCATATTGAATTGTGTAAATTGTAAATCACCAATAAACTTTTAAAATGGCCGGGGCCCATCTAAGTTGTATTTTAAACTAGAGTAATTTCGAGTTTTCTTGTAGTTTTTCTTCTCCATTGCACCTCAAACACATTAGTCATGTGGAGTTGGCGCATTACAAATACTCAACAATATTATTATTTCTTTGTTGATTTGAAAGTTCCTCAAGGTACTCCGTCTGAAAAGAAGTTTTTATCTTTTTGATACAAAGAATACATTTTTCTTATGCAGTACAAATATCAAAGTCTCATCTTCACAGTGTATCAGAATCAATGATAACTTATTACTGTCATTTAAATCATTCATCCTGCCTAAAAGATTCTTCAGTTTTCCTACTTTCATACCTAATCTAGGCACAAAGTCAATAGCAAATTATTTGTAGTGTTGATTTGCTTAATTTGAAACAAAAATAAATATGTTTTTCAGTGGTATTCAATATCTACTGCTATGAATTCACATTTTCAGGTTGTTAATGTTTAATATATTGATGTTCTATTTCTTTTTCAGAAACCGGAAGGGTAAAATTGTGATGGCAGCTCCATTTCAGAAACAGCTGAAGTCAGGGACAGTAGCTCGAGTAGAGCCAAATAGAAAATGGTTTGGTAAGTCCATAGATTACTCTTAGTCATGACTATTTGTGTTTTATTATGAAATGATACATGTATACTGGCCTTCATGTACAATTACATGTATTTCAATGCACTGATAAATGTATGTATCGAGAATGGTTTATTTTATTGAGGGGTAAAACACTTCATGTCCCCTTTACCAGGTACAAGAATTTTTTTTTAAATTTGGGGACCAATTTTCAAGCTTGCTTGCATGAAAATAACACTGTTTAATTTGTTTTGCATTGAACTCTTTGCAATTTTTTTTTTAAATTTATTTATTTATTCTATTTTTTTAATTTTTTTTTTTTTTAATTATTATTATTATTATTACTATTATTATTATTTTTTTTTTTTGTTTTTTGGGGGGGGCCTTTTTTATGATTTTCAGCGGCTCTTTTTGGCATTTCGGGGGCTAATTCGCCCTGAGCCCCTGTGTATCCCCCCTCTGCCCTTTACCCTATTTGCTATTGATACATGTACTCCTGTTCAAGTACTATAGATGCTTGTGCACATCCCAAGACTTTGTAATGTTTTTATTTTATCTGGAGCTCAAAATCATTGACTTACACTGTTATTTTCTTGAATTTAGTCGACTGAAGAATTAACTTATATTCGAGGTGATAGTGAATTAAAAATGGGATAAGTGAAAAATGACTCAATACTCATACATGTATGCAGATAAAGTATAAATGTTGAAGCAAATTGTATTGGAATTACGACTTTACTATTTATTGTCCATTCTCTGGAATATTGTCATCATTTTTCATATTTACAAGTATGGCAAGTCTTATAAAGAGTTGATGACAATTGCAACTACATGTATGTACCATAAGAGATAGGAGACCATAAGACTTGCGATTGATTGGAGGACTTAAGATTGATGTGGATCAATCTGGTGTATTTAATACTACCAATGAGATGTTTGAAAAGTAGAATTATAGTTTGTTTTGTTACCCTGTTGCCACAGGCAATACGAGGGTGGTATCCCAAAATGCATTGCAGACCTTCCAGGAGGAGCTGGGGAAGGTCATAAAGGATCCGTATCAGGTCGTCATGAAACAGACCAAGCTGCCAATTACTCTGCTGCAAGAGAAGGCTAAGGTAAGGATAGGGTGATAGAGGGAAGAGAGCGAGGGGTAGAAGGAAGAAAGAGGAAAAGAGAGAGTAGGAGTAAGTGAGTGAGAGAGTGAGAGTGAGTGAGAGACCAAGCTACCCATTACTCTGCTGCAAGAGAAGGCCGAGGTAGGATAGTATTATCAGTTACGAAAAAGGGGGATATGGAAAATTAGGGGGAAGAAAAATGGGAGAGAGAGAGAGAGAGAGAGAGAGATAAAAGGAGCGAGAGGTTGGGTAAGAGAGAGAAAGAGACAGAGAGACAGACACACAGACAGAGAAAGGAGAAAGAAGGATGGTGTTTAACAGAAAGGAAATGTTGATGAATGAGTCAGAAAAAGAAAGGTAATGAACCTGAAGTTATGTGAACAAGTCTGCTAAAAATGATATTAAATCATACACAAAATTGTCTGTAGATGTACATGCATGATATGCAATTTTGTGACTATTATTTGGATGGCGTCTGTGGGTCTAGAGCTAAGTAATAGATTCTGGTTGTGTGCCGAATTGTGAAAAAAATGAATATGAATCATGAAACTAGAGAAATTCATTATATGTAACTTGAACATGGACAATTCTAACAATCTCTACCCACACTTCTACATTTCTTTTTAAATACATGTACACAGTACAATCGTGTTCACCTGTTGGATACAGAGAGCTTTGGATCAACGTTTGGTCCCAAGAAACAAAGGAAGAGAGTAAACATCAAGGTGGCAGATGTAGAGGTGAGTTTAAAGAGAAGTTTGAGTTTGTTTGATGATGATGAAGCCTGTCATCATCAGCTTGAGACTTGACTTCGGAACTTGAAACTTGAGCTCAAGATATTTTGCTCAGCGTTCGCGCATAGTGCGAGTCTTTGGGCTGGTGAAGACGCACCAGAGAAATATCGTTATATTTTGCAAACTGGCCCAATAATATCCCAAGATATTTATCTCGACCAAATATCCCGCTAATTGCAACTTCGAGCTGATGAAGATGCAAATTGAGTTGATAATTTGCGATTGGAATAGTTCAAATAGCGGGATATTTGGCAATCTCGAGCTGATGAAGACAGGCCTATTGTTTTACCTTACTGCCAAGAAAGCATAAATGCTTGTAAGTATTAACAACCAGGGGACCGACTGCTTTAAGTCCTCTCCGAGGGACTTGGTAATGAGGATTAATGCCTTGCCAAAGGGCACAAGGGTATTGACTTGGTTTGACTTGGCTCTACCACCGAGCCATCACGCCTCTTCAGTTCTTGTAAAGCTGGACATTCATATGTGAGTGTTCTCCTTTAAATTCCAGTGCAGAAGCACATCATAGTAGCAATGCCGCATTCAAATGACTGCTCTTCAAATGCCCCCATTATCAGAATATAAGTAGAAATGATTTGACCAAATTTTTTAAACAACATGTGCTAGTAATTAATCCCTCATACCAACTTCTGTGTGCAACGCTTCCATTGTGTTTGCTTTTGAGTATGTATTATGAAGATGTTTGGATCAGTTATAAATTAATAGCTACCAGAAAATTATGCACATGAGGAAAGGATTACACACATGTGCACACATGGGATTACCACTGACATTCATGAGTTTGTAGATTTCTTATTTTGTATGGTATTTTACAGAGGTTCTTCCACACGTTGTTCAAGAAAAGATTGCCTTGAACTTACTCTTAAAGGGATCTGGTAACTTTGTCTCAGATTCTGAAACAAAATCCTGGATTTAGCTCATGCTGCAATCATAATTATAAACCTTTAGGTCAGTCAGGAACCCCGTGACTTTTACAAGCCAATCGCCTGTTTGATTATCAAGATATTTATGATTGGAATTACAAGTTTTGAAAACCGTTTGCCAAATGGTTTTCATAACACTACAGTCTATTGGGAAAAACAAGTATGGTAAAACCGGTCACTAAAAGATTTTTACTTTTTTGAGGCACTTCTTGATCATTTTGAAGCGCAATTTTTTTTAGGGCTTCAATATTACCCCATATCACAGACACTGATAACATGTAGGGCCGTGTATCTCAGATATAACATTGTTAAACGATGCCTTTAATAATTCTCAAACAATTCTCTGTGTGTGTTTTCTTTTTTCTAGTCCTTGGTAAAGTCTGCAGAGGAGTCTAGTGATAAGTACGACGTCGAGAAGGACACTGACTTGGTGTTCGATGATGGAGGAGTCAGGGATGAGGTCAAGGATTGGGTCTTTGGAGCTGGACAGTCCAAAAGAATATGGAATGAACTCTATAAGGTAATGCCTAGGTTTTGAACAAGAGGGAAATTCAGAAAAAGACATTGAATACGGTAATGTGTTGTGTGTGGTACATTGATGTGTGAGGACTGTAACCAGCACAAGATTTGAACCCTCAACTTTGCAATTGTAACTCAAGAGGACATAACCACTTTCCAAAATGCTTTTACAATGATATGGCAGAGTACCGTATACATGCAATTTCCCCCCGTTTCTTTGCTCCAATGGGCAATTTTTACTTTTATAACAGTAACAAGTAATCACATATACATTTTATACAACCAATAGTAAAACAATATTTGTGTACATCAATCAAACACATGCTTCAGCATAAGCCATCTTGAAGTTGCTCATGCATGAGTATATAGAGGGCAGCACACTGAGCCAATGGGTATTACGCTCCCATGCGTTCTAGTGTCCCTTTATACGTACGTCCGTACGGGAGCATTATACTCGTTGGCTCAGTGTTCGCCAAGATGTCTACTTCACGACTGACTATATACCCACGCATAAACATCTTTACAGTCAACTCATTTCAATTTATTCAAGTTAAATGGTCCATTTCTATGAAATTAAAGTCACATCAAACTCTTTCTATTGCAGGTGATAGATTCTTCCGATGTTGTGGTTCAAGTTCTTGATGCCCGGGATCCGATGGGAACAAGATCCAAGTACATAGAGAACTACCTCAAGAAAGAGAAGCCTCATAAACACCTCATCTTTGTTCTAAACAAAGTGGATCTGGTCCCAACTTGGGCTACGGTAAGTCACAAATTTTTATATTATTGTAGTCTTGCAAGAGTTTTTTGTGTTCATTTATATATCGAATCCCAAAACCAATCCAAAACTTGATCCCCATTCAATTGAACAAGCTTTTAAAAGCACTTATTCATCTATTCTATTCTTCTATTTGTAATGTATGTTACATGTACCGTATTTGCCGGCGATAAGGCCGCACCCCCAACTTTGACATTTCAAACGGGGGGAAAAAAAAAGGGAAAAAAAATAAACGGACAAAACAAAATAATCATAATTTTCTCGAAAACACTAATTTTTTTTTACAAACTGATACCAAATTCATCCATATTCTTATAATTTACCGGAATTTTAGCTAAAAAAGTGATCGCAGGCAGATTTGGTGTCCGATATACTCCTACCACAATGTACGGTTTAATGCGAAACTGCATGAAATTGAAAAACAAAATGGCAACTTCGGATGGATGTTCGCGGCATCTCCGTTAGACTGTCCCTTCCTTTATCTTTGCAATGCATTGGCACGAACTTAGATCAAGATCTATCGGCAAATGGTGTGTTAGGACGTTTATTTTCGTCTTCATGTCAACAATGCAAAATAAAATTGTCGGTAAGATGTTTGGAATTGTCCTGTACCATAGTGGTATTGTTATTTTACCGTTTCTAGGCCCATACGTGCAAATTGGTGTTGGTTTTGACTTTCTTTTTTTTTTTTCTTTTTTTTTTTTACTTCGTCGTAAAGGCCGCATCCCGACTTTTTGATATTTTCTCTTCCAAAAATATTGTGGCCTTAATGCCGACAAATACGGTATGTATTTGTGTATACAGGCGTACCCATTACAAGCTTTGCTTACTGGGATTCGCGCCTTCTTCCTTCTAATACAAGTTCTTAAATTATATTTATGTTCCTACGTACAAATTGTATTGTTTGCACAGATGTCAATTGTCAAATATGTTGTCAAATTGAATGGAAGAAATGAATGTTGATTTGAATTGAATTCTAGTAAGAATAGGGGGTATTGCATGCATACAAGTACCAAATGAATCTTCTATGGATTACATGTACTTGATTTGCAGTTTAATGTAACATTGTTCGTTCTTTCTCATATCTAGAAACGATGGGTAGCCATTTTATCCCATGATTACCCCACCCTAGCGTTCCACGCCAGCATGAGGAATCCATTCGGAAAGGGTGCCCTCATACAGCTTCTAAGACAGTTTGGAAAGGTATGATTTAAATCGGGGAAATCAGTCTTGAATTTCATTTTGTTCCCCCCCCCCCCCCCCTCTTCCATTTTGAGGATAAAGACAATTCTAGCTTCTCTTCAAAATGACCAGATATAACTCATCCTTTTAGGGTGCCCTCATACAGCTTCTAAGACGGTTTGGCAAGGTAGGATTCAAATCAGTGAAAACAGTCTTGAATTTTTAATTTTGTTCCCCCCCCCTTCCATTTTGAGGATAAAGACAATTCTAGCTTCTCCTAAAAATGACCAGATATAACTCAACCTTTTAGGGTGCCCTCATACAGCTTCTAAGATAGTTTGGAAAGGTATGATTTAAATCGGGGAAATCAGTCTTGAATTTTTAATTTTTCCCCCCCTTCCATTTTGAGGATAAAGACAATTCCAAACTCTCTTCAAAATGAACAGATATTATAACTCAATCTTTTATCCTTTCACGTATTGTTATCATTGTTTAGTGGTGGTTAATTTACCTGACTGCTATTAGAAAGCATAAATGCTTGTTGGTAAGCAACCAGAGTACCAACTGCTTTAGGTCCACTCTGAGGGACCTGGTAATGAGGATTAATGCCTTACCAAAGGGCACTAGCGCACTGACCGGGTTTTGAACCCGGGTCATCAGATTACGAGACCACTGCTCTCCCAACTGAGCTGTATAACTGTATTATGCATATTTAGTTCATTTTTCATCGGCAATAAAATTCTTGTAGCTTTTTTAAAAATCTGTTGATCACAAAAAAAAAATTATCAGCTGAGAGCCAGACGTGTGCTTCAGTCTTGAAGTTAACACCTTTCTTGCTCATACCAGTTGAAATGACCTTGAGATATTTTGATTTTCTTGTGGTGTGTAACCATATATAATGTTTACATTGATTTTTTTTATTTTTCCACAGCTCCATGTAGATAAGAAGCAGATCAGTATAGGTTTCATTGGATACCCTAACACTGGCAAAAGTTCTATAATCAACACCCTCAGGGCTAAGAAGGTCTGCAATGTGGCACCAATTGCAGGAGAAACCAAGGTAAACATTCATCTATTACCATGGGAACGGATAATCATAAATTTGGATTTTCAATCATTACCAAATTGACACATTTTGACTAAGGCCCAAATCTAATGCTTACAATATTTTTGCGTCTTCTTTGATTACTAAAATCTTGAAACTGCATGTGAAATGAATAAAGGCGTCTGATTTATTTATATGTCAAAATTGACAGAACATCAACTTTTGTTGGAATTAGTAAAGATCTTTTAAGGGGAGGGATGGGATAGCAATGACCTTTAAAACATTTAGAATGGCATGGCAGACACATTTCTGGAATTAATAAACTACTTGTTTATTCCTCTTTTTAACAATTTGAATTACAAATAATTTACAGTCTTCTCAGCACTTTTTATGGGCAGCTAGATTCTAACGCTTTACAGATTCCTGGTTAGGATTGGGTTGATGTTTCTAATCTGAAATGAAAAAGGGGCAGACAGAGCTGCCAACCATTACGTTTTTCCTGGAATCATTCCGTTTTTTCCTCAATTTTTGTTTGTTTTGTTGCACATACCGCTAATCAACCAAATGCCCTAAAATGTTGATCACTACTTCAATAGAAAACTTTAATAGAGATTTATGATATACAAATAGTAAAAAAAAAAAAAGGGAAAATCGTAAATATTCTCAAAAAGATTGAAACGCAGATAATACACACAAAAAAAACTACTTACTTGTAAATAAATAATTGGTCCTAATATGGAAATAACAGCATGAGGAATGGACATTTCTGCATTGGATGTGGATTGGATGCATGTGTCGCGTGTGGTTGTAAGTTTCGTTTTAATGAATTCCTTTCTTAGCCATCATGGTTCCTTTTTTTGGTTGCACAAGGTATGTAGATCCTTGTGTTATACAGCATGAAACCTCAGAAGATGTAAAGTGTATTCTAGTCTTCAAGTATCTCTTCTTGGTGTCTTGACAGGTATGGCAGTACATCACACTGATGAGAAGAATCTTCTTGATAGATTGTCCTGGAGTCGTCTATCCCTCGGGAGAGACAGAGACAGAGATTGTACTCAAGGGAGTGGTAAGTATGCTTATATTACATGCTCTGGTAACAATTGTACTACTACTGCACTCAATTTTCTTTTTTTCACCAACCTTAGCCCAAAAAACTGAACTTAAAATTGAAAAGGCCAGTTGATAGTTCCAGTTTGAGCATGAGCAGATAAAGGTCATTCAGGACCAAATTGTGAAATACGCGGAGACGAAATACTGGATACGTTATGTAATCATTATTCATTTATACACAAGCAGTGCACTCCATAATACAGAGGTGGAAGTATTCTTTGAAAAGGGGAAACAAACTTTAAGGCTATTTATGTAGCACCTCCATCGCTGTAGGAGTGATTATTTATAAATGTACAAAGTGGGACCTCTTCATATTTAGAAGATCTGTGGATATTCGGGGTCATTTGGGACATGTGCTAACCGTGAACTGGCCTATTGTACTGCACTTAATTTTCTTTTTACACCAACTCTAGCCCAAAACCAAACGTAACATTTATCTTTAACCCTAACCGTCTATCTTTGATGAAAAATACACAGAGCATATTTATTACTGGTGAGTTGAACTACTGTCCTCAAAGAATTTCAGTTTACTCGCGTTTCTTCTTCTACCATAAGATTAGAAAAAATGTGAGGGGCATAGATAATACATGAGCACTTGATTGCCCAGGGAGCTTTTGCTTGAAAGGATTCAAATGAACGCAACTTTAATATCCTATATTCAGTCTGATTGGTTGAAAATCATTTTGATATTTGGATATCTGTGTATCGATACTTTAATCATCAGAGTCCCAGAAAATATTTAAAGCTATCCATTATACATGTAGCATATATTTTCATTATTATCTATATAAGGCTTCCAAGTGGTACAATAAATTAGTCAAATTTTGTTATTTCGCTAGCCAGACTACTAAAGATAATAATAATAATATTGTATTGCTTTGTTTTCATGTGATACAAGAATATAGTGCTCTCGCTATGAAAATATTGGACTTGTCTCAGACTCCTTCAATATTGTCATAGCTCTAGCAATATATTCTTGTATCACACTCAAAGTCTTTCAATATTATATAAATACATTGTTGTAAATAGTTAGAAATAATGAAAGTTAATCAATTTAAAATTTGTTTTGGCGTCATAGGTACGGATAGAGAATGTGAAGGGTCCAGAAGACTACATTCCGGAGGTGTTGAGACGGGTCAAACCAGACTACTTACAGAAGACGTACCGCGTCTCAGAGTGGGTTGATTATATCGACTTCTTAGAGAAGCTCGCTCAACGTACAGGAAAACTAAACAAGGTATGGAAAGGTGTATGAAAGATTCATTGTAGATAATGATGCCGTTTCGTTGGAGAAACAGATTTTGATGATGTTTTTTAATTTGCAGATACCGTTACGTAATTCAGTTGTCGATGTGTACCTAATGAAAAAGCCTGCAGAGCATTATGGGTTTTCATACCTAATTTTGGGGGCAGTGGTAAGGCTTCCTCTTGACAATGATATTAATTTTGCATCGATTCAAAACACTTTTGTTTCTTTGGTTGACTACATTAAGCTTTTAGAGACTTTTCAGCTTATTATGCGCCTGGTAAATTTATCTCTATCATATCTATTCTACCGTTATCTAGCAGTGTTTTAACATTCATATTTTATTCTTATCCCCCCCCCCCCCCATTCCTCTTCTACAGGGAGGTGAACCTGATGTCAGTACTGTAGCTAAGATGGTATTGAATGACTGGCAAAGAGGGAAAATCCCTTTCTTTGTCAAACCACCCAACTGTGAACAGGTAAGTCAATCATCATGCAAGACTGAGTTTATTTGTGAATTATAATAATAATAATAATTATATGTGCTTAACAAGCGCCTTACACTTACTTTATCAGAAGTCTCTAAGCGCTCTACAATAATGCAGCATAAATACCCTGCATGGCTTTACCAGGTCCCCATTTACTTCACCTGGGTGGAGTGCAGCACAATGTGGGGGTAGCTGGGAATATACATCACAATTAGATTTCTAGATGTGGAAGTCTGAGATTGACATGTTCATGTATGATAGTCTGATAACTAGCATAAAAATCTCCTTTTTTTATTATTTGGGAATACCGTAAGTATTGAGCAGAAATTTGGAGTGATAAATTGAAAAATGGGGGAGGTATTCACTAATACATAAACTCTTCAACATGAGGAAGTTGTTATTAAAAATGTACTGATGGTATTAAGACTAGTTTTCAGGTCAATGATATAGATGATCTGTAGGTAACACTTGTTTCTCTATCATATTGTATCATGATGTTCTCAATAATAATGATAATGATAAAAACAGTGCTTATAAAGCGCTATACCACCAAAGTCTAAGCGCTTTTGAGTTGCCAATTCTTATTTTTATTCATGTCCATCTCTTAGGATTCAAGGGAAGATGTTGACAAGAAAGAATCCCCCAAGAAGACTAAGGAAACGGTTGCCAAGGACACGGTTGCCAAGGAGGACACCGTCCCTAAGAAGAAGGAGATCAGAGGAGTGAAACAAGACCTCAGCAAAATCAACATCGGACCAAAGTTCGCTGGAGACGATCTGAAACCAAAGGACATGGATGGCGAGGAGAATGAGGTCACGGAAGGACAGGAACCGGAAGAAGAGGAGGAGGAGGAGGAGGAGGAGGAGGAGGAGGCGGCAGAAGAAGGAGAACAAGATGTAGATGGTGAAGAAGTAGTCAGTCAGATGGAAGATAGTGACAAAGCAGGAAAAGATTTAACGAATGAAGCATCAACATCATCAGCATCATCAGACTCTGTGAAGAAGTCAGTAAAGAGGACTAGAAGAAAAGAGGAGGCAAAGACCGGTATCTCGTACGGTGCTAACGTCTTCCTCAATACGAAGAACAAGAAACTCTTAGCCAAGGCAAAGATTGAGAAGAAGAGAGAAGCCATGTTGCAGAAGAGGAGTCAAACAGAGAGTAATGAGGATCAAAATAAACCAGCAAAGAAGGGTAAGATATCAACTTATAGTGGTGAAAGGGCTACCAATAAAAAAGATGGTACAAGTTTAGTAAAAGTGGCACAGTTATATTTATACATTGTGTCCTATTAATCTATTGAGATTGATTTTTTGAAGAAAATGAATGATGAAAAATATCAAGCGATAATCTCACTTTGTATTTATGAAAGGAAAAAGCGATGTAGTTAACTGGTGGAGATTTGACTACTTTAACCTCATGATTTTTCTTGGAAATAGTAGCCTGACATCTGTTTGGAATGTAGGTCGTCTGGGCCCTGTCTTATAAAGAGTTAGGATTGATCCAAATCAATTCTAAGCCTTCCAATCAATAGCGAGCTTGCAGTCTCCTAGGTCTTATGTGCATAGATCCGTTTGGTATCAACACTTTGTAAGATGGGGCCCTGGATAAGCTCCATAAACGCGGCATGATATTTTCATGTGTCTGAGTAGTAAAAGCTGTAGTAACGCAGAAGTAGCAGAAGCAGTATTTCCCTTTATGGGGGATTTGAATAAACTCTCTTTTATCCATGTAGGAATGATTTAAAGCGGGACTGCACTAATTACAGCTACTTGCGCCCTCTATACAGCCAAAAATGCCTAAGCGGTATCCGTCGATCCCCCATGGTCCCCCTTTTCTTATGTTAATTGAGAGCTGATTTGATGAGATAACCACCTGCCAGTGACCCGCAGGGAAAAAAATATTTTGAAAATTTTGGGGGCTACTTTTCAAGCTTGCTTGCATGACAATAAACACTCTTTAATTTGTTTTGCATTGAACCGTACGCAATTTTTTTTCTTCTCTTTTATAACATTCCGGGGCTCTTTTGGGCACTTTGGGAGCTAATTCGCCCGAGCCCCCATGTATTTTCCCCCTGATGACCCTGCAGGGAGGTCTTATCCCTCCTGGCCAAACGAGTGCAGATAGGCTTTAAGAAAACCTTTATGATCTGTTTTCATTTTGTTACCCTAGGCAAGAAACCGCAACCCATCGGGTCATACTGCCCTCTAGGGAGCAGCGATGAAGATGACGCAGGTGACACGAGGAGAAAGAAGAAGAGATACTTTGAAGAGGAGAAAGCAGGAAAAAAGAAACTCACATCAAAGCAGGTAAGATTCAATTTCATTGCAAACAAAACAAAAACAAAATGAAATAAATTTGAATTATTTTCATTCTTTTGTGTTTTGGGAGCTCCAAAAATTTTACTTCAAAATTTCACCTAAATTGTATAATGATGTAAAAGAGGATATCATTTAACACAAACTTGAGCAAGGATTTTGAAAACAAATGTGTTTGAAATCAAATATTGATGAAGGAGGGGGGAAGTAAAATCTCATTGCACCAATCGTTTTCACCTTCTTTTTTTTGTATTTGTCTCTACAGAAGCGAAGCATCGATAGAGCACAGAAGAGTAAGAAGGTCGGACAGCATTTCTACGCAGAGACGAACGTCAAGAATAGAAACAGATCCAAGAAAGTCAAATGACCATATCAGGACCTCCAGAGAATCTAATGTAAACATTAACATGAACATTATCTATGAAGGCACTTTCATGCAGATTTTTATACACGAATCTGTGTGATGGGCAGTTATTCATCTATTTTGGAGGCAGACACTTGCTACATAAAAGCAGCTGCTATGATCTGTACACCATTGGTTGGCCAAAAACCCAATTTTTGATGAGCTGTTTTGAGGCAATGAAATACATGGAGTTAATTTCCTCACTTTTATTCTTGTATATTGTTAACAAATAATTTCATTCTTCCATCGAATACATTTTAATGTCGCATTACAAACATTAATTTTGCCTGTAAATATCTAGAACTTTTAATTGACTGATGAAATCTTTCACACAAAAATAGATCTGGGACAATTTTTTTTAAAATCCTTTTTTCTGTTTCTCAGTTTTCTTTCCTGATCAAATAATCTAAGCCAAAGTTGTTAACAGTCCTCTATCCATTACTGATTTTAGTAATTGCTTATCTGTAGTTCTGTTTAATAGACCGTCTTGAAACTCAGATAGGCCCTCTTTGTTGAGATGTTAATCATGAAAAGAATGATCCATTGTCAAGTATTATGTGCTCATATAGAAGTCTGGATTCTTTGTTCCAATTCAAGTTTCACTAATTGCTGCATTACATGTAAGTTTGCAGCAATAAGCCAGTTCATAGTTGCAGTCTGAGCATGAGCAGACGAAGGTCATTGCAGACGAAAGTGTGAAATACACGGAGACAAAATACTGGATACGTGCTCATGAAGTTATGTAATCATTCATTCATGCACAAGCAGTGCACTCCATAATACACAGGCGGAAGTATTCTTTGAAAAGGGGAAACAAAAGCTGTTTAATAGCACCTCCATTGCTGTAGTATGGATTTATTTCAAAATGTACAAAGTGGGACCTCTTCATGTGTTGAAGATCTTTGGATATTCAGGGTCATTTTTGGACATGTGCTTACCGTGAACTGGTCTATTGTGATCCTGCAAGGTAATTTATTTTGTGTGATTCTTGATTTACAGTATTTTGTCATTCATGCCTAGAATTTCTGATGTGTTTATAGAAATGTACAACTTTTCAAACAATTCAAGATGATTCAGAACATTGTATGTGATATCACTACTTCTACACTGCTTTTGAACATATGACATGAATCCCTTTTGAGTGGGAGAATCATGGATACAGTTTGTATATCAATTATTAAAATTGAAAACTATGACCTTTACTTTAAATCCTACTTGTCACAAGTCGTTTTTTGAGAGATACAAAAGATTAAAGAATGAAGAAATGTTTGAGATGAAGACACAAAACACTGTATCGTACATTCATGAGACCCAGTGGCTAAATGAAACAAAAAGTAGGTTGGCTGTCCGAAAATTTAGCAATTATTCATAAAGGTTGGAATCTATAGTGCAGAAAATACATAAAACAAAACAAAAATTGATTTTGGCAAATAAAGGCTTGTTCAGATATGGCGAGATAAACTGCTGCGAAAAAACGCTGCTGTGTTTTTTAATAGTGTAAATGAATGGCAACTGTGTGCAATGAGGACTTGCTCGTATTCACCAAGCTCTGTGTTACAAGATACAGAAATGTGAGGCATCGTTTAACAATGTTAAATCTGAGATGCATGGCCCTACGTGTTATCAGTGTCTGTGATATGGTGTAATAATGAAGCCCTACAAAAATTGTGCTTCTAAATGATCATGAAGTGCCTCAAAAAAGTAAAAATCTTTGAGTGACCGGTTTTACCATACTCGTTATCCCCAATGGACTTTACAGTTATGAAAACCGATAGGAAAACGCAAAATTTGATTTCGATTTCCAGTCATAAATATCTTGATAATCAGACAAGGTTTTAAAAGTCATGGGGTTCCTGACTGACCTAAAGGTTTATAATTATCATTGCAGCATGAGCTAAATCAAGGATTTTGTTTCAGAATCTGAGACAAAGTTACCCAATCCCTTTAATTTGTGATTTTCCTTGAGATGCAGGAGTACTTGAGGAATTAAAATGAAAAGATGACCCGTAGACATTAGTTTATTTGGCAAAGAAGTTTTATTCAAAAGCTTCATATCTGAAGAATCGTAAATGAAAAGCATATCATTAGCTTCAATCATCTATACAAATTAAATAGTGTGAAAAAAAAGTTTACAAAAGTATTATTATCCCAACTCAGAGATCAATATGCTGTGGTGCACTCTTGTATTCTCATAATTAAATATTTTCAAACATAACCTGGTATTTCAGAAGGAAATAATCTACCTCTACATCATAGATTTGTTTTCATGCAAAAATGAGATGCTTGAATTATGACAAATAATAGAACTTCAGTACAACTTTTGGAGTTTTAAATACAGAATTGGGGGGTAGGGGCACTACCTTACACTATTCCTCTCTGTTTCTTACAACAAATCTAGAATATGTTGGCATTTCCCCATTGATCAACCTACATGCATGAAGTAATTGAAAGGATACTCAAATTCTGCTTAAAGCGATACCGAACTGATGCACTTTCTGCCCTAACGTACTGCTTATTGCACAGCGCCATCTCATGGTCAACTTGCCAACAGTGCATAACCCAAATTTTAATTTCCACTCGCCTTGCAGACAGAGGTCTTGATGCGAGAACCAACAGCACAGCATGTTATGAGACCATACTGCCACAGCTGACCTGAGATGGCACTAGAGGGTATACTTCTAGTACAGTGTGGCTTAACATTCCGTCCTTTCTTAAAATGAAAACTCTTGGTTATGCATAGTTCCACAGATCTATACCATGACAACTTCGCTTCTAAATCTAAAATTCATGGAGTATCAACATTATTTCATTAATCTTTCTCTAAATTCTTGAATATTAAAACAAGTCATGAAGAACAAACCCAGATTAACAAACATACATTATAGCTTTGATATACATGCAGAAAGATAGAGAAAACCTGACTGTAGTCAGTATTTCAATGATATATCAACATATTTCAATGAATACACTAAATAAAACATGTCCAATTAGAAAGAGAGCAATAATATGCATACATCAAATCGTTGAATGTCTACATCAACCGAATAAACATGTTTCGAACAAAAGAAAAGACTATTGTAACCATGAGAACTTATATCACTACATGCTGCTTTCTCGTCCATTTTCTACACAGTACAGCTAGCACACCATAAACAACATCTCCCTGTATACATTTCTTTTATTGATACTCTTGCACCAACACGGTACTTCTGGGCCCCGTTTCACAAAACTTGTTATCAATAACAAGGTGCAATAACTGTTATAAGCTACTGAAATCCTTGCATTTGATTGGCTAGAATCAGATTTGTCATAACTCTGTGGCACTTGATATTGATAACAGGTTCAATGAAACAGGACCCTGATGATAGATTCATGAAGCTCTGTATAATAAATTTGGTTCTTACTTCTGAAATCACACCAATACACTAGCATTAGAAGTGAATTGTCAATATAAAATATTAAACTTTAGGGAAAGCCGCATCGGAAGAAAATAACTTCAATGTCAATTTTGAATACATATAATAAAAGCCAGGCCTCAAAGTTTCTTGCTTGTATTTCATTTATACATGAGAATTTGCAATTACTAAGTGAGGGATAAAACTTATTCAATTATTTCTTCTCCCTATGGGAAAGGGAGTAAGGAGTCAAGTGTAATGAGATAAAGTCTTGATATTCATTTAATAGTCACTATAAAGGAAACCGCATTTATCATTTTTTAATGTAAAAAATGTTAGAACCATGTTACCTTCCAATGGAGCGATTAATGCGACTATACAACTACCTTCCATTAATGATTTAACCTTTGTCCTCAGTAAATTATTTCAATGAATGCAATGAAAGAATAATGTTTATCAGTAACTTTTCACTATGATAATTTATAAGCCTAATGAAAATAACAACTATGTTGTAAATATGCAACGTATGCATATCAATTTTATCTATTTTGCCAGATTGCACTATATTTGTTAAGCAAATTCATGAACATTCAAACATGGAACATAAAACAAATTGAAGACAATATTACATGTAACTAACATAACAAATACAGTTCATTTGATCATACCCTCATTCTTAAATGATATGCACATCAATTGTCTACGACTAAGACTTTCAGAAAAGAATTGAGACTATCTGAGTAAAAAGGAAACTCTTATTCTGACCTTCAAATGTCTTTGAGTGTGTATCAAAGTACTTAATTCTGATGTGTAAACGCGTGTCAATTCAGATGTGCAGAAACCTTTTCTTGTTAAATGATAACACAATGTTCATAATATTGGGGGAAAATTAGTATGTGGCTAGACAATTGTGACACACCAGTCTGTTCAAACTATATAAATATGACATTTTAAATTCTATCAAAGCAATATTTTATGAATATCACTGCAATCCTACCCTATCTAAATGTTCTTCCAGTTTTGAAATTCAAGGATATGCCCTGCCACAAAGGTATCTCAGATTAAACAAAAAAAATGTTTTAAAGCAAACCCTCCCCCCCCCCCAAAAAAAAAAAAACAACAAAAAAACAAACAAGAAGACAGGAAAAAATAAAGTACTCTTCATCGAGTCGGAGTGCAAGGAGTGTCATGACGTGACAGACATGTGCACTATATATAGAAGCCACCATTATTATATGGATAAAATGCATGTATGGCCATCAATATAAAGAAACTGTTTATACCATTTTCTGTGATGATGCCTATTAAAAGTGAAAAACAGTATATTTGTAATAGATAAGCAATTCGTAATGTAAAGGATTAAATCTTTCAATATCAATCAATTTTTCACTTCTTGATCAAAGATTATATATATTACTGTGTAGTTAAAATCCTTTTACAAAAATATGATCTACATCTGAAAGCAACTATACAGCTTTTTTCCTTTTGTATTTACATTTTGAGCTTTTATCTCCATACTACAAATTAATGTTATGAATACTGCCAACAGCAACAGCTTTCAAACATTTTGGTATGACAAACATTCCTACAGTATGAAATTCACCAGAGTATTTTTTTTTTACAAAGACTTTGTCAAGGAGAGTCAGCACACAAATTGTATCACTTAAGAAAAAAAAAGAAAAAAATAATTGAAAATATACTTTCCGTTCTTGCGTTAAAAAATCAAGCAAATATTGAATATTTCAATTGCTTTTGATTGTTTTGAAGACAGAGTCTTTAACGATTCAATCTAGATTAAATGTTGACAAACAAATTTCAATCTTGACATGCAAGTTCACAAAGGTCAATAGCTGCCAACAAACACATTTGTGAAGTGAACTTATTGAGACAGGTGGCGCAACCATTTCAGAGTCACATTATACTACATCTATAAGATGTGCACTTTATCAAAAGTTGTATCATCATTCTTTGATTAAATTTGTAAGCTAAATACTAATGAAATAACTGAAGTTGTTCTTTTGATAGTAAACGTTTTATACTTACAACTGATAACCTCTATTCTATACTGAAGCACAAACAAAATACTAGATACTGGTAACTGGATAGTAGCACATATACAAGAATTTATGAGAACGTAATATAAGCAGCACTGTAGAGCTGAAATTAGATAGAGAAACACACAAGGAGCAAAGTAGTCAACAATGGTGTTGAGGGGTAGGTTTGTTTTGCTCCTAAACTCTTGAATAAAACATCTGAAAGTAAATACCGTAAGAGTCCATGCAATAGCTTGTTTTAAAGGAAACTCTTCCTAATTCAGTTTCAATTTTCAAACTAAACAGAGAAGTGAAACAAAATGATTTGCAAAGTAGTGGTAGCTTCAGGAAATGAAAAAAAATAAACATATGAAATACACCAGAAGCATGAGAGTTTCAAATAATACAATATAGAACACTTTCCTTTCTTTTCAGTTTTCTCTTTCATTCCTTTTCACCAAATTGTGCAAACAAATTATGTCACGAGACTAAGTTCTTATAAATGTACACTGGTCTGTCATAATTTGTTCAGCCTTTCTGGTTTTATTTATGATAAAAGCTGATTTCTCCCGATGCATTTCTGCTATCAGCTTCTATTAGTTGAATTAATGCCCTATAGAGAAAAACACTAATGCTCCTTAATAAAGAGATGTTATGTTTTAGAATACAAAATTGTCCAATTTCAGGGTAAAGCAAGATTTACACAGGGTAAAAAAAAGGGGGGTAATAAAAAAGATGCCCCTATAGCACTGTTTAATATACCAAAACAAAACTAATTGTCCCTATTATGGCCATTCAAAACTTGCTAAAAACCTTTTTATTTCACCGAAACAGATAAACATGCAGCATTATCTACACTCCAGTGAAAATCAGAATACAAACTCTCCAGTATCTACAACACTACAATAAATATAAAGCTCTTCTACTATTCACAAATATGATTGATCAAACAATGCCTATCTTACAAAATCAACACTAATTAAAGACAAGGGTTTGTACAATAATAAACGGAATCTAAGGGAGTTCTATTGTGTTTAAGCCTCCAGAGGCTCTCATTTTGAGTTCAATTAAGTTATTATTTGAACAATAAAATAAAATACTACCGGTATGTGAATCACCAAGGAATCAATTTAATGGTATATCTTGATAGTATTGTATAATTGTACGCCAATCAATTAGAGATTAGACTAGTTTCCTATTACATTCAAATTTATGGATAATTCTTCCCAAAATACACAAAGACAAGTATGAAAGCAACTCTATCTACGAGATCCACCTCACATGTGTATTTATTGCTTTATCGGGAGTGCCAGGAGTGTCAAATCTGACAGACATGAGCACTATACAAGAACCCAATATTATTATATAAGACAAGCCCCTGTGCGGGCTATTCAAAGGACATCTTTCATTCCATAAGTACATGTATGCATAACATATGAATGCCTTAGTAAAGTTGTCTATTGAACTTATTCTTGTTAAATTTTGCCTCCCTTTTAACTGTTAAAGGTACAGGTACTGGTTAACATTGTGATGGTTGATTTCAAAAATCTGTTGAATCGGGATGCAAAACACGTAAGATTATTTATGTATGCATGGACTATCCAGCTAAAATGCCTCAAATCTGAAATTAATTCACGCAATTCACTGTTCATTGACTCTATATATTTACACAAAGAAACAGGAAACAATATAATAACAATGTAAATAAAACATTTGGACATGTTTACCACAACAACAACATACATGTGTAAATTACTTTACAAACGACAGATACCAGTTGAAAATGATAAAAAAATAACATTCTGGCTAATTGCGTTGAAACGAATATCGTCTTTTACAAAATACACACACACAAGATTAAGATTAGGTTTGTGTAGATTAAGGCATGATGAGATTTAGTTCACATCAGATCCTTTGTCCTTTCAGTAGGTCAGCATTTCTTGTCGACCGTTGACGAGTTTGGACGTTACTTTTCCATCCTCTTCCGTGATCTCAGTCTCCTGTCCATGTTCAGTGATTCTGGGATGAAAATAGTGTTTGGTGAAAGATGGAGAGAGAGGAAAGAAGGAAAAGGAACCAATATGGTGAATTATAGTGCTGCAACATCACGGATATCTCCAATTCCGTTTAACCGCCAGTCAAAACCGGACGGTTTTCGGTTAAACGATTTAAAAAAATCAAGCAGCAAGCCAGGTCCGTGTGAAAAAGCGGGTGCAGTTGAAGGCGCCGATTTGTGTTTGTGAACTTGTCACAAATAACAGTAACAATGTCGTTTTTAGAAGATTGTGTAAGATCATTAATGAAAATTAAAAATAGTAGAGGACCTAGGATAGAACCTTGTGGTACGCCTTGTGTAAAAATTGGAGGAATTATTATTATAAACTACATATTGAGATCTATTACAAAGATTACTTTCAAGTTTCAAACCAAGATGACAGACAAATTGGAGTGTTGTTCTAGTTTCGGAGTGGTGAGTCAACACACAGATTACTGAGCTGGAAGACATTGCCAGGCATAGTGCCAGGTGGATGGGCATAAATCGAAACTTTAAAAAAAAAATTAAAAAAAAATAAAAATAAAAAATATTAAAAAAAAACAAAAAAAACAGGAAAACAAAACCGTCCAATTGAAGATGGAATCCGCCATGGCCGGTCGGATACCGGACGGTTAAACGTTTGACTACAGCACTAGTTAATTATTATCTATATATATAATATTTTCAGTGTGCCAATTGTAAACATATATTATTGAAAGTTGTTAAAATCCCAGGGTCCTGTTTTATAACAGGGTGTGTTATTAACTGTTAAAAGCTAATGAAATCATCGAATTTGATTGGCTGTTAGCAAACTTGTTACAGGAATGTGACAGTTGTTATTGATGATAGGTTTAGAAAAGAAGAGAGCCCTGGGCCCCTGTCTCATATCAATCGCAACTATGTACATAATAGAGATACAGGACTGTAAACTTGCGATCGATTGGAGGACTCGCGAATGATTCGGATCAGTCGCAACTCTTTATAAGACGGGCCCCTGATCATTACAAATAAAATCGAACACCACTGGTCCCAGATATCGCTTTTCAAGCCCCTTCAATATTGATTTTGCCACATTACACACAATATTGTACTTTTTAAAAAAAATCATTGAATGAAAAGAGAAATCTTACTTTGTTGTTTTGACTCTCTTTCCATTAATGAACCTGGTGGTAGTCGAGGTTCTCCTGACACCACTCCCAGAACTAGGAGCACCGAAAGATGATGATGAGGAAAATGACGTGAATCTAGAAGAAAAGAGAAACAGGAGCAGAGTTTTACCATAAAAATCAAACACTAAAGATACATTCAAGGGTTGGCAATATATATATGGCGAATGGAAATACAACATTACACACGTGGAGGAATTTGTACCTTATTTAACCTAGTACTGTATTATAACAAATCCTCTATTCACAGGTCATTATTGACATTAGTTTTCTTTAGGAACAATAGACTGGTTTACTACCGTAATACTGGATGTTTCCTGGGGACCCAGTGACGAGTTATCCCATTAACCTGTTATCAATGAATGAACCACAATACTCGGAATCCAGTCTGTGTACATGACTTGGCGCTATGTTGGGCAAGCCTCAGGCGAGCTTTTGGATGTCAAGTAAAACCTTGGTTTAAAAAATATGCATACAAATTTAAATATGTTAGTAAACTGGTCCCTGAAACTTGTCCATTTTCATTTCTAGTCTGCACTGCATTTTTTCTTGTACATGGATTCTGTGAACCTTGTGGAATCATCAGTAAGATCATGGAAGGTGATACAGGGTAAAACCTCAAGTAAATTTCAATCAGATAGCCTTAGACAATTTATCTGTTTATGTTCCCTCTGTTTGTAATTTTTATATCTCTTTTAAATGTGTAAATTCAGTAACATTTCAACTATAAAGGTTGTGAGTATTGAATTTTTAAAATCTTGAAATCTTGAAAATATAATATATACTGGCCTTCATATTAAGTAATTCATTAAAAATTGAAAAAAAATCCTGTAGTTGAAAATACATATATTTTATAGTTATAGCTAGACAAACAAATTCTGTGTTAAATCATCACTACAAGAACCGCATCAATGAATTCCTTAACTTCCTCCCCTAGTTCTTGGCTCAAATTTTGATCTTGAATCCATTTTCTTATACAACACATTTCCACAAGACGTTTACTACCAACGTTGGGACCTTTGCTACCAGTTTTGGGATCTTTACTACCAATGTTGGGATGTTATTCATGTTTACTCCCAATGATGGGACCTTTACTACCAATGTTAGGACCTTTGCTACCAATGTTGGGACCTTTACTACCAATGTTGGGACCTTTACTACCAATGTTGGGACCTTTACTACCAATGTTGGGACCTTTACTACCAATGTTGGGACCTTTACTACCAATGTTGGGACCTTTACTACCAATGTTGGGACCTTTACTACCAATGTTGGGACCTTTACTACCAATGTTGGGACCTTTACTACCAATGTTGGGACCTTTACTACCAATGTTGGGACCTTTACTACCAATGTTGGGACCTTTACTACCAATGTTGGGACGTTTACTACCAATGTTGGGACCTTTACTACCAATGTTGGGACCTTTACTACCAATGTTGGGACCTTTACTACCAATGTTGGGACGTTTACTACCAATGTTGGGACGTTAACTACCAACGTCGGGACGTTTACTACCATTGTTGAGACTTACCCATTGCCAAAGTCCCCGAACCCGTTCCCAAACGAGGCGAATGCCCCTCCTCCTCCACCTACACCTGCACCTAGTCTAGGATGCATACCTCTGTATGAACGCAAGCACCATGCAGCACATCATACACAGGCATGCAAGGAATATACCGGTAGGTTGATAAATAGAGAGGGGTAAAAAACAAATCAAGTGGTTATTACAAGCTAACACACATGGAACATTCTGTGTATCTTAGATTATGTGCATCTTAGAGACTAGCAATGTTAGATTGAAATGAATTAACTGCAATTTAAAACGAAGATGGTATATACATATCAAACATGTTTTCATAAATTATTACTCCCAACTACAAGACAACAATACATATCTAGAAGGATAGGGAGAACATATGTGAACTACAACCAGGTAAAAGGCAAAATATGGGGGGGGGGGGGGACGGTGGGCTACATGTACTTATAGGAGTAATATCAGCTCTATAACTCAAAGGAAAAACATCTAAAAATATATGTTAAACATAGTTTAAATAAAGAATGTGTAGAGGTATGGGAAAATGGAAACAGATCTCAAATACATGCTATAAAGACTCAAAGTAAGTTATCTTGTACAGATACATGTACATCATATATTATCAATGCAGGACATAACTTTGTAAATCAATAATAATGTACATGGAGGCAGTCCAGTGGAAACATTCTTGAGTTACGAAAAATACAAAAAAATATCAAATTTACAAGGGGTATGACAAATTATGAATAATTCTGATGATGTACCTAAGCCAATTTTACTTTGGACAACACATTGCACTGTATTTCTTTGTACACTACATTACAGTATACGATTCAAACATGTAGCAATGTAATGCTGATGGAGACTTTGAAAAAAGAAACTGAAACATGGACCTGAAAACATATCTAGTAAATCATGTTAATGAGACACTTATTGTGATCAAACGGTGCTCTATCGGGTATGCAAATGATAAAGTTCACCTTTTGTTCTGCAAGCTGAATTATTCAAAAATATATATGAGCATGAACATGAGCATGATCATGAACATATAACAAGTTTATAATAAGTTCATATTTTTAAAACAGGGAGACATTTTTACAAAATAAGAGAAAGAGAGATAGAGAAGGAAGGAAGCTAGAGGAAGAGAAGTAGAGAGAGAGAGAGAGTGATAGAGTGAGAGAGAGAGAGAGAGAGAGAGAAGGAAGGAAGCTAGAGGAAGAGAAGTAGAGAGAGAGAGAGTGATAGAGTGAGAGAGAGAGTGATAGAGTGAGAGAGAGAGAGAGAGAAGGAAGGACGCTAGAGGAATAGAAGTAGAGAGAGAGAGTGATAGAGTGAGAGAGAGAGAGAGAGAAGGAAGGAAGCTAGAGGAAGAGAAGTACAGAGAGAGAGAGCGATAGAGTGAGAGAGAGAGAGAGAAGGAAGGAAGCTAGAGGAAGAGAAGTAGAGAGAGAGAGAGTGATAGAGTGAGAGAGAGAGAGAGAAGGAAGGAAGCTAGAGGAATAGAAGTAGAGAGAGAGAGAGAGTGATAGAGTGTGAGAGAGAGAGGGAGAGAGAGAGAAGAAAAGCAGGAATGAAGAGAAGTAGAGAGAGAGAGATAGAAAAGGGAGGGAGGTACACTGTTTTCTAACAGGCATATTAAGTTGTTTCTTACATATTTTGAGGACATACACGTACAAACATGTACTTGTGCTCACTAGTGAGGTACATCTGATTGGCGATGTAACTTGAAAAGTAGTTCTTTCTTCAGTCAGTGGGAATAATTACCCATTTTGGTAAGCTTTCACTTGCTCTAATGCAAGTTTCTTCAGACCTATGTTGTAGCTGACGCTGTTGCTGCTGCAGCGTGACATAGGTCTGAAGAAGCTTGCAGTACAGCAAGTGAAAGCTTAATACTAAAACAGATAATTTTTCCCCTGATTGTGAAATATGAACTAATTTTCAAAGTACTTATGCTGTAAGGGCATGGATATGTTACAAAAAGGATTGCCTTTCATAAAACGTTAAGCTTCATCGAGATTGTATGCAGTAACCAGCTCCATATCCTAACGATGTGGTTCTAACTTTGTGTGATAAAATTAAAATTTTCAACAATCATGTATTTTGCGTTCTTTACGCACCTATTCATGCCACTACAATTGGCTAAACTATCAAAAGAGGGTGCTTTCCAACATGTGATACAATATACATCTACCAGTACAGCTCAACTTGTCAAAATAACATAAAATATTTGACTACTGTTCATCCTACATGTTGGGGGTCACATGTGTTTGAACTATCTTGATGAGCTAAATAGAAAATCATATGACTTCATGACTACATAATCATAATTTTTTTACAACGAACAGAACATAATCTTTTATACAAATGATGAGTGTGTATGCATGCACATAATGATATACATGTGTATGAGCTAATCAACTACGGTAATGGTTATACAACAAACATATATATGTGTGAATATATTGTGGTATACATGTACAAGTACACTGTCCTACTCTTCTTGCAGGCAAGTTCAAGCTAAAACTAACACATCATCTGTTTGAAGCAAAATGATCATTAACTCAAGACAGATGATTTCAACATATCCTGGTAGCTTTTAACAATGTAAATGATAAAACACATGGATCAAAAAACAAAACTACTATTCTATAACAATGCAGTCCATCTACAAATTATGTGATAAACCATACAGTGAACACAAAAATCAAATGGTTAATTATTATTTATTTAAACAAATCAACACCAAAAGGGGGGCTACTGAAGCAAGGGGTTTAAACCGACAACCTCACATCCAGGACTGAGCCCTTACCCAGTACGAGGGAAGATACTCCACAGATCACCATAGGGATCGAACATATAGCCAGAGCGTAGCCGGCTTGGTGCGTGGGGTAGACTGAATGGGTGGGAGGTTGTTCAAAAGGGGGTGGTTGTAAGAGGTAGGATAAAAAGGTCATTTGCATCCTCTTATTGAGTACCGAAGCTGTGACATCATACAAATCTATTTTTAGAATTTCTCAATTTTTTCTTCATTTTCCAAAAGAGCATCAAAAATAATGTCTGAATGTCAACAAAAAAAATTGAATATGTTAAGTATTGGCTGAGATATGACCATCTGAATAAATATACATGTATGTTCCTAATATTATGAACCAGAGCACTATAAGACTGAGTTCCCATAGGACAACTATTTATTCAGATGGTCATATCTCAGCCAATACTTAACATATTCAATTCGTTTTCGACATTTGGACATTATTTTTGATGCTCTTTTGGAAAATGAAGACAAAATTGAGAAATTCTAGAAATAGATTTTTGATGACGTCACACTTCACCACTCTATTACATCCTTGTTAATACATTACGTTGTAAACCGCTGTCAACAAAATATAAGAATATATATACGTAGTGTGTTTCATATTCCTGGATCTTGTACCTATTACACAAAGATAAGTAACGCATTACAGCCTTTGTTGCTCGCAGCTACTTTTCCTCACTGCATGCTATTCACTCATTAAATAATAATAAGATACTACATGTACATAGCGCATACCCTTATGCGCTGAAATAGAGAGAATGAAAAGATAACAACATAAAAACATAAAATTGAGAGGAGTGAGATATGCTCAGCATACTTTTTTATTAAAGTCATCAGTAAACATTGAAAATTGTTTTCTAAATGATTTAAACATAAAATGCTTTTCATTTCGCTGCAGCTATTTTCTAAGGAGGTTTACCAAACCATGTGTGCACAGAGGCTTAGGGTACAGCACCATACAATTTCCAGATCCAATTATAATACTTTATTTGACCCGTACGTCATCGCAAATGGACATAATTTGAGCGGTTCATTTGGCCATCCTGATTACACGCAAGACTACTTGTGAAAGCAGAAAGAGAGAGGAAAGAGACACCTATTCAGGTCAGACAGCTAGCGTACACGCACCGATACCTCTCATGAATGAATTGTTTTGATAGCAACACCATCACCATTCTTTGCTAACAAGAGCATGAAATCAGACCAAAACTTGTCTCTTTGTCGGTGACTTAAATATTATATAGAACGCAATGGACTCGGCCTTGGATCGAGCCTGCTGTCTAAATTGCACTAGTTAGTACAGTGTACAATAGCATCAAGAAATCTGGAAACTATTCCAGCAGTTGCACATCGGCAAATACATGACAATCAATATTTTCAGAGTGGTGAAGTGTGACGTCATCAAAAATCCTTTTTTTTTTTAATTTCTCAATTTTGTCTTCATTTTCCGAAAGAGCATCTGGTTCATAATATTAAGAGCCTGAGCAATATAACACTGAGTTCCTATAGGAAATCTGTTTATTCAGATGGTCATATCTCAGCCAATACTTAACCTATTCCATTGGTTTTCGACATTTTGACATTATTTTTGATGCTCTTTGGAAAATGAAGAAAAATTGGTAAATTCTAAAAATAGATTTTTGATGATGTCACACTTCACCACTCTTTTCCAGCAGTTGTACATCTGCATACACATGACAATCAATACTCATAGATTGAAACAGGAAGTATGTAAAGCTTGTATTCTCTAGAAAAAAGGGATTAGGCGTAATGAAATAATATATTTTGCATTAAGTACACTGTAACTGAGTCAACAGGATGTCATATAAATACATATTTATACAGAGAAAGACAGATGTAGAAATGAGTGGAAAACAGGAGAGACAGACAAATATGAGAGCAAGTTACCGAGAAAAAGAATGAGGAAATAGAGAAAAACAAACAATAAAGGGGTAACAAGAACTGCCTGTATTTCATCAGGAGAGAAATTGAAAGCAAAACTAAAGATAGAGAGAGAGAGAGAGAGAGAGAGAGAGAGAGAGAGCGAGCAAAAGAACAAGAAGCAAAAGAGAGCGAGAGGGTGAGAAAAAGAGACAGAGATGGACAGAGAAAAGAAGAGTGAACAAGAAAAACAAAGATAATGCCAAAGATAAAATCAAGAACATCAAGAAAGTAAGAAATAAGAGAGAAGATTAAAAGTTATTCAAATAAATCTAGTACATGTAAACTCACCCAAATGAAGGTAGACCAGAATTAAAGAAAGAGTCTTGGAAAAGTGCATCATGAGTGTCATATGATCCACTCGCTGATTCTGTTATACAAGCAAAACAATATGCATAAATATATATAGAAGCCAGTAGAGGAGATGAGCAATTTCAATCATTTCATATACATGTAACATGCCAAATAATAATGAAACAAAAAACAACAAAATCTTATGTAGAAAAAAATGAAAATATTCATAACTAGATACAGAAGCAAATTGAAGATAAACAGCAATTTTTATCTTTTTTTCTTCTTCAAAGTCATTTTATTGTACTTATTTATTTTCATGCAAAAATAAAATATATTTTGTTTTTTCTTTTCACAACAAGTACACGTACTAAAGTGTTGGGAGCCTTAATGTTGCCAAACATAATTTATGGCAAAGTTTCACTTAAATTGTCTAATGGTGTTATTACCACGGTCATATCAACACAGATATAACATTACTGCTACCATTGCAAGGTGATCATGTTCTCTGTCAATGTGAATGTGTTCTTTGTCAGTGTGAACACGTTCTCTGTCAGTGTGAACACGTTCTCTGTCAATGTGAACACGTTCTCTGTCAATGTGAACACGTTCTCTGTCAATGTGAACACGTTCTCTGTCAATGTGAACACGTTCTCTGTCAATGTGAACACGTTCTCTGTCAATGTGAACACGTTCTCTGTCAATGTGAACACGTTCTCTGTCAATGTGAACACGTTCTCTGTCAATGTGAACACGTTCTCTGTCAATGTGAACACGTTCTCTGTCAATGTGAACACCTTCTCTGTCAATGTGAACACGTTCTCTGTCAATGTGTACTAACCTCCAAAGAAGGCACTGAATGGGTCGCTGGTTCCAAAGAATTCTCTGAAGATATCATCCGGATTCTTGAACTCAAAATGGAATCCACCCCTCCTTCCAAAACCGCTGCCAAAGCCGCTTCCAAAACTGTCGTAGTCAAAATCTGTGTGTTGTCGCCCTGCAGAGAGGAAGAGAGAGAGAGAGAGAGAGAGAGAGAGGGAGAGAGAGAGAAAGAGAGAGAGAGGGAGAGGAAGTAAAAATATCATGATAATATGACAATATTATGAACACTATCCTAAAAGTTCATCTGTACTAGTGATGCACATACATTTATGTGAAGAATTAAGGTTTTGATCTCAATAAAGAAATCAACAAACTTTTAAAGGCCATTGCCAATTATGACAGAAAGGTCACGAAAGGTCAAGAAAGGTCAAGAAAGGTCAAGACAGGTCGTTTCATTGATGAAGGCTGTAGATGAACAGCTAAAAATATCAGAGGTAAAGATATTCGAAATTTTGAATTGAGAACAAAAGTTTAAACTCTCAAAATATCATGAACACTTCTAATGTGCTGGTATGCAAAACTACAATTTCTCCCAAAATTACAGCGGAATGCAGAAGAAATTGAAGGGAAAAGTGTGAAGGAAAAATGATGCAAGTGATGGCTGCTTTCATGGCCAGAAACACAACAATCTAATTTATTTTTGTGGCATGAAAATTTGGCAAATCTGGGCCCCCGCCGTTTAATAAAGAGTTGAGATTGATCCAAATCAATCGCAAGTTTGCGGTCTGCTATCTCAGATGTACATGTCATGGCTGCGATTGATATCAATTGCAGATAAGTTGCTAATAATATCAACTTTTAGAAAGAAGAGGCCCTGGACGTCCCAAAATTCCCCCAAATTCCTAATTTTACTGATATAGTAAAGGCTCAAGGTAGAACAAAAATGAAGATCAAACAGAACAAAAGAAAATGATATCTAGAGTGCACTTTAAATTGCCATAATTTTCTTTGGAAGTGATAAAAGAAACAAGAAACTTTATTAGTTTATTTATTTCATTTTCCATTTAAAAGATAGTATTACTTCTTCTAACATACATGTACATGTATACATGTAGATAAGTTATAGATACATGATGTTATTACAGTAAATTGTGTTATATCATACCGAGTAACATTATTTGATTGTACCATTGTATTTGCTGATTTATGGAAATAAATACTCATAAAATAATAGAAAATTTATTTGAAAATTCCTTGGAACTAATCAGTAGACTATCTACAATTTTGCTTGAAATAATTCCAACAACCTAACCATACTGTTTCAACTTGCTACAAGAAAGATAAAAGATTCATGTTTAATATGCTTCCAAATGATTTCAGAGCAAATTCTCTTCAATTATTTACAACAGTTGACCTTCATATTCTTCACTCACTAATGATTTGTTGTACATGTACATGTATGTGCTATGAGTATGATAGTTTGATCCTAGTCTGCAGGCATATACCCTTGTCAGCCGTAGGGTGTAGCAGTGTCTGCATTATGAGACTACAATACGGTAGGCCTTGTAAATTACAAAGCCGCTCCTGGACCATAAGGCTACTGAAAAAAATATACGTGTTAAGCGTCCCGCCTGCTTCCTTTTTGGGGCCGCCTCCTTTTTTTCCTTTTTAAATTGTGTATTTTTTTTTTTTTTTAAACATGAAAACCACTGCTAAAAATTATCTATTTTTGATTTAAAAAAAAAAAAAAAAAAAAATCCCGGCGGACATCTTGAAAGAGAGCCCGAATGTCAGGGAAAATGTACCAAGCGGCCATTTTGAAGAAAAAAGGAAAAAAAGGGCCTCCTCCTTCCTATTTTTCAAAAAGGCAGGACGCTAAACATGCTTTTGTTTTTTATTTGGCCAAAACTGACAGATCTACATGTAGGCTCTGCTCAGGGCTTTATGAATTGTTATAAAGTGTCAAACTACTGTACTATTTGTGCTTGCAGACTATCTTTAATAACAAGGCACACAGCACAGCTCTATAGCTTCTATACAGTGTACACGGTACATGTAGATCAAGCATTCTTAGCATCGTTTTCTACCAGGTACTTGTTTACTACAAGTGGGATGGTGGTGGAGAGAGAAACAACAAACACTGTAGCTGATTATATATACAACAATGTACACAACATGTACATGTACATGTAATCTCTACCAGACTCTCACTCTCTTTTTTGAAATTTGATACCTGTAATACATTTTACCTGTAATTACTATTATTCAGTGCTCAAATTGTTAATATATGATGAAAAAATATTTTTAATATACCCATTACCACCATCATCCCTGGTGTGAAGACTGTAAATAGAATAAGTCCCATATGTACTTCATCTTATGGTCACTCAAATAGTTGGTGCATGATGAAAGCCCTCTCTTTAATCTATTCTTAAGACACTACCACCATCATCATCATCATCATAACTGTTGTGTTAATCACTCCCATACACGTCTGTTAATCTCATCAAGAAGATGCCTGTTAATCCACTCATACTAACAGCTTATCTCGTTACAGTCTTGTGGTGCCCTGTGAACAGGACGCTCATTAGAAACCTTTCAGTTCCAATTAAAGGGGCTATTCAACATTCTTGAAAGTCTTCTCGGATGGAGTAGCTGTTCATAAATCTTTATTAAAAAGTTGAAATAAACATATTTCAGAATTTAAAGAAAATTGAAGATCATGTGTGGAATTAATTTCCGTCTGTTTTTCACTTGTTTCACATTTCACATTCCATTGTCTGAAAAGAATGTCATAATAACCTTTCAGTTCCAATTAAAGGGGCTATCGATCATTCTTGCCAGTTTTCTACATGGAGGGATTATTCATAGATCTTTAAAGGGAAATCTAACCCCTGTAATAAGTTCCTTTGTATGAAAGCAGAAAAAAAGATACACAGAATGGCGAAAGTATGAAATAAATTGGAAAAATAATAAGAAAGTTATGAATGTTTGTAATATGAGATCACCAAGTCTACAGGAGTATGTGAATTGTCACAGAGGTGAGCGTCATACTATTGGATCAGGATAAGGATTAGAGTTTGAATGTACAACTAAACTTACCTCCTGCATTGTGCTGCTTCAAACCATCCAGTCCATACCTGTCATATACATCCCTCTTTTTCTCTGCAAGAACAAGCACAAAAATATGCAATTATTGTGAAATAAAATGCAATTCAGGGTGTGAGACTTGCCTAAGCTAGAATGTAGAATGCTTAATCACCCTGATAATTTACATGTTGTAGTTGTTATTTGTAACTGTGTACACTTTCCACTGCTAAAACCAATACCATCCAGCATTAGAAATTAGAAACTTCTCTTTTGTACAACATTTAAGCAATTCACTTATCTTTTTTTTTTAATAATCAATAATATTAGATGATAAAAATAAAAGGCAAAAACAAAGAACATAATGAACTGAAATTAGTTCATCTACATTGTACACTTGTAAATAGTACTTTGTCTTGAAAAAGATAATATAATTTACATCTAAATATTATATTCAAAACTGGATAAAGTGATAATGATAATTCTTGCATGATGATGAAAGTTGTTTTCTCTCTGAAAACCTATTTATATACATTCAGCTGGGCTTAATCATCACAGATGTTCCTATTTACTGACACTCTGACAGCATACAAAACCTTTCATGTCCATGCAAGCGGTGCCTTTAAAATCATTATACTATGGATTTGTTGCTCCATCTGTGCTAGGATAGCCTCATTTGTATAATCTAGTCAAATGGTATTGAGCCAAAAATATAATCTCCAAGTAGGTCAAAGGATTTAAGGCTTAAAAGGGACTATACGTATCGCAATGAACTGTGACAACGATTTACACTAAAAAATAACCATTCCATGATTCCACATGTTTACAAATATTTGTAGATGAAGATGTAACAAGTGAATTAAAAGCGTCTATTGAAGAGTAAGGACCAAGGATCCTTGAAATATTGTCCATAGTCCTTTAAAAAAAAACACTGTAAGGGCTGATGTCCCTCATGGAATCCCTTCTAAAGCACAAATTGTTTACTGTACTCATTGTGGGTGATAAAATCAATAGTAATTCCCTAATGATGCTCCTGCTATGATGGAGCTGTGAACATCAAGATAAAATGTGTGAGTGTGTGTAGGGGGGGGGGGGAGGGTCCATTAAAAATATTGTATATTGACAAGGCGCTATAAGCCTATACAGCTATCCTTTATGGAATCCCTTCTAAAGTAAACATTGTTTACGCATTATGGGTGATGAAATCGATAAGTAATTTCGTGATCATGCTCTTGCATGCATTCCAGGATAGGTGCTTCTAAGGGTGCGTTTAAGCTTAAATTTTGAAGGCAGAATGAGCGATTTGTAACGCTCATCGTAATCGCAGTTCCACGGTGTACTGTTTATGCTCACTTCTCTGGCTCCTCCAGGCAATTCTCCCTGTGTGGCCTTAATTGGTCTTCCAGCTGAATTCGCAAACCTTCACTGTGCATGCTACGTAGACCCACTAGAGGTCAGTGCGTTGACCCCATTTAAACGCGTTTAAAAATTGTAAACGCATCTTTTTGTGAGTTTACGATCAGCGATCATGATCGCCGTTTTTCGGTGATTCTACAAAAGTGAGCATGGACGCAACCGTGTTTTAAACTAAACGCGTAACAGATGCCTGTTTCTGGCCAGAAAAAGTGAAGCATAAACACGCCCTAATATGATGGAGCTGTGAACATTAATGTTTAGATGACAGTTAAAATATGTTAGTGTGAGTTTGGGAGAGAGAGAGAGAGAGGGGGGGGGGGGTCTCCATTATAAAATATTGTACACATGAACAGAGGCTCTCCTTCAAGGAATCCCCTCTACAATACAAATTGTTTACGCATAATGGGTGATGAAATCGATAGTAATTCCCTGATCATGCTCTTAGCCTCTTTCATGCATTGCATGATACTAGGCGCTGCTATGATGGAGCTGTGCACAGTAAGTAAGATAGAATGTGTGAGTGTGTGGGTATGGAGGGGGGGGGGGCATTATAAAACATTATATATATTGACAAGGCTCTATGTGTAATGTGTATGCACATATTATGGGCTATCCCTTCAAGGAATCCCCCAATACAAATTGTTTACGCATAATGGGTGATGAAATCGATAGTAACTCCCTGATCATGTTATACGCTTTTACTATGAAGGAGCTGTGTACCTACATCCAGGCTCAGATGACAGATAAAATGTCTGAGCCTCATATTTCACACATCGCTAGTGAAGCATGATTACATTACGCTGGTCATGTTCCCACTGGCTAAGTTTCATATGCATGTCAGTTCATTGCATGGCGCAGTATTCACCTTTCTCTCTGTACATACTGTACACCTGTACAGTAGGCTGACTAAACAATGTGTTTTGTTTGGCACACATACATGTATTGTAACTACTGTAGCGCTCCATGTGAATAGCTTACAGTGTTTATGAAGTAGGTTGCAATGTGCACAACATTCTGTCGAGGTGAAATCAACTGTACTGTTCTCGTAGTCCAAGGCTATAGCCCAATGTCGTATGCATGTATTTGTATATACACTGTAGTATTTTAAAGTAAACATAAATATGTATACATGTATATTTGTAGAAACAGTACAGACGAGAATCAGCAATAGAGAAGACTACTTTTAGAAATTAAATTGTACCACATGCAACTTGAATAAATAACTCATTCATAATTGTGATCTTACAACATAACATACACTGTGCCTGGTACACAGTTCATGTGTACACCTGTATATTATGTTTATCCATGAATATCGAATATTCATCAAAATGGTAATCAAAGGAAAAGAGACAACATCTATTTTTACAATATGGGCTAACATGATTACCTGCTACTCATAATTATATTCATGGATACTCATGATTATTCATTAAAAAAAAAATTGATTGCAAGGATATCTTACTACCGTATCTGATAGAATCTCATGAGTCTCTGCAATCTCTTTAAGCCTTCAGCAATCTGTGCTTCCTTCTTTAAACAGAAAAAATGAAATCTATCTGTACAATGATTGCATTCTGAATATTCAGTATGCCATCACGATTATTTATGAAAATGAAAGCAATTTGCAAGGGTGATGTCTTACTATCTGAAAGAATCTCATAAGCCTCTGCAATGTCTTTAAATCTCTTTTCTGCTTCCTTCTTTAAACAGAATATATACAATCAATCTGTATAACAATTGCATTCTTAATATTCATGGTACTCATGAATATTCAGTATGCAATCATGATTATTCATGATACTGAAAGCAATTTGCAAGGATATTATCTTACTATCTGATAGAATCTCATAAGCCTCTGCAATCTCTTTAAATCTCTTCTCTGCTTCCTTCTTTAAACAGAAAATAAACAATCAATCTGTATAACAATTGCATTCTTAATATTCATGGTACTCATGAATATTCAGTATGCAATCATGATTATTCATGATACTGAAAGCAATTTGCAAGGATATTATCTTACTATCTGATAGAATCTCATAAGCCTCTGCAATCTCTTTAAATCTCTTTTCTGCTTCCTTCTTTAAACAGAAAATATACAATCAATCTGTATAACAATTGCATTCTTAATATTCATGGTACTCATGTATATTCAGTATGCAATCATGATTATTCATGATACTGAAAGCAATTTGCAAGGATATTATCTTACTATCTGATAGAATCTCATAAGCCTCTGCAATCTCTTTAAATCTCTTCTCTGCTTCTTTCTTGTTGTTTGGATTCTTGTCCGGATGCCATTTAAGGGCTAGTTTTCTGTAACTGAAAGAGGAAGGAGACACATATTAGAAATTAGAAATTGATTTTGAAAAATAGAAACTCTTAAAAATGTAATAACTCACTGTCCTTGTATCTTTACATGTACATTTACAAGATTAATAATAATAATAATAATATCGAATATTTAGGAGCGCTAAAAACAATAAGTACCATAGCGCTTACAAATACAAATATATGTAAAGAGGACAAGAAAGTACAGAACAGGAAGTATATCACATAGATCATTGGGGGAAAAGGTGAGTTTTGAGGGATCTTTTGAAGGTGGCAAGACAGGTAATTTTCCTTATGGAAAGAGGGATGTTGTTCCATGTCTTTGATGCAGCTACTGCAAAGCGTTTTTCAGCTACTGAGAGTCTAGATTTGGGAATGTTAAGTTTACATGTGTCGGTTGCTGAACGAAGTTACGAGTTGGTGTATATATTTGGAGGGTGTCATTAAGATATTCAGGTGCCAGATGATTGAGTATTTTAAAAGCATACAAACAGAATTTAAACAGAACACGTTGGTGAAGAGGTAACCAGTGGAGCTCCTTAAAGGTGAAGTATGAGTTCTTGACCCAAGGCCAAAGATTAATCTAGCGGCACGATTCTCGACAGTTTCAAGTTTCCTTCTATCTTTAGCAGATAAAACAGTATACATGTAAAGACTATTGCAGTAATCCAATCTAGAAAGAATAAGAGCTCGGACAGCATGGTGACATGTCTTTAAATCAATAAATCTGTGAATCCTCCATAAATTGCGGAGATGAAAATTACTATTACGGACTACTTGGTTAAGGTTTACATGAGAGGTCAATTTGAACATATTAACATATTAACATATTAATGTCTCTTGCAATAGAACAGATCCTTTCAAAAAAAGTCTTGTATCTATAAATTTGTCCTCTGGACAACATCTCTTGTAGTACTGTAAAACTGCTACACTTTTGTATATATTCAACATGGAATCAAATTTAGATAAAACTGAACTTAATCCTCTTGAAAAAGGCGAGCTCAGTATCCAGACCCTGTGTCTCATACAATAAATTGATGCCCAGTCTCATAATATACAGTGCTTATAATAAATATATAATAAATACCATATTTAACTTAAGAAAAGAAGTAATGTTATGATTGTCCCAATGTGTTACTTGCAGAGAGTGTGGATGGTATTTTGGTATAACAAAAGAAGAGAGAAAAGAAAAGCAAAAATTTTAAAAATAACAATTTAGAGTGTACTGTACATGGGTACATAAAATCAGCAACATTCAGGCAAATACAAATTGTGTTTGATTTTTTTTTTTTTGCGATTCCCTTGCGATATTCAATTATATCTAGGAGCATTGATATCACAATTGACAGTGTACTGTACTCCAAAAATGCAAATCTATGAAGAGGGAAAAAGGGGAAAATATAAGCAAAAAAACGTAAATGATCAAGCAATCCAGTCATTGAATATTCTTTCCATTGATATCCTGAAATACTGTAGCTTCAATATTAACTTTACAGTTACAGGTTTTTACTGTAGTAAATCCCAGAGTACATTTAATGAACAACCCTTCCAATGAATGAGAGAGAGAGAGAGAGAGAGAGTCGCTAATCAATTGGCATACAGGCAATGCCTGTGTAATGAAATCTCATTTCCACCATCCAAACGTCGTCATAGAAACCTTAGTATTCATCTGCCTGTTGTTACTACTCTGGCAAATTAATCTGAGAGAGATCTATATTTACAAAGGTATGTTACCTTGCAGGCTTGCACTGTCTGGAATTGTATTAAAACATACTACCCATCAAAGGTTAGATTTCGTAAAAATCTAAGTTGCAAAATTGTATTGTAATTCCCCCCCCCCCCCCCCCATAATTACAGGGGTTCTATCTTGCACGTTTGTACTTATTTAATTAAAGGTAAAGACCAGTTATGGTCATGCGATTGCATTGTGAAAGAAACGTTGTGGAATCGATCAGAAAAGGTTGATTATCTAGCATCTAGCATCTGCAAGGTTCTGGAATCATCAAAATGATAAGAAATTTGGCCCATTCTTCGTAAAGTTACAAGCACTATACACAGAAAGAAGTATATGGGACTACCCTATATCTCTCACAGACCATGAGAGAAACAAATTTACCAAATATATGAATTAGTAGGCGGTTTCCCGGCAAATTTTTTATCATCATGTATTAACATATTCTTTCACATGATTGGTAATAAGAGCTTCCATTTCATTTTTTGAAATTGGGGCATTTCCAATACTGGTCTTTACCTTTAAGCTAATATAAATGCATATATTGTTGAATTGGAAATTAGTAGCATTTCCCTATACCGGTATACTTTCAGCACCTATGGGTGGGAAGTTTGGGCGATTGGTTTAAAACTAGGGTAATTAATAATAGTTATGTTATCAAAGGCTCCATACGCATTACCCTGGGCTGTACATGTACATGGTACATGTATTTAACTCCATTACTATCATCTAATTATCATTATACAAGTAACTTACGATTTCTTGATGTCAGTCTCGCTGGAGGTTTTTGCGACGTTGAGGACTCGGTAGAAGTCAGGCATCTTGATGATTGTGGCTATAACAAACACACAGCTGGAAAGAGACGAAAGAGAGACAAAGAACAAAGAATTATTACACGTTCTTCTCACTGTTTGTCAACCATGTAAAATGTGTTGTGGAACTTTTGACCCCTTGTAAAGCAAATAATGGTGAATCCAAAGAATTTTTATTGCGTGCTAAAAATATAGGGTAAGAAAATCTAGGGTACAAGTTCAAACATACATGTACCTGTACATGCTCATGTGCAAAACTTACAGTACATGTACGTGTACACCTATAGGTCTACACAAGAACTCAAAGTTTCCTAGCACTAAATAAAACATGAGCAGCAAAATGAAGTACACATGTAACATGTACAGTGTACATGTACATCTTGGCCCGAATTCACAAAGGAGGTTTGTCGACAAACCTTGGTTTTTGTACGTCATATGACGCGTTTTACACGTTTTTTACAAACCTGGTTTGTAAAAAACAAAAGGAGGTTTGGCGAAACAAAAGGAGGTTTGAGCTCGAACCTTGCTTTGTGAATTTGGGCCGTAAAGTTGAAGTGTGCTAACTTTAAAGATGATTTTTGGATTGATGTGGTCAATTTAGTCATCTGAAACTAGGCCTACAGTGTACCGGCTGTGTCTGTGTGTTCAATTTATCCAAAATAACCTGGGCCCCGTCTTTAATATAAATAGTTGATATCAATCACAACAACAGTGTAGTATGTACATGTATATATATGTGTACAGTGTTTAAGAGATAGGGGACTGCAAACTTGCAATTGATTAATTAATACAGGACTTGCGATTGATTTGATAGGTGATAGGTGATAGGTGATAGTGGTGGTTATTTTACCTGACAGCTAAGAAAGCAATAAATGCTTGTAAGTAAGCAATCAATTGTAACTCTTGAGACAGGGCCCAGGTCATACACAATTAGGTGAACTATAGAAGTGTACCATCTACACAATACACAATATCAACAAGTACAAAGAAAGTTTGCCGTGAGTAAACACATCATGAATTGTAGTTGTTCTTGTTTCACCAACAACTTCGTTCACAGCATTGTGTGACCTAGATGCACATTGTAGGCACTGCACAGACAGTGTCAATAAACACAGTCATCATGCACGTAACACCAAAGAGATACAGGGTACAATACATTAACGGTACTGTAGTAGAGAAGCATTCCTTTAGAGAGCTAGGTGTTAGAACTTCAAAGAGCTACATTAGATCAAACAGGAAATCGTTATTCAAACAATTGTAGGCCTATATTAATTAGTAGATTTATTCATTTCCTACATGTACTATGATTTTTAAACACATACCGGTACTGCTTATTTTAAAAGAAAACAACTCTTTTGGTAATTCACTGGCAAATGTACAGCATATCTTATAACAATTTTTAAAATGTATATTTTTTTCAATTCAATTCAATAAGGGTTTATTCGTATGATGTTCTGGCAGCCGAAGCTGAATTGCAGATCATTTGTACAAGGTAAAAACATCATGATATTTAAAATACACATGTTGACATAAAATAAAATTAATGACATATAAAAGGATAAAAATACTGGACACATTTATACACATAATAGGCAACATCATTAAACATAAACATATACAAAAATATATAGATCTATAGATACTGTAGATGGATACATTTATTTTGGTGGCAGCAGTTGGTTATTGAATAATTGAACTCTTGTAAACAGCATAAATAGTTTGCAACTTATATTCTTTATAGGCAAGAGAGGCTAGAGAGCTTTGAAAAAGGCATGCAATTCCATAAATTCTATAGTAGCCCTGCATGCTATCATACAGTTGATACACATTGAATCGAGGCTCAAAATTTCATTTCAGCTACATCAAGAGCCTCCATAGACCACAGGAATGAAATCAAAAGCAATAAGATTCTAAATGTCCTACAAAATCTCTGCGACAGTTACCGGTATATGCATTTTATTGCATTCCATGTCATCAGTCCGCTGAGAACTAAAAAGGGTTCAACCCTGTCATAAATGATACAAATTTACGCCCCTCTGACACCGAGTTTGATCTTTCCAGATATTTCCAAATTGCAAGAGAGATTACGTTTTAATAATGTCACCAGTTCTTGCTCATGTCAAAGTGGTAATATTGCAATTATTTGTTGCAATGTGAAACCCAGTAATTGCCCATAAAATGCACAATGCCCAAGTAGTGTTGAGCACAGCAGAAAAACATTCAACGATTCGGCCCTACAATGCATACAGCGTACATGTGTGTAGATTTTTTTATCAGCCCCCCACATATACCATAACAGCCGAGTGCATGAGCTGACTTTAATCATACCCCTTGTACAGGGTGTACATGTAAATTTTGTGATTTTTGTGTTTTTCATTTATAACTCAAGAATAAAAGGTAGAATAAATCAGGGCCTTTGTTGAATGATTTTAGATGTTAATCTACATGTAAGATTTAATATGCCACATTCTCAGAAAACATTACCGTAATCAGACAAAAGTTCACCCTGATATTATTATTTTTTCTTCTTTCAATAGCATGTGCATGTACATGTATACCGGTAGGCCTATTGAAGACTTCCATTTCACATTCATATCAAAATATCAAATAAAGTCATATACCTAGGAAGTCTAAACAAAGGTTTACCAGGAATCTTTGTGATTAATTCCCGATATTATTAAGTTGGTTTTGATAGAAGCAGAATAATGGGAGAAACATGTCAGTGAAAGTTTGAGCAAAGAACAATTAAATTTAAAGATACAAGTTTTGAAGGTGCGATCAGTAAAATGCAAATTGGCAACACTGTGCCGTGTCTTGCAAGCAACCCTTCCATTCATCCTGTACTACAAAATAGAAAATTAAATAAATTTCCCTTTAAAAATGTTCAATCATAGTAGCCTATTCATACGTTCACGCTAATTATAATTATAGCAAATGACGTGTTTTTATACAACCACTGTACTAAAACAAATCTATTTTATCATACAATTAAAGTTTATGAAAGTGATGAATTTTTACCCGTTTTACTTTTATTAGATGAAAAATTTGTCTTTCATCTAGACCCTACTTTCTAATTCTAGCCTGTTGAAACAGAAGTGAAACAAGTGTTGTATTTACTTTCTAAATAAAGGCCTATTAAATTCAGAATCATCTAACAAGTTTCCCTACTTTCACCCCCCCCCCCCCTCCCCTTGTTAACAAAATAATAAGAAGAAAATAAAGAGGCTGTTCACACCGGCAGAGATAGCGCGCGCTAGACCGCGCTATCTCCGCGGTTTGGAAGGTACAACACCGGAGTGAAGTTAGAAAGATATTCGATATTCGATATTCGATATTCAAAATGCGAATATAAAGCCAGTTTGATATTCGGATTTTCGGATATTCAAAATATCTCAATTCAATACACATAAACATATCTGATATAAGCTTGTTTTAGGTACCCAACCCCTATTGACCGGGACCATCATCTGTTGTCTGATAGATATGAAAACAACATACATTTTTATATGACTTTTATCCCGGTCAAAAGGGGATAAGTCACATATCTTAGCAAAAAAAATACATGTCTCTCTTTAAAATATAATTATTCCATACGCATGCATATATGGGATAACGGGGCCTTTTTTTAGGTACCCATCCCCTATTGACCAGGAACATCTTCTGTTGTCTGATAGATATGAATACAACAAACATTTTGATATGACTTTTATCCCGGTCAAAAGGGGATAAGTCGCATATCATCAATAAAGATACCGGTCTGTCTTTAAGAAATAATTATTCCATACACATGCACATATCGGATATATGGGCCTTTTTTAGGTACCCATCCCCTATTGACCGGGACCATCATCTGTTGTCTGATAGATATGAATACCACGAACATTTTTATATGACTTTTATCCCGGTCAAAAGGGGATAATTCACAAATCTTATCAATAAAGATACCGGTCTGTCTTTAAAATATGATTATTCCATACACATTCACATATCGGATATGTGGGCCTTTTTTAGGTACCCATCCCCTATTGACCGGGACCATCATCTGTTGTCTGATAGATATGAAAACAAGAAACATTTTGATATGACTTTTATCCCGGTCAAAAGGGGATAAGTCACATATCTTAGCAAAAAAAAATACATGTCTCTCTTTCAAATATAATTATTCCATACGCATGCATATATGGGATAACGGGGCCTTTTTTTAGGTACCCATCCCCTGTTGACCAGGAACATCTTCTGTTGTCTGATAGATATGAATACAACAAACATTTTGATATGACTTTTATCCCGGTCAAAAGGGGATAAGTCACATATCATCAATAAAGATACCGGTTTGTTTTTAAGAAATAATTATTCCATACACATGCACATATCGGATAAAGGGCCTTTTTTAGGTACCCATCCCCTATTGATCGGGACCAGCCTCTGTTGTCTGATAGATATGAAAATAAGAAACATATTTATATGACTGGGGGGGAGGGGGAAGGCAAGGTTCTTTCGGCCTCACCCTTCTCCACACGTTGTTGGCGGGATTAACCGCAAATGATCTATTTCCCCTTCTTTTCACCTTTTTTTTTCCTTCTTCCTCTTTTTCGGTCCTTTTTAGCTCTCCTTTTTGTCTTCATTTTCCTTCCTTCTCTCTCTTTTTTTTTTAGAGGGGGCGGGGGAGGCAAGGGCCTTTTGCCCACCCCCACCCCACCCCGATCCACAACTTGTTGGCGGGAAAGTTGCAACTGATACCCCCTTCTTTTCTTCTTCCTCATGCAATTTTTTGAGGGGGAGGGGGTGATGGGAGTGTAGCATCGTTACCATCAAGGGGACCGTAAGGCATTATGCGAACGATGGCGTCCCCTGTATAAAGACTTTTTAAAGGTATATTTTACTTTATACCTTTGAGAATTATATATAGAGACATCTTGCCAAAGGACATATAGCCTTAGCCATATCCAGGCACCCAGAAGCTCTTCAATTTCAGCCAATGAAGAGTTTCAATATTTTAATTTTCCATGAATTATCATCCCTCAGGATACTAGTAATCAAAATTAATAAACCTAACTTGATTTATCCACAATCTTGATTTCATGAAACTTTCCTAACACCGAAAACAAACTAATTGCAAACTCAGTCCTTAAATAACTTTGATAATGGGCCTGCTTGGTCTACTTAGTATCTCAGTGGCTTAGACTGGATGAGATCAGTCGTGGACAGGGTGGTGGGGCAAGATTTCCAACAAGGGGGACAAATTACGATGGCATTATGTTTTACTTCCTTTTTTCCGTCACCACAGGAGCGGGGGAAATCTATATATAATTATCAAAGATGAAAGGAAAAATAAACCTACTTAAAAAAGACAAATATTCAGGGCCATGTGTCGCCACCCGCCTCCCCCACAGCTATGCCAAAGCCGTGAGGTGTCCTCCATCCAATATTTCTCTTTGTTATGCGACTTATCCCCTTTTGACCGGGATAAAAGTCATATAAAAATGTTTGTTGTATTCATATCTATCAGACAACAAATGATGTTCCCGGTCAATAGGGGATGGGTACCTTAAAAAGGGCCCCTATATCCGATATATGCATGTGTATGGAATAATTATATATTAAAGAGAGACATGTATCTTTTTTGATAAGATGTGACTTATCCCCTTTTGACCGGGATAAAAGTCATATAAAAAGTTTTGTTGTTTTCATATCTATCAGAAAACAGATGATGGTCCCGGTCAATAGGGGATGGGTATCTAAAAAAAGGCCCATATATCTGATATATGCATGTGTATAGAATTATTATATTTTAAAGAGAGACCGGTATCTTAATTGGATAATGTGACTTATCTCCTTTTGACCGGGATAAAAGTCATATAAAAATGTTTGTTGCACTCATATCTATCAGAAAACAGATGATGGTCCCGGTCAATAGGGGATGGGTACCTAAAAAAGGCCCATATATCCGATATATGCATGTTAATGGAATATTTAAAGAGAGTCATGTATCTTTTTTGATAAGATATGTGACTTATACCCTTTTGACCGGGATAAAAGTCATATCAAAATGTTTGTTTATTCATATCTATCAGACAACAGATGCTGGTCCCGGTCAATAGGAGATGGGTATCTAAAACAAGGCCTCTTTATGCATGTGTATGGAATAATTATATTTGACAGATAGACATGTATCTTTTTTGCCAAGATATGTAACTTATCCCCTTTTGACCGGGATAAAAGTCATATCAAAATGTATGTTGTATTCATATCTATCAGGAAACAAATGATGGTTCCGGTCAATTGGGGATGGGTACCTAAAAAAGGCCCATATACCGATTTATGCATGTGTATGGAATACTTATATTTTAAAAACAGACCGGTATATTTTTTGATAAGATGTGACTTATCCCCTTTTGACCGGGATAAAAGTCATATAAATATGTTTGTTGTATTCATATCTATCAGAAAACAAATGATGTTACCAGTCAATAGGGGATGGGTACCTTAAAAAGGGCCCCTATATCCGATGTATGCATGTGTATGGAATACTTATATTTTAAAAGAGAGACATGTATCTTAATTGGATAAGATATGTGACTTATCCCCTTTTGACCGGGATAAGATCATATCAAAATGTTTGTTGCATTCATATCTATCAGACAACAGATGATGGTCCCGGTCAATAGGGGATGGGTATCTAAAAAAGGCCCATATATCCGATATATGCATGTGACTGTATGAAATTATGATGTGCTACAGATACCTGTATCTTAATTGGATAAAATATGTGACTTAACCCCTTTTGACCGGGATAAAAGTCATATAAAAATGTTTGTTGTATTCATATCTATCAGAAAACAAATGATGGTCCCGGTCAATAGGGGATGGGTATCTAAAAAAAGGCCCATATATCCGATATATGCATGTGTATGGAATTATGATGTGCTACAGATACCTGTATCTTAATTGGATAAGATATGTGACTTATCCCCTTTTGACCGGGATAAAAGTCATATCAAAATGTTTGTTGCATTGATATCTATCAGACAGCAGATGATGGTCCCGGTCAATAGGGGATGGGTATCTAAAAAAGGCCCATATATCCGATATATGCATCTGTATGGAATAATTATATTTTAAAAGAGAGACATGTACCTTTATAAATAAGATATGTGACTTATCCCCTTTTGACCGGGATGAAAGTCATATCAAAATGTTTGTTGCATTCATATCTATCAGACAACAGATGATGGTCCCGGTCAATAGGGGATGGGTATCTAAAAAAGGCCCATATATCCGATATATGCATGTGTATGGAATTATGATGTGCTACAGATACCTGTATCTTAATTGGATAAGATATGTGACTTATCTCCTTTTGACCGGGATAAAAGTCATATCAAAATGTTTGTTGCATTCATATCTATCAGACAACAGATGATGGTCCCGGTCAATAGGGGATGGGTATCTAAAAAAGGCCCATATATCCGATATATGCATGAGTATGGAATTATGATGTGCTACAGATACCTGTATCTTAATTGGATAAGATATGTGACTTATCCCCTTTTGACCGGGATAAAAGTCATATCAAAATGTTTGTTGCATTCATATCTATCAGACAACAGATGATGGCCCCGGTCAATAGGGAATGGGTATCTAAAAAAGGCCCATATATCCGATATATGCATCTGTATGGAATAATTATATTTTAAAAGAGAGACATGTATCTTTTTAAATAAGATATGTGACTTATCCCCTTTTGACCGGGATAAAAGTCATATCAAAATGTTTGTTTATTCATATCTATCAGACAACAGATGCTGGTCCCGGTCAATAGGGGATGGGTATCTAAAACAAGGCCTCGATATATCCGATATAATTATGCATGTGTATATGGAATAATAATATTTTACGTAAGACATGTATCTTTTTTGCCAAGATATGTGACTTATCCCCTTTCGACCGGGATAAAAGTCATATAAAAATGTATGTTGTTTTCATATCTATCAGACAACAGATGATGGTCCCGGTCAATAGGGGTTGGGTACCTAAAACAAGCTTATATCAGATATGTTTATGTGTATTGAATTGAGATATTTTGAATATCCGAAAATCCGAATATCAAACTGGCTTGATATTCGCACTTTGAATATCGAATATCGAATATCGAATATCTTTCTAACTTCACGCCGGTAGGTACAACGTCGTTTCGGTCCGCCCAACAGCGAGTCACGGCGAGCCAACACTGGAGCACCTCTTGGGGGTGGTCCACGAGAGATAGCGCGGGCTAGCGCGCGCTAGAAAAAAGGGGGTGCTACGATAGACCGCGCTATCTCATTGCGGTGTGAACAGCCTCAAAGATAGACCTTCCCTACATTTCATATAAATCATATTCATAGTTTTATAAATTGACTGTTCTATATTCCATGACCGTCTCTGCACTGCATAATCCATCCTTATTCCATCCCTCTCTCCAGCTCCGCAAGAACCTCAAATGTTTATGCATGCAATATTATCTCATCATCATGGTTATGAAACCCAAAACACAATTACCGGTATCTGAAAATGAAACATGAGCTACATCATGCATGTACAATGGCAAGCCAGTGAACCGATCATTATGCACACAATGTATGCACACAATGCAATGCCGACGTACAGGCAGAACACTCCAGCTACACTTACCGAAATGTCGCACTCGAATTGTCTGGATCAGAGCCCTTTTGCTGGGCTTAAGAATGGCTGAGCTCCAGATTATTTGTTGAATAACCGTGAAAAACAATCTCAAAATTTGATTCCAATCAAAACATGGAGATTTTCAGGTGATTTGACGGAGTTTATCCATTTGTGCGGCGACAGAAAAACGACTAGCAACGTATTCCTTTAGTCACGAATTCCTGAGCGGCTAAAAATGGCATGTATTGCATTCCTCCTCGAAACCCTGCGGCCCCTGTCGGGTCAGCTGCTTGGATCGGTCGGTCCCTTCCGTACGGAAGGAATGCTGCATTCTAATGCGGTGAACGCACGGAAGCTTTATGATCCTATCATTGAAAGATGATCGCTGGAGCTGAAAGTTGAGCTCTCGTGAGTGCGAGATGGTGGAGTCGCACAACCAAAAAACAATTAGTTCATTAGGAAGAGGAAGACAAACAAATCCCTGATGCCATCCGATTCTTCTTCTATTTCTACTTTTCAGACTTGCAGCATAATTATTTCATGCTGTATTTACTTGATAATTGGGTAGGACGTATGGCTAATGCTGTTCAAACCAGGCGCGGATCCAGGATTTCTTAGGGGAGGGGGCCCAACTTTTTTTTTTTTGCTCCCGAAAATTTGAAAATCGCGCCGGCCGAAAAGTCGCTCAGTGGGGGGGGGGGGGGGGGGGGGGGGGGGGGGGTACAGAGCACAATTTTTTTTTTTTTTTTTTTTTTTTGCTTCCGAAATTTTGAAAAACGCGCCGGCCAAAAATTCGCTCAGTGGGGGGGGGGGGGGGGGGGGGGGGGGGGGGGGGGGGGGGGGGGGGGGGGGGGTAGTGAGCACATTTTTTTTTTTTGATCCTCAAAAAAATTCAATTTGCACCCCCCCCCCTTGAGCGTCAGGGGGGGGGGCCCAACCCCAAAAAAGGTAAAAATCACGTGATTTTACATGATTTTTTTCTCAAGGGGGGGGGGGGCCCGGGCCCCCGGGGCCCCCCCCCCCCCCCTGGATCCGCCACTGGTTCAAACCCTCTTCATCTATCAAACCCATCAAACACAATAATGTGACCCAGATGATGATGTTGATGACTGCAGGGTGGAGACTGGAGATCCAGGAGATTCTGGGTCGATGACTCATTCTCTCCAAGTATTTCATATACTTGGCAGGCAATAAGACCACCCTATGTCTCTTTTTCTCTCTCCCACTCTCTCCCTCCCTCTCTCTCTCTCTCTCTCTCTCTCTCTCTCTCTCTCTCTGTATCTTTTCCCCGATGTGTCTCTTAATATCTTTGTTTATTTCTGTTTTGTCTTTATCTCTTTGTATAGGCCCTACTATATTTTTTAATCTGATAATGATTTACAATAAAGGGGCACCTAATATCATACAAAGGGAAACGTCAAAGCAAAAATTAACAATTTTTAGACATTGGTAGGCCCTTATAACCATTGTGTTAGATTATCAGGGATGATATCATTGTTTCGCTTTAGGTCCTACATGGTAGTGAGCACTATTTTTTGTCCTTCTATTTTGACGCCGAAAATGTGAAAATCGCGCTGGTCGACAGTGAGCGCTTTTTTTAAATTTAATTTTTTTACTAGATACACCCCCCCCCCTTGAGCAAAAAAAGAAAATGTAATTTTCTGGTCACAACTTTATTTTATTTACTTTTTTTTTGCCGGTCCTTTTTAATTTTTTACTTAACACCCCCCCCCCCCCCCCCCCCCCCTTGAGCAAAAAAGAAAATGTAATTTTCTGGTCACAATTTTATTTTATTTACTTTTTTTTTGCCGGTCCTTTTTAATTTTTTTTACTAAAAACAACCCCCCCCCCACCCCCCACCCCGGGGGGGGGGGGGGTGTTAAGTAAAAAAAAAATTAAAAAACACCCGCTCCCCCCCCCTGGATCCGCGCTTACCCATAAAGGGGCACTCACCTCAGATAAAAAAAAGGCACTTGTGGAAAACGGAGAAGGAGCAATTATCAGAAGGAAAATGACACTAATTAGAAAGGATAGGGGCACGTGAAAAGGGGCACTTGTCACAGGTGATAAGGGGAATTTTGTGTACCTGAAAAGGGGCACTCACCTGAGATGAATAGGGGCACTTGTAACAATGGAAAGGGGCACTTATTATGAAGGACTCAATGGGCACTTTCTAAGATATTTGGGGCACCATTTATCAGACGTGTGAGAAGGGGCATTATGAGAAAGGGAAGTGGCTCTTATCACATGAGAAAAGGGCACTTGTTAAAGTAAAATGGGCACCTCTCAGACTTATCAGAGGCACTTAAAAGAATTTGCATGGAACGGGCAATTATTATATAGAAATAAAAAGGGGCACTCATCTGAAGTAAAAGGGGTCACCTTTCCTATGAAAAGGGGACACTTTAGGGGTACTTGAACAAATGGGGGCACTGTACCCCCTGCCCCCGGCTCCACCGCCTCTGCTTCTTGGGTTTGAGCAGAAGGTTGATCCCTATCGATTCCCTGGTTTGAGCTGAAGAGCAAGTACTCACATCTTTATAATCCTTCAATCGAAGCACCGACTTAATTTGGCGGCAGCTTTATGATCATCAACAAACTGCGCGAGTGCTCATCAACACGTCGAGGCACTGCTCTCACATGCGACAAAACGGGGGGGGGGGGGCAAAGGGGGGCTGAATAACAAATGATATAATGGAGGCCTTCTACCTAGCACATAAATCTTAACAAAATTAGTTAACAAACTATGGCTTCCAACGGCATGCAGTGTATAGAAATGAAAATACCTACTGGATGGATTGCTTGCCGTCTCCAGCAATTTTTTAAAACCCATTTGACCCATGCACCCCCTCTCTTTTTCCACACCATCTAACTCACTCCCTCTCCCTCTTTCTTCAGTTCACTGAATTTTCCCTCAACCTCAGAAGAAAAAGAAAGAAGTGTTCATATCCTTGTCTGATATCCTATGTCTATGTAGGCCTAGATGGAAATCTTAATGATCGTTCATATCTTAGGTATTATAATCATTTTGTCACCTACTTTTTAATCACCACCAACACCACCATTATCATCATGATCATAATCATCATTACTGTTATGATAATTATCATCACCATCTATACCACCACCACCATCACTATCATCATAGTCATCATTATCATTATCATCTTCATCATCATCATCATCATAATGAATTTACAATCACACAAAAAAAGAAAAGGAGAATCATCATGAATAACATAAATATTGATTTTTATTCAATCATTGACATAAATAATCCATTTAGCTCCTAATCACAGTAGCAAGGATATACCAGGATATCTCTTCCAATATCCAATCGATACTCTCTCTGAAATAACCATACATCTTACTTGCACCAAAATACATATTTCATGTCTGCTCTATTCTGCTGCACTTTCGAGATTAGAAAAGAAAGAAAAATTAATATAAAAACAAACATTTTAAGCAAAGTGTGTACAGGATTGTATAATGCTTTCACAAGAAGAAGCTGTAGCACTTGCTTGGGGAATTTTCACAATTCAAACACTGATAAATGTCAGTAAATGCACTAATGTTCATGCAGCTTCATATATTTCATATATATCACAAGAGTTGGATGAATACAGTTACCCGATAAAATTAAAAATGATTGCAACAATTATCACCACAAACAAGGCTTAGAAAGAAACATTTGAGCATGTTGCAGCAAAAGGGAGATCAAAGAACATAAAAGAAAATGCTAAAATTATATAATTATATCAGAGAGGGAGGAGAGAGAAGGAATACAAACTATACAGTTAACAATGAAATTATTCATATCCTTACAAAGTTTTTAATTGTCTAAGTCTGTGAAAAATTGATTTATCCCAAGTCATGTTCCTTGAGAATGTGACATATTAAAGCTTACATTCTAAATTATTAAACAAAGACCCAAATTCAATCCAGCTTACCTTTTCATTATTGAGCTACGAAAAAAAAAAAAATTACAAAAAGTATGAATAATTCAGTTGATAACTGTGCATGGAAAGAAACAACAAGATAACAAGAGAAAGAGAATCAAATTTAAAAAAAAGCTCATATAAAACGAAATTCACAAAGACACATATTGCTAAAATAAAATAATGTAAGAAATCAATCTAAAGTGCAACACCACAAGTTCCCTGTAAAGGCACATAAATAATTTGCATATGAAAAACAGCACTCCAGCTCATTATTTCAATAAATCAAATATAATTTTATCGCATTCATTGAGATAATACCCAACTTCCCCACCCCGTATGTCATACTTCTGAGCAATATCTGTTCATCACAAAGAATACAGCATCTTTCAAAGTCGGTAGATTCTCAATAGACAAGTAATAGATTGGAACCCGGCCCCCACTCAGTGTTAGTTAGCATCATTCAACGTCATCAACTTCTCAAGAGACCAGAGTAATACATTGGAACTAAATCATTAGAGATAGGGCTGGTCCTCTTGATAACCAGGCCTTGGCTTGAATTACTTGCATGAAAAAGTCACATTTAACATATTTGGCTGAATATAAACAATGCATGAAGAAGCTATTTGTTTGCTATAACAAAAGTGTTTGTGTCATTAGACTACATTAGACTATCAAAAGAGGGTCTTTCAAATGAAAGAATGCATAATGTGCATATCAAATCATCTGTTTGGAGCCTGAAGGGCATTAACTCACATATACTTTGACACAGAGTAAACGCCTTTTTGGCTTTGAACAGACACAGTTATGAATGCAAGACATGAAAGGAGATATCTATGGCAAGGTTTTATCAGACTACTATTTACATGAATGGAATGGACGCAGTACCGATACAAAAATATTGCATATTCTTTTTTTCCTTTTATTTAATAAATCAGTAAATTCAGTCAAAGCTTCCAGTTATAACACCATCAAAACCTCCCGTTATAAAATTTAATTGACTAAGGGAACACAGGTAATGGAAAGAGAGTGGTTGTGCAACAAAAGCCCTTCACTTAAATAAATTAACTCTTTACATGCCACACAATAATCTCCCCGTGGTACGTTGTATATATCATGGGACAGATAAACCAAATACTTTAAAGTTATTTAACTGTGTCCAGTGCAAGCTTAATCTGTACCAGTGTACAAAATGGTAGCCATGGAGCTATTCCAAGGGCGAAATTGTCAATTTTCCAATGCTTTTGTTTGTTGCACAAAGCATCCTTCCCCTATTGGTGCCTATTATTTGTGCAAAAACGCATTTGTGGCAAATGAGCGACTGTGCAAAGGGGTGAAGAAGGTAACCGAAGGGCTATTAAAGGGACTTGGAAATCAGGGGTAAGGCGGGAAGAATATTTATAATCATCATAAATAGCCCATGAAGTTCAACTAACAGAGAAAAGGACATGCATTTTGACAATGATAAATAACAAAACAGAACTAAACCATGAGTGGTAATTCCATGATAGCATACAAAATGGAATGGTATTCAGATTCACCTGTAGGCATAGAATGCAGTTTCTTATAATTTGATAAATAAGTTCCTCTCTGATAATATTACACAGAACATCAATTTATCTGATGCAAAGAAAATGATTTTGAATAAAAGGGTAAATTGTGAACTTATTGCACTAGCATGAATACACAGCATTAGATAAATTGCTTTTCTCCATTCGCTTTCATTAAACGATGATAGGACAAGTGTGTCACTGTGAGACGCAATGGCTCAGTCGTAAAGCAGTGGTCTCGCAAGCGGGTGGTTCTGGGTTCGAAACCAAGTCGATGCACTAGTGCCCTATAGAAGGCATTAATCCTCATTACCGATTCCCTCAGAGACTAACAAGCATACACATGCTTTCCATCAAACTAAACCAACTATAACCTTCATTCTACATCGAATCCCCATTGTGCCTGAAAAACTTTCATATCGACACGAAAATACTGATCATTAATTTTATTTATTCTATTGTCGAAGGGTATAAAAACAAGGGTAATATTGGAGCGCCATGAGCGCCTCTAAGTGGTATGAAAACGAATCACCAACCTATCATTGTTACACAGTGTATTCTTCTAAATCATACTACCGTATACAAACAGAAAATGTTTAAACAATTTGGTATATGATATAAAATACTTGTCTCCAGTAAATAAAAATAAGTAGCACCATAATGACGTAAAGAAGGAAACAAAAAATAATTGCAAAGAAAGATTGTTCCTTGCTTCAAAGCAGTTTTTTTTATTTTTGGTATAAATATTTAATGGTGGGCTGCTTCTTTTAAACACTTTTGGAGTATGGAGATCCTCAAAAGAGTAAGAAAAATATTTGCATCATTTCTCTGGTTGGATTTGTTTACTTTCTTTTGTCTTTTTATCTTACATACTGGCATTCCTTTCTCTCCATTATGTATTCAAAGAATACAAACATTTCATATAGTCGGAAGGATCATTTATCATAACATATATGTCCATATTATTTGCCTTTTCTTTCATTCTTTACATCTCGTAATCCCAACGACAGAGAAAACCGTACATGCCATCTAACCTTCCTTTCTCTGCTCCTTCCTTGTGCTCTACATGTACTTTATAAACCTCTTCATTCTATATTCTCATGAATCATTTAGAACAGAACATTCTGAACTCTAACATTTAATTCTCCTCTCACATCTCCCATCTCCCATCAAGCTTCTTTGCTACTAGAGGCAGAGACTTTTCTCTCTACATTGGATCTTTTCACAGCTATCTTCTAATTCTACATCTCTTCTTCTATAAAAAAAAAATAATAGAAATACAACTTTCTAATTTTTTCACTCTATCTTCTGACTGCTATAGAAACAAAGGAGTTGGAACAGAAAATTTGTTTCTTTTCCCGCTACCTTTCACCTCCTCTTTTCATTTCTTCTGTCCATCCTCTTGACTGCGAGGCAGGAGCAGAGACTACGCCATCTTCCACCCATCGTCAGATGTTCCAGACCAAGATATAGACTGGCTTGGTGACAGGTGATGATCTTCCTTTGCTTTCTCTTCTACTCCTCATTTCTTCAGTCGATCTTGTTTGAATGGAAAAGAACCTGGGTTTGAAAGATCTTCTTCTTCATCTTCCTCTTCTCCAAACACTTCTTCTGTCTATCTTCTAGAGGCTTGGCGAAAACTTTGTAAGTCTCGGAGGAAACTCAGCTGACCATGCTCCTTCTCTCTCCCTTCCACTTTGCAGTGAATCTTGCTACAGCTAGATAGAACCGGAGTCATCAAGAACTCTCATCCATCTTCTTCTTCTTCCTTTCCCTCTTTTCAGTTCTTCAGTCTATCTTCTCGAGACTCGGTGGGAACTGGATGAGTCTCAGCTCGCTGCCGAAGTCACAGACGATCGTTGGTGAGTTGTCAACGGGGAGTATGTTCTTCACACGAACATGCTTGTCACCAAGGTTGAGTTCTCTGATAGGTTCTCCACTGACAATGTCCCAAACAACTAGGTATCCCTGTAACAGATCAATGCAAAGAGATAATACATGAAAACTGATGGATTCAAATATTGTTAAGTATTTGGCTTCACCTGTGCCTGGGGGGTGAAAAGCAAACTGAATGATTGTAACCCTCGGGTCTCTCTTCCCGGTATAACTGATTGGGGGTGTGCAGTAGGATCAATACTCTGGGGGTTTCCCCTACTCTTATACAAATAGTGCAGGTGGTGACTCTCCTCTACACAGGGCCCCTATTTAACGTCCTATCCAAGGGACTGGAAAAAAAAAACCCATCACCTTCAACAAATATGCATGAATTTAGTTTTCTACATAATAAGAAATAAACAAAACTTATGCTCACATGAGACAGACCATGTTGAAGAAGTGCATTTCAAAGTATGTAAATCATATGCTCTCTCATTTCAATATTCAAATGAATCTCTCATACGATTGATTAATTGAACCTTTGTCCCTTTTGCCAAAATTACAGAAACTCTCAAAAATTTGCTTGGGGCCTAGATTCATAAACAGTTTAATGATATACATGTATGACACTGTGTTTTCCAATTTTCTCACAGTTCTGTGCTTTAACAAAAAGAGATAGTCAAGTTCTTGTTTAAGACCGCAAATGCCATCAAAGTCCATGGAATTATATCTCTTATTCTTATTTACGACATTTCTAGTGCCCACAATATTAGAAATGGTTACATCTATGGATATTTCAGCTGTCTCTGAACCGATTTCGATCAAACATAGATGATTTTGTCATTTAAATTATGTTCTTTCAAATTGGAGACTCAGTTTTTCATTATCTCACAACAAATTTTTTGTATAGCGCCCTCTGCAGCAAAACTCAACTATCCCTTTAATCACAGACCCAAGAATCTGAAACACATCTTACCTGAGCACCAGTGATCATGAGTTTATCATTCAAGGTAGCAACGCTACTACTGCATCCACCATCCTAGGAAAAAGAAACAAAGAGGTAAATATGAGTTTAAAAATAGACACTCAACAAAGATATGAAAAAGAAACATGGGGATTTCAAAAAGATTAAAATATATACCGGTAGTACATATCTTCTCATTCTTGTTTACATTTGATGAGACTTTTTTCAGGTAACTTCACAGATAACTTGTAGCACGTCACAAGAGTAATCAGATGAATAATAGAAAAATCTGTATTCTGTCACACTTTTCATTCAAAATTTGAAAGCTAAAGTTATAAAATATGCAACAGTCTTGGCCATATGCATAGATTAATGTCTAAGCCAACTCACAATACATTCAGAGGGGTATATGTAGCCCCCTCCAACATCCCTCCCAAGCCCCTTCTACACCCTCCCACACCCCTCCCGAGCCCCTTCTACACCCTCCCACACCCCTCTTAATCCAATCACTGTCATTAACTCACCAGTTGTATAACATGCAGCATCCATCCCTGTAGTCTCGTCCATACACACAGCTTATTGTCTAAGCTAACACACAGAACGTGTTGTGATGTACATGTAATACTAAGAACTGTACTAGTAGGTCCTTTGAGAGCTTTTAACATATCGCCCCGCGACGTGTCCCACAATCTCACCAGACCGTCCGTTGAACCACTTGCCATGCTGATGAATGGATCCTGATGATCAGAAGGGAGAGGAGTGTGAAGCGCAATCATGAATGACTTTTGTTAGGGGTGATAGTGAGAGTTTTAAAAAAAGGCTTTAGAAATCCTGGCATTCGTGCAAGTCATTAAAAAAAATGGCACCTCACCAAAAAAAAAAAAAAAAACTGGGGAAAAACCCCCAGGAAATTGATTTAAATCAGGAAACTATCAGGCTTGCATTTATATCAGTTTTGACTGGACAGTTCCAGAAACATAATCACAGAATCTCTCTCTTGTAACAGGAAGAGAAGTATAGCAAACCTGATGGACACAAAAGCATTAATTTTCATAATCATGACTCGCCCATGAACTCAATTTTCCAGAAAAAGGGATTTCAGGTTAGAATAAAATAAATTTTGTTTTATTTTTGCAAACATTAATAAGCTGAACTGAAAAATAGTATTGCCAAACAGTTATCTTCATACATATAAGATTTATATATATACCATATATAAAGTTTCAAACATTCACATTTCTTCATAAGACAGAAATATATATATATATATCGGCACTGCTGAGAGCATCGGGAGCTTTCCAGTTTGTCAACTTCACATAAAATCAATAAAATGTAAGGCAACTACATTCATGTATCGAAACAACTAAAATGTATTGTGGTATATGAAGAAATGTCCAAGTAATAATATATTTACTTAAGTTGAGAACCAAAATCTTACCTTATCTACATAGAGTGATGTGACACTGCCAGCGTGTCCTCTCAATGTAAATCTACAACTAAGATCATCTAATGAATAAACCTACACAAGTAAAAGAAAAGAAATAAATGAAATGACTGTTGATCTTCTGAAGATGATCAGGGTATACTGAATGAATCTAGAAGAACCAAAAAGCCCTTAACACATTGCTTAGGGGAGCCGGTTGGCTCCTGTATTGTGTCTGTGGGAACCAGTTGGATCCGGTATTGAGTCTATGGGAATTAGAGAATTCAGTAGTCAATGGTTTAACCCAATGACTGGGGGAACCGGTTGGATCCTCTAGTGTGTCTATGGGAACCGGTTGGATCTGGTATTGAGTCTATGGGAATCAGAGAATTCAGTAGTCGATCTCTCTCTCTCTCTCTCTCTCTCTCTCTCTCTGTCTCCAGTTGGATCCTGTTTTGTGTCTATGGGAACCGGATGGATCCTGTATTGAGTCTATGGGAATTACGGTATACAATTCAGTAGTCAAGGAGTTAATGCTCCCTAGCCCATCAGGGCTCTTATTCATTTCAAAGAATTTTTTGACTGAGGGTATGGTCTTTATATTCTTTATAATAACGACAATTTCTAAAGAAGCATAATAATGGAAAAATCCAGTGTACAATTTGGCACGGATAACAAAAGAAAGAAAATCAAAAAGGGATTTCTTAAATTCCACTCTACAAGAAACAAGGCGGCCACAGAACTATGGAGTATCTTGAAATCATTTAAATCTCCTCAAATATGAATCCTACCTTTAATGTATAGTCCTGACTAGCAGTGATGAGTTGTGCTTCATTAGCCTGTATAGTATTAATGGGTTGCTGGTGAGCCTGTACTGTCTTCAGCAGAGTCAAATGAACCACTGGAGGGTATTGGTAATAGCTGTCGTAGCTCACTGTAACTATGGGAAAACAAAATAGAAAGTTATTTTTAAGAACAACAAGTATAGAATAAAACAAGACAACTGCAACTGCGTCTCCTACGCCTTAGCCCTAAATTCAGTATAAGAAAAGGATGGAATTATTTGTGATATATCACAACCAAGACAAAAAGCCTATCATCAAATGATACAATCTACAATCGTAGCTCACTGTAACTGTGGGAACAAAATAGATAATAATTTAAAAGAACAACTAGTATAGAATTACAAAAAATATGCACTTCAGAATAATCCCAATGGTCAGATAATACTAATCAATAAAACCAAACCAAACCAAACATGAAACTTGACTTCATATTCTAACTATGTGATCCTATACACCTTAAAAAAACTGTTAATTCCTTATCAAGAATGATCAAAATGTTCTCACCTCCTACACCATTAAAGCCTGATATTTGCAAGAAGTCCAGACTGCCCCCGAGCCTGGCTACAACCAGGAGATTACGACAGAAGCACACCCCTGTAATACCAGGCTGTGATTGGTCACCCTTGTAAGGTGACCAGGCTAACAGCTGACCGTTCTCACTGCTCCATAGCTGAAGAAAAGGAATGAAACAGAGAAAGGACATTATAACAGCTGCAAAATTTGTCATTTAAGAGCAATTTACAGCTAATTTGTTGTCTTAGCCATACAAAGAAAGGTTCTAATGTGTATTTCTCCATGAAGGTAAATAAGCCAGACCTAAACATACACAGTCTGGTTATACTTGGGAGTGATATCGATAATACAGAGATTAGACCAAGACTTTTCTGTTTTTATTAAAATAAATCTAACTTGCAATAACTCATTTAAACATGAATTAATCTTTACCAGAGGTTACATCTTCAGCATACAATTAATTTCAGGTTTTTTTCTTCTTCAATTTCATTTCATTTTTATCCTCCAACTGTTCTTCTGTCCAAAACAATTCATGTGAACTGCAATCTAGCTGAACTTACCTCCACACTTCCATCACTACATCCTGCCGCTACTAGCTCATCTTTACACGCAAGACACCACACCGTAGAGCATACACCTGCACCATCACCCCCTCCCCCTCCATGGGGTGCACAATGCCCCCCTCCCACACCAGCTGGGTCGACCACACCCTCCCTCTCCTGTGGACTACCAAACATGTCCACCTGGGAGAAGTCAGCGGATACCGTGCTATGAGTCCTTGACTTGGTGTGCTGCTGTAGGTAAGGGTCATCATCGCAACTAGCCACCCCAGAGCTACGGCTGGACGACTGCGATGGGTGCCTCGCTGCTGAATACACCTGCTCTCCATTCGCATAGTATCCGTCCATGCTGAAGTGCATCCCAGCTAGGTCCTTTGAGCTTCCAGGTCGTGGCATGCCACCTTCTTGTGACGCGCAGAAGTGCGATGACAGGTCCTTCGAGCTTCCAGGCCGCGGTATGCCAGCTTCGTGTGACCCGCTGAAGTGAGACGACAGGTCCTTTGAGCTACCGGGGCGTGGCATGATCACCTCGGAGCAGAAGTGAGTGTTGAGATCCCTGGCGCTGTTTGGAGCAGCGCCCTCTGTTGTTTGAGGAGGATCAGTATAAAGTGGACTGAAGGGACTGGACGGGACGCTGGAATGATTGGGAGTCTTTAGGGGCTGCGTAGGTGAGATGGGTTGACGAGGCAGGCTGCTACTTTTGTTGTTCAGGCGATATCTTTCATTAAAAGAAAACACAAGGAAGCAGCCAATTAGCAAATACTTTTTAATCACACTTACACCAAGATACTTGAATTCTATAAAGAAGATGTCAGAAGTATTGAATATACAGGATAAAACAAATGTCTGACCTAGAATATTGGCATGAAAATAATATCTGTAAAGCGCTTAGAGAAGGTATTTCGCATTAAGCACTATATAGACCCATATTATTATTAAAAAGAAAGTCTGTTGGCTCTTAAAAGTACAAACACATTACAGACGCCCCATTGATGTGGAACTTTAAATCACCTTATCGGTTACCATAGAAACGAGATGTATTCAAGTATCTCTTACCTTGTTCTTGGAATGAAATGCTCACATCTTCCTTCATTTGGATCCCAGATCCTTATATCACCCTGGATACACGCACTCACTACCCAGCGCCCTCCAGTCACAAAACACTCCACCTCCTGATTATAGAAACAGAGATTTACAGAGACATTTATATTGAGATCTTGAAAGTATACAACTAACCTACTCATCACCTACTCACGTTTAATATGTAATTGTTTATTATTGTATTTTGTTTGTTATAGCGCTTAGAGACTTCAGTGGTAAGTGCTTTATTAGAACCGTTTGTATTATTATTATTATCACGGTTCTTGAAAAAATATACAGCTAACCTACTCGTCATGGTTCTTGAATAAACTTTTAAAGACCAACAGAACATATATTGAATACCATTAATAATTCAGGTGAAGAGTAAACAGTTCAATCAGACTAATACATGAGAATTCGGTCCATTATATGAGCGCAACAGCATGATACAGCCTTTGATTAAAGCCCCACTGCACTACTTATAGCTACTTGCGCCTTCTATATAGCAAACAATGCATGTTGGTCCCCCATGATCCCCTTTTTCTAGTGTTCATTGAAAGCTGATTTGATGAGATAACCACCTGTCAGTGACCATGCAGGGAGATCTAATCCCTTTTGGTCAAACTAGTGCAGTGAGGCTTTAATATGTGATAAAGTGATCACCAAGTTACTTGACTCTCACAGAATATGGCTACCGATAATATGGATTCACACTGAGGCATGGAATATAAGCACTGAGAGAGACAAGACAAGATCCTACCTGTTCATGTCCAGTCAGATGCAGAGGTACAGCTTCACATGGCCCCTGGACCCTCTTGACGATATCAGCCCTACGTCCTGGTTTGTACCTCGCCTGACGACTACGGACCAGGGTAGCGCACTTACACAGCAGCATCATGAGGATTACTGATGATGCACCGCTAATGATTCCCAGCATCATCGTGACGTAGTAGTCCCATCTGTTGAGAAATATGATGGTTTAGATTATCACGAATGTTATGCAAGGTTTCCATATGAAAATTGCATAGTACATAGTAGTCAAGTTCCACCTGAAATGAAATGCTGCTTTGATCGAAATGAATGACACAAGAAGTAATAATTACAATGATCTCAATACTACAATTCTTTAGACAAGGGTTTGATATACAACAAACAATAAAGATCTAATAGCCCATTTTTTAATTTCTTTAAATAATGCAATACTTTTCAAAATCAACATGAAAAGAGACAGATTGTCACCCAATAAACAAAGATAGTTAAAGGGAAAGATGAACACCACAAACACTTAAAATACAGGAAAACACAGAATTCCTTAGGATGAACAGCAATGCAAACATACAAAAGTTAAAAAGAGAAATTGCACAAAACAATAAGATAAAAGAAACAACAAAATTACCCACACATATAAACAGGAGGGGGAGTAGAAACAAAACAAAACCATAAGCAGAGAGTGGCAGAGGATAAACTCTCTTAATTAACCATTAGAAGGAGAAAATCCTAGATATACCCACCTGTCGGCTTCATGAAGACCTTCATAGCTACCGATGATCTGACCAACCCCAGGAGATGAGCCATATCTCTTGGTTTCTGAATCTTTCCTCAAAGCTACGGCTTCCTCCGGACTGATATGAATGTTGAGCTTGATGGGTGGTAGGATGCTCACGTATCTGCATTTTCATACAAAAGAAAAAAGAAATGGAAGGATGTAAGATACAGAATTTTTTTAACTAGGAGCGATAGCTCAGTTGGTAGAGCAGTCGTCTCGTAATCCGCTGACCCGGGCTCGAAACCAAGGCGATGCGCCAGTGCCCTTTGGTAAGGCATTAATCCTCATTACCAGGTCCCTCGGAGAGGACCTAAATGCTTTCTTAGCAGTCAGGTAACATAACCACCACTAAACTATTCCAAGGACCCTATACCCTGGAGATGGGAGTTTGTCTGTCGGCACTGTCAGTGGTACGATCAGCTCTGTGTTTTCAACTACAAACTGACCATGAAGGTCCCCAGCTCAAAAACTGATTTTGGGTGGTGGCATTAAAGGCCATTCTGCAGACGTAAAGAATAAGCCACGATACTACAGGAGTGAAATATTAAACTAATCACTTTCATTTTTTACTTTTAAGAACATTATAATAATAATAATAATGATAATATGTCTTGTTTACCCAGAGTAGCCTCATCAGTATTCATACTGTTCTCCCTGAGGGCCCTGCAATCATATCACATTTCAGAGTTAATCTTAACTAGATTTTAAAACTGGTGTCTGAGATAAGCATATGGGGTGAAATTAATCAGTTTTTGAAGGAATTATTAATAGTATAGAGTTGTAAAGGAACATTACACTGATCTCAGACAGACTGAGAGACCGCCGCCTGTTTCAAGGTGGTCATTGCTGGAGGAGCAAGAGTGAAATCATTTCACAAATGCTCTTCTGGGAGCCCTCAAGGGGCAAATGCACCAGAGGGCGCCCATCAATGACTTACAATACATTGACCAGTTAGAAAAAGACACCTGTCTACCAAGGCAGGAGCTCCTAACGATCATGGAGAATAGAACTGAATGGAAAAAGCTTGTCAAATCAGTGTGAGTACGCTCAACCTAGTAGTAGTAGTATTAGTATAGAATATGCTACATGTTTCTCACCTGTCTGCCAAGCTAATGTTATACATATTGAAGAGAGCAGGCCAGTGCCAAGCAGAGAGCTTCCACAGTCCTCTCTGTCTGACCCACAGGGATAGCTTATCGCTGCAATCGCTTCCGTGGCAAGGCTTCAAGTCCAACAAGCTTCCATCACTCCCATCGCTCCCGCTCTTGGTCTTGTCCTTGACTTTATCGTCCCCTTTCTGATCACTTGCCTTTGGGGAATCCCCCGCTTTTAGAACAGGAAGAGACGGGTCATTGACCTTGTCGGATGCGTCGGGATCGGGCACCTGTCCGGTTTTGTCTAGGGTGTGGTAGGGGTCGTTGAGAGGGGGTACAAGGGGCAGTGTGGGGTCCAGAGGGGTTGGGGCTGAATGGGTGGTGGAGGGTTCCAGGGGACTGCCGTAGATGTTGCTGACGAGGAAGAAGTTGATGATACCCGCTTTGTAGATGAAGAGACAAGTCACTATGATCCACAGTGCAAGAGTGAACTGCAGTTATCAGAAAAACATATGAAACATGGTATAAGAAATGCCACTGTATACACAAGAACAGGCACAAGCAGATCACGTTCAAAAATGAAAGCGACATAGGATCCTCTTAAGTTCAAGTTCAAGTTTTATTTCCACATCTGATTTAAAAAAACACAAGTACAATTTATATGAATATATATACATTAACAAAAGTTAAAATGAAACATCTTCAATTTAAGTCATAATGTGGTGGGAAAAAACAATCCATAATTTTGGTCCGGCATAAATAATTTAACACTCTGGGGATTTTGAGTCCCACCACAGCACTAATGACCTTTGGCAAGACATTGATCTACATTTGCCACACTCAACCCACGCGATGTTAATGGGTAATTCCGACTGCTAGAGCGTTGTACTGGCCGCCTTGCTAAAGCCAGGGTGAAAATCGGGGCAGCGCCAGGAGTGTCATGATGTGACGAACATGTGAGCTATATAAGAAGCCACCATTATTAACTATTATAGCAACTTAGAAAACTGTCATTTCCAAAATGACCCTAACAAGTCAAGTCTCTACTCACCTTAATAATCTTTTGGATAATCCTAATGCTAGCTAAGAAGTTGAAGACCCTGAGCCTGCGAGGGATCCTGGGTGTAGGGGCGGGCTCCTCGATGGGTTGACCCCAGAAGGGGGAGAGGAAGGACCGGTGGTGGGTGCGAGAAGGCCGCGCCCCGTCAGGAGAATCTTGGAGGGTCTGCATCATTCCTGATTTATAAAGGTCGGAAATCTGGAAAGAACGACAAATCATAATGATTATGACTAGGATGATTTATAAATTGCATAATAACACAACAATTCTCTATGTACTTCAAATACAGGGATTATACTAAGTCCTTTAGGTTTCTACACTTTACACTGTGACAAGAAATAGACATAGTAATCTTTAGACAATACATTTTCTGAAAAGCGACTTCAGGTAAGCATAATCTTTTGAAGATAGACATCATTTTCTGATTCATTTTAGAATGGCAATATTACCGACAGGCATGTTTCATAGTGAATGCAGTGAAATACCAAAAAAGGACCCGGCACCCTGAAATACTATATCTGTGGACCTGTTCATGACACTTTGAAAAACCCACTAATATTGTTACAGAACAAGGATTGTTACAGATGTGTATTGGGTAAATTGAACCCCAAAAAAGGCTCACACGATGTGAAGCAATTTGTAAATCACTTTATAATTGGGATGAAAAGTTTGTACGACTAACACTTTGGGGATTGAAGAAAAAAACACACCAAAACCCCACAGTAATAGATACCTCGAGTCTCCTGAAATCGAGAGCCAAGATGGAGACAAAGAACATCATCTGAAGGAAGAAATCTGAGAACATTGCCACCAGGGCGAGCAGACAAAATTCCTAGAAAGATAGGGAGATATCAAAGATGTTAATAAGATATCCTCGCCTTCATCGCTACCACAATTCATCATCTAAATCATTCCCATCCATTACTACCACCACCACCACCACCACCACCACCACCATCACCACCATCATCGTCATCATCACCACCACCACCACCATCACCACCATCATCATCATCATCACCATCATCATCATCACCACCCCCACTATCATCCTCATCTCCATCTTCATCCTCATCATCATCACCACCACCACCACCACCACCACCATCATCATCATCATCATCACTGCAACAACTGCAACAATGCCCACTACCATCATCTTAGACAATGTTATATTGGACTTAGAAAAGCTTTATGAAGTATCATTATCCTCAAAATGCAAAAAGACCCAGAAAATTCATTGGTAAGTACATGAAATTCCACCAAGAAATCATGTTAACTCTTAACCGACTCACCTGTACGGCTGATACGAATGTAAAGAGCCCAATCACCACTATCAGTATCTCAGTCCACATGTTCTTTGAGATAGACCAACCTTCTTTGCTTAAACCTAGAAAAAGAGAAAACATCAGTGTCGTGACAAATAAATATTTAAATAACGTGAAAACCAATTTGCGTTGAAAGCATAATATGCTATTTACACATCAATTCTGCTTCATTATTCATATCAATAACACTCTATGATGCTGTAGGACCTTCATGATTCTTCCAAAGCTCTGAATTCCTGAATGATTTTCTGACTGATTTTTCTTTTTGATCAATTAATTTCTACAGTAATTTTCATCTGCTGACCTCACTGTCCATCCATCCATCCACCCACCCACAGATTTGATCAGAACTGGAATATTTTCCAGCCTTTCTCACCGTTTGTCCATTCATCAACCCATCTATCTATCTATCCATCATTCGATCCATCCATCCATATATCTACCAATTTATCTTCTATTTACCTTGTGCTATTCTCAGCTCTACTGGTAGATCCATGGGCGTAGACGTAACGGATTTGATCAGAACTAGAATATTTTCCAGTCCAATCAAGATGATGATGTATGGAAACACCTCTCTGTAACAACAGTTTGGGAGAAACAAAAATTAAAACTTCAGGAAATATTGCAAGATAACGATATGTTTTCTAGCTTACATTTACAACATAAAAGTGTTTGAAGGGGTCATAAGACTGTCTGAAGGGATTGTAAACATTATGTACATTTATCAAAGGAATTTTTTCTGATGATGAATTTCTACAAATTTATATATTTTGTATTTCTTACATTTGGTAATTTTAAGTTTATGAGGTCTATCGCTCATCTCAGCCCATTGTATAGCCGAAAACTGAACGCTCTGGGGAACAATCGTCAACAGGGTCACAAAGGGTCACGGTCATGACTCATAGGATCACAACAAAATTTACACATCACTGATCTTGATGACAAGAGGGAAGAGGTAAATGACTAACACTATACTACAAACTTTTTCATCTAATATTCCCAAAATGAGGAAATAAGATTATTCAACTTTATTTGATATGATAAACCATCTGAGGATGGTCGTCAGAAGCCAAAATGATAAGAAATAATTGAGGGATTTATTCTAAAGAAGTGTCGCTCACCCTTCATTCAACGTTGGTTCAACCCCATACTGGATACAAAGACCAGCTGACATGGTACAGGATAGTACTAACATGACAGTAGCACTCAACGCTAAACCCCACTTAGACTTCACCATCTCAATCTTACCTGCAAGAGAGAAAAGTCAATGATCAAGTAAATGTTGGTTGGTTGATGATTGTTTTACCTAACTGCTAAGAAAGCATTCATAGTCAAACCTGCTTTTAGAGACCCACTCATCCTCTCCAAGCGCTATAGTTCTCCTTAGAACTATATGCTAAGAAAGATAACAAACAGTCCTTTTCAGGACTACCACACCCCCAAGAAAGATTACCGAGTCAGATTCCTTTTCAGGACTCCTCAACCTCACTCTCTCTCTCACACATGGTGCACCCGCAAACCTACTGTATATCTACATCACCATGCAAGCCGACACTTACAAGCAGTATATAGGAATAGTTCAGAAAAGTTCTTCTCTGCTCCAAACAAATATCTAAGAGGTCATACTAAAAAGCTTTACCAAAGACGTACTCAAATGAAATTAGCTGGCCACATTTTTTCAAATCGAGTGGTCCAGCCCTGGAACAGCTTACCTTACAGTGTCTGCCCTACTGTGGCTACTTTTAAAGGCAGGCTTTACTACTTCAGCCAGAAGGGATTAGACCACACAGCGAGCCAGCGAGGTCACTGTGACAGGTGGCTATCTCATTAACTCAGCTCTCATTTAACATAAGAAAAAGAGGATCATGGGGGACCAACAGCACCGATTTGAGAAGTTTTCTATATAGAGGGAGCAAGTAGCTACAAGTAGGACAGAGTGCCTTTAAGAGAAAACTGAGAACCCTTCCCATAGGACAAAAGGGCTAATCAACCAAGTATACCAAGTAAGTAAGTAAGACTAGTAGACTTGTACTTACGAACTGAGAAGTAGATGTAGAACATTAGCAGGGCATAGATGATGGCAGCAGGCATGAAATCATCAGAGTTGATCAGACTCTGAAAGAGAAGACAAAATGACAATCAAAGTTAGCATTTCACTATCAACATACAAACATTTCAGAGCCATGTCTTATAAAAGAGTTGGCATTGCTCCAGATTGACTGCACGTCCAGTAATCAATTTACAAACTACTTTTTCTTTTAAAGTACAGAATTATGATTAATTCCAAGTAGGAGTCAATGCGCTAGTGCCCTTTGGTAAGGCATTAATCCTCATTACCAAGTCCCTCAGAGAGGACTTAAAGCCGTCATTCCCCTGGTTGCTTACGTGCAAGCACATGCATACTTTCTTTAATAGCAGTCAGGTAAAACCAAACCAACCAAACAAACCAACTTAAAGCCCCACTGCACTACTTACAGCTACTTGCGCCCTCTATAAAGCAAACAAAGCCTAATCGGTGACCATTGGTCCCCCATGGTCCTCTTTTTCTTATGTTAATTGAGAGCGGATTTGATGAGATAACCACCTGTCAGTGACCTTGCAGGGAGGTCCAATCCCTCTGCTATAATTAGTGCAGTGGGGCTTTAATGTGACCTACCTTGTAGTAGATGTGAAGAATGAGAAACTCTCCTGTGTTCCAATCTAGAGAGGGTGATCCCATGTTAAACCTCTCTTCAAGATGAGACTTCAGCTCCTCAATGAAACTACAAAGACAAAAACAAGAATAGTCAGAGGGGTGTCAATTCACTTTCAAGTGGTTTAATAAAGTGTAGCAATCAATGAAGCATGTTTCTGCTCTTGATGTGATGGGTTCCATGTTGCTAATGTATGTATCTAAACTATCTATTCAAAATATGAGTTTCAAATATTACTTCTACAAAGAGATAATGCAATCTTAAATACATTCTCAGTGAACAGTGGAACGTCCTGTTGAGTAGACGTGTACTCACTCACAATAGAATATTGCTCGCATGGAACCAAGGTTAGTCGTGGGTTTTTTTGCAAGCCCAATAGGCAGGTTTAATGTTATCCTTCATTTTGTTCATACTCCTTTTACCTGTGCCAACAATTTAAAAGTTGCAAGGTAAAGATTTTTAGGGTTGATTTTATACATTCTAACTAGTTTACGCAAGTTTTGTTTTCTTAAGCTTAATGGTACATTTTGTACATGTGCCCTAAATTTAATGTTTTTGTCAAATTCAAATCTTGAAATCTTTATTCTACTCATTATCGCCTTACAGTGTAATCATTCTTTCACATCTTCCTATATCATAACCTCAAAAATGAGTCTAAAAAATGTACTTGATAAAAAATTTGAGCTCATAATTGCCACATCTTCAAGCTCTCCCGGCAAACTTTGCCTTGCTGCAGAATTAACCTGAATTCATTGAGATCACACAGATGAACATTAAGAAAGAGCAACAAAAAAAAATGGAAGGAAAAAAGCTTACATCTAGACAATCACTAATGAATGAGAGAAAAAAAAAAACATTATTGAAGAGTTCATAAAGTCTACAATGAAATATATTATAAAACCAAATCTCATACCAAAAAAAATCTGATATTGTATGAAAGAACTATTAGCAGACATGAACAAATATTACTATGTCAGAGCTTATCTTTACCTCAAACAAAGACTGAATGTAGATTGTAATCAAGCTTTACTCTTAATGTTTGTTTAGATTAGCTGAATACTTCACAAAGGTACAGGAACAATGACATTCATGTCATTCACAAATCATTCATGAATGATATGTGAATGACAAATGTTTTATGTACATGTATCATGTTTGACATTAGGTCAGAATATGAATTATGCCAGACTTGTGGATTCCTAGTAAATGATTTATGCGCACAATTTTTTTCTTTAAGATTTTGTATAGATGAATTGTGCAAAATGCAACTCTTTTCCCTATAAATGCAGTCTCTCTCTTTCTCTCTTTCTCTCTCTCTCTCTCTCTCTCTCTCCCTCTCTCACGCTCTCTTCCCATCTATTCCTCCCTCTCTCCCTCTCTCTCTCCCCTCCTCCTTCCCCCTCCCCTCTCTCTCTCTCTCTCTGTTTCTGGAGGGAGACCATTGAATATTTGGTCTCCCACACATTTGCTTAAATACACATTCCTGGGATTTTGCCAGTACTTTATTCCCCGTAGGAAAAGCTAAAAATAACCGGCCAGATCTAACATTCCATGACAAACACAGCTGATCAGTCAAATGGAAAACAATTCTGCAAATACTACAAATAAAGAAGTGCTGTATGACCTGCACAATTGAAATGTGAGCTTGTTGTGCGTGACCATGCGAACTTGGCAAATAGAATCAGTTTGCAGTAGAACAGGTGAATATGCATGTGACACCTGTTCTACACATTTTTACATAATAGCAGTGAAGGGATGTCTCCTTGTCTACCTGAGGAACTGTATATTTTGTCCGCGTTCATTGTCTGCCATGTATGATAGTGAGTGTTTATGTATTATCTGCAAGGGTGAAATATCAAAAGTACATGGTATGTTACATTATAGATGAACTTGAGTTCTAGTAAATATAAAAAATAAATTCTCACAGAATCCAACAAAACTTACAGTGAATGTTCAAGATTACAAATAAATGACATGTGCCAAACAATTTTGGTAGAAAATGTATACTGGCTGAGTAATGAGCATAGAAAGATAAGGTAATCCGGGTAAGTACATACAGGCTCGACACCATGTGCTTAACACCGGTCACTACCGGTATGTGCAAATGGGAGTTGTGGTTTTTATTGAAGATGATGCCCAGTAAGTTTCTGTGCATTTGTTTTCATTTCACTGGTTCAAACAACCAATCTACTGCAGAATAAAAAATCCAGAATAAATTATAGCAATTTTCTTTCAAAATATGACTCCCATACCAGAGCTAAAGGTTAGCTTTAACTTAAGTGTACTTATTTAGAACTTACTGTAACTACTTAAGATATTCATATTCAAATAAAGCTGAAACAATGATGCAGGAAGTTTGTCTAAATGGTTGTCTTCTTCTTCTCAAATCAAAGCAAAAGTTCATAAAGTTCACTGAAGTTAAAATGAGCAGTATATACCTCTGTGTACCTAATCTACAATAATCACTGTTTACTTTTCATGTGCGAAAGCAAATATGATCTTACTCAAAAGTAAAGTTTCAGTGTTTTGTAGTCCTCAAATAAAAATAATTTTGATCTTAAAGTTCATGCTTGAAGTATTTTTCTTTCTTTTTAAAGACAGTGCAATCACAGCTACATGTAATGCTGTAGGGTATAATTTTATTTACTGTATGTAGGATACACTGCAGTTTCTGACACATTCATGTACATGTAATGTATGATTAGCATACAATCTTTAATATAAACAGTAAATTCTTTTCAAAATGAACAAATCTTTGTTTATTATTTGGTATGTGCCCAAGTTAGAGATTTTTTAAACTATTATTTAGCTGAAATAATGTAAAGGTGTACACTGTACATGTACTTATTCTGATGAAATTCAGTTGTACATGTATGTTATGTGTGAATATTTCGTGTAAACGCAGTGATATAGTTTATTATGGAGAGTGTTCAAAATACTATTTATTATTATCAAGGTGAGCTTTGAAGATGTGTACATGTACATGTAGATAAGGTAGTGAATTGATTGTTTTGCAGATGAAGATAATGCAGAACAGATGTGATATTTAAGTTTACACTTATTTTTACCAAAATGAAGAACAAAGATTTGTTCATAATATTAAAAACTAGATGGAATTCGACTGCGCGCAGTTGAAAATGATGCCTCCGTCATAGAGCAATTTTACAAACCAAAACAGAACACATTTTTCGAATTCAAGTTCAATTGTAATCCATTAACAGGTTCTCAGAATATCGTGATTACAAGCGATTTCTCATATACATATATGACCCTTTGATCTTTGACCTCATGACCCTAAAATCTACTCAGTTCATTGGCTCTGCAAGATGTCCTGAGTTAAATAGTAATCCATCTGTCAGTTCTAATGAGAATGTGTTCACAAGCTATTTATGCATACATAATGAGCCCATGACCTTTGACCTTTGACCTTATGAACCAAGAATCTACTCAGTTCATTGGCTCTGCAAGTAACATACATGACCTAATTTTGGCAGGAATCCATCAATCGGTTCTTGAGAACGCGATCACGAGCTGTTTTTGCATACATAATGTGCGTTGTGGCCTTTGACCTTTGACCTCGTGACCCCAAAATCTAATCAGTTCATTTGCTCTGCAAGTAACATACATGACCTAAGTTTAGCAGCAATCGATCAATCGGTTCTTGAGATAACGCAATGATGAGCTGTTTTTGCATACATAATGTGTGCTGTGGCCTTTGACCTTTGACCTCGTGACCCCAAAATCTAATCACATCATCAGTTCTGCAAGTAACATACATGACCTAAGTTTGGCAGCAATCCATCACTCGGTTCTTGAGATAACGCGATCACGAGCTGTTTTTGCATACATAATGAGCCCTGTGACCTTTGACCTTTAACCTCATGACCCCAAAATCTAATCAGTTCTTTGACTCTGCAAGATACATACATGACTAAAGTTTGGCAGGAATCCATCAATCGGTTCTTCAGATAACGCGATCACGAACTGTTTTTGCATACATAATGAGCCCTGTGACCTTTGACCTTTGACCTCGTAACCCCAAAATCTAATCGGTTCATCGGCTCTGCAAGATACATACATGACCAAAGTTTGGCAGGAATCCATCAATCGGTTCTTCAGATAACGCGATCACGAGAACGGGACGTACGTACGTACGTACGTACAGACGTACGTACGTACAGACGTACGTACGTACAGACGGACGGACGGACGGACAACCCAAAAACATAATGCCTCCGGCTACTTCGTAACGGAGGCATAAAAATACTGTTAAAGCAAAGTGGAGAATTGAAGCAGATTTACTTTACAATAGAAGTTACGCTCAAATAGCTTCCTAATGATCATTTCCAAATATAGAAAGCTTGAAAAACAAGCTGATTGTGGTTTTATTACAGTTCCCATCAATCATAAACCTAACAACCCTTTTATCATCTCAATCATCTAACCACAAACCACTTCCCCAATAAGGGAGTGTGATTACAACAGGTTTATTAATAGCACAGATGCATACACTGAAGAGCAATATGAGATGCTGATTACTAAACAGGTACACAGGAACATCTGTATACACATTTACTATTGATGCAACATGCAGTGTTAAATCATATAATATATCTGAATGTTTCTAAGGGTATTCATTGACATTTAATATGGCATGATACAAAACATTAGCATGGAGCCCTATATGGTTCCCTGAATTAAATAAATTCTTTTCTTTGATTCCTTGCATAAATTAAATCAATTCTTCTCATCGTTTCCTGGCATAATTAAATCAATTCTTCTCTTTGGTCCCTTGCAAAAATTAAATCAATTCTTCTCTTCAATCCCTTGCAGAAATCCCTTATAAAAAGAGTAGATTCATTATTTACCAACTGTCTGATCATGAGTCAATACACAAAGAAGATAAGTAAGATGAATAAACAGACTATATGCAGACAAGTTGACTCTGATCTACGAATGCGGATTCTAAGCGATAAGCAGGTCACACAAGGTCAATATTGTGTTGTAGTTCCTTCTTGAGTATTTAAAAAGGAGGTGAAGGGTTGCGGTGCAGTGGTTCAATCATTTGACTTTGAATCAAAAGGTTGAGGGGTCAAAGCCATGCCCAATACTCATCCTTTGGTGAGACATTAATTCATGATTGCTACTTTCCACCCAGGTTTAAAGGATACTCTATTTGCCAGAACTCTACTGATTTGGCCACTCGGTTCATACGACCAGGATAATGCCACATAATTTCAAAACATAGGCCATATGATGTGCCACTTAGGCCGCATGTTGGTAGACAGGGCTGATTTTACATAGTGAAATTTCTTGATCTCCCTAGCAGTAAGTGCCATGTATACCCCGTAACTGCCATGTAGAAGCTGTAAATGCCATGGAATAGCCACGTCTCATTCCGTATCAGAAAAATGGCCATACCTGGTTCTTAGAACTACATAGTGTATTACGGGAAAGCATAACAAATGTGACAGTCGCCAGTCTCAGAATTTAAATATCATTAAATCAGTGAACACAACAAAGAAAAAAAATGATGATAATAATGATGGTATCTTTGAAGACTAACATCACAAAGAAGGATATGATTATAATGATTATGGTATCTTTGAAGACTCACCTGTCATTGTAGGTATGGAACACGACCGTTACAGCAAAGGAGATCTGAGGAGACACAGAATGAATGTTGTATTTCTGTAGTCCAGTGTATTTGGCTTGCACACCTAGCAGAAGATCTGAAAAAAGGGAGCAACGATATCAATTCAGAAGAAGGCCACATTACCATTTAATAATAATAATAATAGTGGGTTCTTGTATACGGTGTTCATGTCTGTCAGACTTGTCATGCTCTAGCATTTCAAGGAATTAATTCCTGCCAGGTACCCATTTACATCACCTGGGTTGAGTGTGGCAAATGTAGATCAATGTCTTGCCAAAGGACATTAGTGCCGCAAAGCAGAATTAGAAGAGGAGAGAGAGAAGCACAAGAAAATAATAGAAAAGAAAATGGAACTGAACAAGAAGATAAAGAGCTCAAATAGTAATAACAAGAAAAGTATTAAAGCCTATCTGCACTAGTTTGGCCAGAAGGGATTAGACCTCCCCGCATGGTCACTGGCAGGTGGTTATCTCATCAAATCAGCTCTCAATTAAGCAGCGCCTACAGTATGTCTTGCTTTTTGCTACGCAGGCGAGACAAAAAAGGGGACCATGGGGATCAACGGGTACCGCTAAGGAATTGTTGGATGTATAGAGGGCCCAAGTACATGTGGCTACAAGCAGTGCAAGGCCCGTTGCATAAAACATACCATTGATGGTAACTGTGCCATCAATGGCAACTACCAATCAAAATCAAGGTTTCCATGGTAGTTACCATCAATGGTATTAAAGTTTTGTGCAACGGGCCCAGTTCTGCTTTAAAATGCGAATAAATAAAAGATGTGTTGAGTTTCGACTTACCATGTAGGGCAGGTTTATCATAGAAGTTTCCCATGAACACTGATCTACCAGGATAAGGGTCTTCTTGAAAGCGATCAAAGCTGCCTTGCCATACGTTAGCTGGTGATACTACGAGGCAGCTATGCTCAGGCATTACACCCTTCACATGGTCAGCTACATCAGATACATACAGGCATGATGAGCGCAGTAATACGCTAGAAATATAAGAAGAGAGCGGACAATTTAAACTTGAGGTTTTAAATATTTATATACACTGTAGGCATAAACTATAAACATACAAGGAGAACAGGGTGGAACTACCTGTACATCAAGGCTAGAAGTTGTTACAAATTCATAACAGATTTGTAAATTATATTTTGAATATGAAGGAGAAAGATTTGTTATTTAGAAATCTGAAGAACTTCAGATTTTCTATGGAAACTGGTTTTCAAGACACTGTCTAATAACCTTGGGCCATATTCTGAAAACTATGTTGTGTTATATGAAAAGTGGAAAGGGTGTTGATCATCGTAACAGACTGAAATTGCTTGTGCAAATATCTTTCTATAATATGTATGCTACCCCTGCATAGCTGTGAACAGAAATTTAAATAGCCAAACACTTGTGCTAATTGGACTTTATAATGACAATTAACATACTTAAAGGATAACATAGTTTAAAATACTACCACAGGAAATACAAATATAATCCCTCCTGCTTCACTTTTTTTTTCAATTTCTTTTTCATTCAATTTCTCAAAGTGCAAATACATGATACTTTTAAAATAAAGCATAAAATTCACTTGGCAAATTCATCACCAAAGAAACTCTTGAGTGTTACTAAAAACTTACTTTGATTTTGAGCTGAAACTCTTGATTTCTTTGTCCAGCTCAAAGGCCTTAGAGAGTGGACCTCTCACATCATCTCCATATGTTAAACCTGGTTGCCATGGTGATACAGATGCATTTATAACAACCTGCAACACATAGCCCACTGGTGGTCGGGAAAACTGGGATGAGAAAAGCAAATACTGAACGTGAATTTTGAGGATGATGCTGACACTATATTCAAATTAGCAAAGAAAAAAAAAATCAACAAACAGTTTCTATTATTATAATATCCATTATCCATTTTCCCACACACTATTATGAAGAAAAAAAAGTCAAAGTACACCTGATATCAGTTTGCTATTTAAGTAGGAATGTATTTATGATGTGAGTCATAATAATGTACTTGTTATGAATGGAATGGTGTTGACTCATTCTTGTTCAATATTAACTTTACACGCTTCTGGCTCTCAGCATACAATATCATGTTTATACCTGTGTTTATATCTAATACCAATGGGTAACATATTTTTGTATTATTAGTTTATTATGGACAATAAAACTTTACTCTTGAATCTATTTTGAGATATGCTGAGCTTTTTTTGCTTGTTTGTTTTGCTTTTTTTGCTTTTTTGTTTTGCTTTTTTTCCAGTAACCACCTCAGCAATGAGAGAAATTGTTCACTGAGAAAAATTTTGCATAACTTGAAGACATACATTTGGTTGTTAAACTTATTAGGAAGGACAGTGACGTTAGTCTTCAGACTGTGTATGGGTTCCTCTCTCTCTCTTCTTAGAGTGAATTTCTAATAACAAACTAGTCGATGAATCAACAATGAATCATTCCAGTCATACAGTAATCATAGTAACAATTAATATTTGAATATCACTTTACCAAACTAGAGTAACTACTGTAGACACAATTCAACTACATCTAAATGAATGTGTACAAAGCAAAGTCCACTGTGTAAGTGTCCCCTTCTGAAGGGCAAGAATTACCAATATGAGAAGATCAAAGGTCATCTATTTCCTGTTCTATATCATAAACATTTATGCACTGAGAATAGATAGTAAAATGATAGAAACATGCAGATAAAAAAGAAGTACATCTACACATAGGTGAAACAGTGGTACCATGCCTCACTTCCCCCCTCCCCCACCCACCCTTTCTCTTTATCTCTCTCTCTCTCTCTCTCTCTCTGTCTAAATGCTATTACTTCATTCATCAAATACAAACATCTATACTTTGTTTTACTTTAAACATTTTTTTTTTTTTTAAAGGGTGTCTTATCTAGCAAACAAATAAGAAATACACGATAGAAATACAGAGAAAAAAAAGACAAACAAACAGTGAAAGTGAAGAATACACATTTACATTCTTGTTGCTGTTTATAACAACTCAATCACATTTAAAAACCTTAGTAATGAAAGTGGATTGTCCATGCACCACTACAATCTAAAAGGAAACAGATAATAAATTCTACTCTAAAACCTGTTTAAAAGACAACCAAAACAAAAGGGTAAAAAAGATAAGAGTTGTGACTATAGGCAAATTTAGATACCAAAGCTTCTATCTTTTTCATAGAGGGTGATATTTAACGTAACTGATACAGACAGGTGTCCTGTATAGAGAAGTGACCACTATTGAAATTGAAAAAAGACTATTTTGTTAGAATGCTCACCCATTGTGGTCTTTTACTGTGGTCAATGGCAGTCTTATTATCAGGCAGCTGTTTGGTGTAGAACTTTCTCGCTGTGTCCGGGAAGCCTTTCAGAGGTGTAGTGTACTGATAGGGTGCCGTCAGTGTCAGGGGAACAGCGAAAAAGCATGGAAGACTGCATACAAATATACAAAGAATTGAGATAGACTGTGAAATGTGCAGGGAAAATTGGTTGTATTTTATATTTGTTAAATAGAAAGAAAGAAAGGAACCTACATGTACATGTGCATGGTTATTAATTCCTTACAGTTGAGAACTCGATTCTTGACAAAGATCAAGCTCACCTTACTTCTGTCTAATATAATCAATAACTTGAACACAACTCCCCCCCCCCCCCTCTATAAAAAGAGGGGGGGGGGGGTAACAAAAGTATTTGCCTCTCTCAAACTCTGTAGAGACATGTACAGTAGATGAGGTCCAGCTAATGGGAATCCCTTGAATATAACTGCTAGTTGACCTGATAAAGCCAGGTTCTTCTCAAAGTGCACACAGACCTTATTTGATCAGTGCTACAATATATGCATAACAAAGCAAACCATTCAAATTAATAAAAGTCTGTTTACACTTGAATCAAATCAATATAGCAAAGTAATACAATACTCTAATCTTAAATACTTCCTGAAAGCATAAAGAGGGACTGAATATCTATGCCAAGAAATATGAAAATTATTCCTATTACGGCGTGTACCCATTTTCTTGAAGGTTGAGTTCTGGGAAGAGGTAAAAAATAATTTGTGAGAGTTATCATTGTTATTAAGCAAGTGTGGAAGAACATCAGATAAAAAATGTTCCCTGAAAAGCATGGCTCTTCAAATGACTTAAAATTCTAAATATGGCATGTAACAGCATAAACATCGGGATGGATTTTTATGCCACATGTTTGTGTAGTCCCATATAGATATTTCTGTGTACAGTGCTTGTAACATTCCCAAGACTGGGCCAAATTTCTTATCATTTTGATGATTCCAGAACCTTGTAGTACACACCAATACTAGATGATCGACCTTTTCTGATCGATTCCACAACGTTTCTTTCACAATCCAATCGCATGACCAGAACTCAACTTTATCTTTAAACTGACCTGCACAGCACAGCGATGACCACTGAGAAGACGATGAGAGCTATCGGGTAGTTGGAACAGAAGAGGCCATAGTTGTAGAACATTCTGGACACCATCTCCCGCATCTTGCTGACCATCCCATACTCAGCAGCCTCCCCCATCTCAACCATGTGTAGATCTCCCTACTCAGTGGTGAGGACTTGAGGGGGGTCCTGAGGGACAAATGGGTCCGAACGTTTCCTCGCAAAGTGACAACTGTTGATCACTTTCTTACTGGTCCCTGTCAAGCAAATGTCAGAAAGAACTCATGTTGAAGTAAAATGTAAGAATAGAAAATTAAAATAAAGATTTGGGTCTACTATAAATACACAAGGAAGAAATTCTTCGAAGTTTGAACAATTTGTATAATATCCATACTTTCATATATTATCATCTTTGATTTCTACAATTACTTTCTGAGAAGAGTTCTAGTTCTCTGGGGTTGGACAAATGCTGTGATGCAATAAAGCGCTACTGTGTGGAGTGAATGATGGTTTTTAATTTCATAAAATTTGCATCGGCACAGACTTTGATTTCATCATTTCTTCCTTGGCCTCCAACATCAAGCAATTCACTGCTTCATCCTCGAGCGCCGCACTTCAACTCTTCTAGTCCGAGAGCATCATCATCTTCACGAGCGTCCGCTACGACATCGCTTTCTTCACGGCTCTTCTTCAGCCACTTCAACAAAGTCGAGTTTCCGCCTTCAAGCCTCCGCTTCATCATGGTGTGAGGCGTGCCCCTTTACTTGTCATCACCCGGCACCCGCCATCATTTCCATTGGACTTTGACGTCATTTCTACTTTGTCGTAAGCTTAATTTATTCACTGCATTTATTCATTTATTCAGAACATAGCTTAATTAACATTTTTCACACATACAATCCCTTTGGATCACTACACATTTCACCAATCGACAGTCTTAAAGGCTTGGTTCTCAGCACAAAAAGGGTTACATGAAATCAAGATTCTCAAATCAAACAAGTCAAGCAATGAATCTGCAATATGCTCCCCCAATAACTTCTCCTGGCTTTACTTTTTACAACTATAGTATAGACCCTAGGTTGAAGTTTGAAATTTACAACACCACCTCACACTGGTAATTCTACACTTTCATAGACATTGTTACTGATTAATAATCTGAGCTGACTCTGTTCTGCCAGACTTAGATTGGAGCCCTCGCTCTCGCCAGAGTACAAACCGTCGAGCCGGGAGATTCCCGGCGCGCAATCCCGCTCTGGCTTCGTCCCTAAGTAACAAAGTCAATCAATGGACATTCAAATGTTTACAAGCTCCGTTAGGTCTGAAAACGAACCGTGAACTAATGATGATAATGATATTTTTCATGTGATATAAATCCGTATTTCATTGCTTTATAATGCACTCACCAAATATATCCCAAAGTGAAGTAATTTCAGTAAATTCAGTCATGCGACACACCTTTTTTTCCCGAAAAAGAAACCATTAGCCGCCATAACAGAAACATGAAATGGAATAGCGCCAGCTATCGGTACAGTCGAAACATATCTCACTTCTAAAAGTTAGCTAAATAATTATTAGTAGAGACTGTAGCGTAATATAATAAATAGTCACCCCTTATCCATTAAAATTTGACCCCTCAAAGTTAAGTTATTAAGACCATCTAACTCACTGACAAAAAAGGTTTGTTTGACTGACAGTAGATTTAATGTCGGATTCAGCCCCAGAGCCCCCCCCCCCCCCAAGTGGGGTGGGGAAGTATAAGTGGGAGAAGAGTTAGCATTTATATAGCATTTGTTTGTAGGGCAACTTGTAGAACGGACCCTTTGTGACCAAGTACATGAACAATTTTTTTCTTCTTCATAAATGCTCATTGATGTTAGGTGAAAAAAAAGTCCGCCATCATACAATGATACAATTTTTGTATCTGAATGTTCATATCTTTAGTCGGGGCTATGATGGGGAAACATTAGTTCTTTCTTTTCATCATGCATTATATAAATTCAAATGCAATTACTTTTTATTTATTCATATATAGGCCTAAATTAGCGAAAGGGGTTATAAAAAATGGACTATACTATGAGCACTTTTTATAGAATCGTTGGAGTATGCTAAAAGCTTGTTTATTTGGCGAAATATCTTTTTCCTGATGGACAAAATAAAAGCAAACAAAACTAAACCATAATAATAATAATAATAATAAAATGCACTATCAAACATGGAAACTTGAAAAAAGAAATGAGCCTAATTATAATGTTTTTTTTTAAATCCATAATTTAAAGATATAAAAACTAAAAAGTTATAAAAGGGTCGAGGATTTTTTTTTTTTTTTTTTAAGAAGCTGAACGTAACACCTTCAGTGTTGGATACGGTAATGTAAATAGGCTAGTACGATGTATAACATTTCAAAACAATATAATTCATAAGCCCCTACAAATGTAAAATTGCATTACCATTCAGAAAAGGTTGCTACGATCTTATATACAGGCAGCCCTGTTTTCTCAATCCTCCCATAAAGTCATGCACTGTCCAGTGTCCACCACCACATCCAGTTAAAATTCCATAAGGAGTAGTTTGGAGGGTCATCTATCAAGTACCAAAGAAGGAGCGATGTTACCCCAGAAGGAGCACTTATAGATGGAATCTTCTTCACCGTGATGACGGAAAAAGAGGGTCAAACGTGGTTTATTTCTAATTTGATACCCGTGATTTGCAAATGTTTGCTGAAATGACATGTGTTTCCGATTTTTTAAAAATACTTTTGCCAATTATGCCAGAGGTGGCATTCACGATGGAGAGGGGGGGGGGGAGTTACCCCAAAAGTGTCCATTTTGACATAGAACAAGTGCCCCTTTTCTTTCTGATACCAGTAGTAACTGTCCTCTTTTCAGGTGCGAGAAATTCCTCTTTTCACCTCTGATATTTTTGCCCATTTTTACTTTGACTCGTGCCCCTTTTCCTTTTTAATAAGTGCACTTTTTCCTTTGTTATAAGAACTCCTTTCCCTTTTTAATATGAGCCCCTCCCCTTTTTCAAAATGACCATTTTAAATATCTGATAAATGCCCCTTTTAAATATCTGATAAATGCCCCTTTTAAAAATCTGCTCGGTGCCCTGTTCCATCAACATATTCCCTATTTCTATTCTCACAAGTGCCATTTTTCATCTCTGTTGAGTGTCCCTTTTCAGGTGCAATAAGTGCCATTTTCACCTCTGATAATTTCCCATTTTTCTTTGACACGAGCACCTTTTCTTCTCTAATAACTGTCCTTTTCCCTTCTGATAAGTGCCTAGTTTCCTTTCCCCGTGACCTGCACCCCTAATTCAAGGCGAAGAGCCCCCTTTTCTTTAATTTTCACTATAGCTCGATCGGTACGCTCACTCGCATTAACAGTTATAATTATGTTACTAATAAAAGAACTTTTCAGTCTTTCTTCATTAGATTGTGTTTAATACTCATCAGGGTTTGTTTTTTGTCTTCCTTATAAGATGTAATTTTTCAAACTGCATTTGCTTGAATAATGTTCCCTTCGCTCGCTCGAAAATTAATATTCAGACCATCGCATCCATCTGTGAAGTATGTTGCTTAAGCAGTATCTTGTAACATTACCACATACAGAAAGAAACAAATATTGATGTCATCCCTGCTATAGTGTAATCACAATCATGACGATGTAGGGGTATATATATATATTATATAGGCCTACCAATGTCTAAAATGGTGCTTGTGTTTTTAGTGATGTTTCCCCTTGTAGTTGCCCCATTTTTTCTTCCAAAAAGTGCCCTTTTTTGTTGGTGCCCCCCCCCCCCTATTTTGGAAGACGCTCCGCCGCCCTTGCATTCTGCTACTTGGTGGTGATGCGGACCCCCAAAAGTGTTTGCGCCACTGGGAGTGGGACTGGGAGTCACGGCAAAAAAAGGAAAGAAAAATAGAGCGGGCATAAGAGGCGATTATAGAGAAAAGGAATGCAAAAAATCCTCTTTTGTAGAGAACTGTGGATAAAATCAAGAAACATGGCGCAACCTCACCGTATCATAGAAGGAGAATTTGTGCAAAGATAAATGGTAACTAAAAAAAAACACGGGGAGTTTTATAGGATTTCTTTCATTTTTCGTTTGATGGTTGTAAGACACCATAAAGTTTGGGCGAGCCATTATTTCAACAAAATCATCTCAGCTCCGAGCCGTTGTAAGTAAAATTCCCTTAATTTATCTCATTTTTTAATCCTGAAAATACTGGCGAATGATCATATATGATTAAGATATTTCAGACTCCATAGGCTAAGTTAGGAATTAGTAGTTTAGTGTTTTAGGGAGAGTTGAACGGGTGACCGCTTTTTATTTTGTGAGTGAACTTTTCAGAGCAGAAGGGCTAGTATAACGAGAGCGAAGTAGCCGCGCCTGCCGCAGGTCCAGGGTCGGCACTCGGCAAGGGCTCCGCCAACCCCACACTCGCGCACTCGGTAATCGCAATTGTTGTTTCTCGTTGACAATAGAAAGTTGAATCAATATGCCATCAGGGGCGTCGCTAAAGGGAGGGTGTGGGAGGTGCGACACCCCCCCCCCCCCCAACCCATCAGTCAGGATATTGTCTGTAAAATTGGGCGCTAGTGTAGCGGGCGCTAGTGTAGCAAGGTATCCAAAATATAGCCTACTAAAACAGACCTCAAATTTTAGACCCCAAATTTCGTGTTTATCATTATCTCTAGGGTTAGGGTTAGGGTTAGGGTTAGGGTTAGGGTTCTAGGGTTAGGGTTAGGGTTAGGGTTAGGGTTAGGGTAATGATGACCACAAAATTTGGGGTCTGTTTTAGTAGGCTATATTTTGGATACCTTGCTACACTAGCGCCTAAAAGGGCGCTGCTACTTTAGCTAGATTGCTAGAGGCTTTTGTAGAGCTGTTGGGGAAAAATGAGAAAAGGGGGAGGTAAAAAATGAGAGGGAAAAGAAGAAGAAAAAAATGGAAAAGAAAGGAAAGAGAAGAGAAGAGAAGAAAGAAAAAAAGAAAGAAAGAAAGAAAGAAAGAAAGAAAGAAAGAGGAAGGAGAGGAAAGAAAGAAAAGGAGAAAAGGAAAAAAAGAAGAAAAAAGAGAAAAAGAAAGGAATGAAACGGGGGCTGAAAGAGAGGAGAGAAGGGGGAGGGATAAGAGCCTGAGAGAGAGAGAGAGAGAGGAGGGGTGGGAGTAAGAGAGAGGGGTTATTGGGTGGAGTCGTCTTGTCGAGGGAGCAAGAAAGAATCGCATAGATATGTTGCTGTGTCGGGTCAGCTGTGTTTGTATTCTCACTCGATCCGCGTGTAGTATATCAATCAATGCAGAAGTTTGAAACCTGTGAGATGTTTTGTCAGTAATCATTGGCCTCTATGCCCCCCCCCCCCCCCCCCCCCCACTGAAAAAGGTCTAACGATGCCCTTGTATGCCATATATTCACATTTGCCTAATTTTTTAGCTTGGCACTCAAGATAAATTTGGTCGATTGATACAGACATTTACAATAAATTGAAGGATTAGAGCCAACAAGGCCAAGGGACACGAAGGGTTTGTAACAATACATAATAGCCTGAAAAGAGGAAAGAAAAGAAACTTCTGTAATTTATTATTGTGTATGATATTGTATAGTTATTGTTGATAAACCATTATGCTGTGTTATGATAACTGACATGCTAAAGAATTGCAGGAACATATTAGTGATCTTAAATTTCATTCAAACAATATTTATATGAATTAAAATCAGGAAGTGAATAGCAAGAACAACATGACGATCGATTGTACATTTTTCTGTACAGAAATTGAGTGCATTTTTTTTTTGTATTAAGGTTCTCTTGGTGGCTGTATCAAGTCGCGACAATGGCTCAGACGGGGGTTCTCCTACTCACTGCTCCGTTAAATCATCTCCGTCAGCACATCCAAGTCATCCTCTCTAGTGCAGCTAAGAGCATACGACGGGTCCTCTATGTCCAGATCCAACCCGGCCTGGACCTGGCAAAGACTGGTTCTTGCTTGCCGTTCCCAGTGTCGAGTGAGCTTGCCAGCTTCATCACACAGGTGTACTCCTACTCTGGGAACTCTCACCATTCTCTAGATGTCAGGATTCTTCTGAGTAATATCACATGCAACTTGGCCATCCCTTCCACAGGTGAGTGATCTATACTGACATGTTCAATGAATAATATGATCCTTGTATCTGCTAATATATCAGTCCAAATAACAAAAATGTTGTGTTTCTGGTCCGGACTTTTATAACAAAAGGAGGAGGCAGGGCATTACTCTTTACTATTTTGCAATTTTTAGCTATTTTTTTCCAAGATGGCTGCCATGCTAATTATAGCTGGCTAAGCCTATTTATTCACAGATATTGTGCTATGTGAGTATACTGGTGCAAAGTATGACAAAACAAATGTTTTATATATCACAGGCTTTTTTAAAAATTTTAAATTGGCTTCTTTTTTTTTTGGGGGGGGGGGGGGGGACGAGAAACACTTCATTTTTGTTATTTGGCCTTGTAAGTTTGTGTCACAGTTTTTTTGAGGGAGGGCATATTGTTTGTGAGTCATAATTTTTGCTTCCCTAATTGATCCATTTTTTTCTCCAAATAAGCTCCTCTCTCCGCATACGCATACCTTTATAAGGGTAAATAAGGGTAGGTACATTCCTGTTGTTTGTTCATCTTTATTCAAGAAAGTATACATGTGTAGCGACAAATGTTACAGTGCATTCATTTATAATTCACTGGTATACATATTGTGTTTTTAATCCAAAATGGCCGCTTTAGAAGTCATTGAGAGTTCGAGGATTTGGTATTACGCCATGTCCTCAGAACTGGTTTTAACTCGATTTATTATATAACGATGTTTATTCATTAGTATTTTGATCACATGGCCAATTAACATAGATGTACGCGTATTTATTCATAAGTATTTAGATCACGTGCCTTATTAACATACATGTGCGCTTGTTTTGAACCAATCGCGCTGTAGTTGATTGGCGCTCTTCTGATTTTCCTGTGCGGGAATCAGTGAGCTGTTTTAATATTGGTATACACACATGCTGTTATTGTGTTGATATTTGTACCTAGAAAATTGTATCCAACGAGGATTGAACTGCTACGTCCCCGGACCATTCCCGGTGGACGTGCTCACCTATTTACTTCTTGTACGTTTTGCAAGATATATTTTGACTCTCTCGATGTTCAGCATTGACGACACTTTAATTCACCAGCAGTGAGAATAGAACATTTAATATGATCTAACGTTTTTCTCACCTGTATTATTGTTTGACAACCTTTTATCATCGACTTCATATGATATTGTCTCGACATTTGATTCTTCTACCTGCATCGCAAGTCACTGAAGTTGATCTATTGACATTGACTGCATCATCATTGTATTCATCTGTTTATACTGATTCATCATCATCGTCTTCATCATCGTTGTCTTCATCATCGTTGTCTTCATCATCGTTGTCTTCATCATCATCTGCACCATCATTGTCTTCATCACTGTAGACGTAGTCATCGTCTTCATGCATCATCGTTATCGTTCATCTAGCGTCGATCATCGTCTGCATTTTCTACGCGATCGACAACCAGCTCATCGACCACTGTTTTCGACTAGCTAGTTTCTACATCTACCTAGAACTTGAAGAAGATCTACTTTGAATTCAACTCCAATGACTCACGTAACGTTAATTATATTGTGATTTATGCTTTGCATTGTTTATCATTGTGAGGCCTTATTTTGACTGACTGAGTGCCTGTTGTTGAGTGCGTACGCTTACTAACACATATTTTACATGTTTATAATTGCACTAGTTCTAGGCCTATGCCTGGTCTACTGATCTAGATCTGCTATAGTCTAGATCCACCGATATATTGTTGTATTCTCGTGTTGTGCATTCCGTACACATACACAAGTAGAGATTTGTTTAGCGGTTTCTTGAACCACAATATTTCGTGCCTATGTAAGTAAATCTAAACGCTGTCTAGCTTAGATTTGAGTAGTATTTTCTTGACTGTTATTATTCATGCAGTGGGAATGATATTTAACTGACTTGTTTTAGTACTGTTTTAAGTTGTACTGAACAGCTAGACTCCTGATATTTCGAGACTTGTATTCAGCGGTAATCATTAATACCATAGTGACTAAGTTGAGTCTCCTTTACATTAATGTGCTGTTGGAAGTTATCTATGTTTGATTATTAATAGTAACTACCAAGGGCCTAGTGATAGTTTAATTGTCTGTCACTGTTGAGATAGACAGAAGAGGTTTCTGATAATTCTGTAATCATTGTATCTTATGTGAAATGATAGAATATAGAACCAGTTTTTAACCATAATCAATTTGTCTGGATGTGATCATTTATTAAGTGTTTTCTTGTCTGGAGGGATACTGCTTTTTAGTAGTTTAATTAAAAAAGGGAATTATGTGGGATTACTAGTTAACACGCAACATAGTCCATACCCCATGTAGTTTTCCAAACATGTAACATAATAATAAAGATGTGACATAAAACCCAGGACAGAGATTTGTATTACATTAAATGCATCTCATGCAGGGTTGAACAATTACAATACACAAAAACAAAACGGAAAAGAGAACATTATAACGTCAGTGTTTTAAATGAAAACATTAATAATTCCTAACAAAATAACGAAAACAAAAATAATTATTACTTTCTTAGTTAGCAATGCCTCATAATACATTTACATACCGTTCGAAGATCAAAGATTACAGTAATCTTGATCTAAGGAGACACGAACGAACGAACCACGGGAACCTATCTCCATAGAGAGAGAGAGAGAGAGAGAGAGTTGAAGAAGGGGAGAGAGCGAAAGAGAGAGAGAGAGAGAGAGAGAGAAGGGGAGAGAGAGAGAGAGAGAGAGAGAGGGAGAGATAGAGAGGGAGTTCCCGTTATAACAATTTATATACGTATCCTAATTTAAAGCAATTACACCGCCAAGTGTTGTAGTGATTCCAAGTGAGTTCAGATAGGCTGTAAAAAACAATATAAACCCACAGAATATACTTTTGAAATATTACTTTTCCCAATTACATAATTATGCCACACCTTACATTCAGGTACCGTCATCATATCTGTCAATATAGTAGCATGCGTAATCAAACCACGAGAACCTGTCCCCATAGAGAGAGGGGGAGATAGAGAGAGAGAGAGAGAGAGAGAGAGAGGGGAAGAGAGAGAAAGAAAGAAAGAGGGAAAGGAAGAGAGAGAGAGAAAGAGGGAGAGGGAGAGAAAGAGGCCTCGCTATTGCAAGTCATACAAAGTAGTTAAACCACTTACACTCCCAAGTGATATTGTGATTGCCAGGTGCGTTCCGACCGGCTGTAAAAAATAACATACGACCCAAACAGTACGGTTTTCAAGATTTCATTTCTCAGTTGTGGATACCTTAGTTTTTTTGAGGGAGGGCATATTGTTTGTGAGTCATAATTTTTGCTTCCCTAATTGATCCATTTTTTTCTCCAAATAACCTCCTCTCTCCGCATACGCATACCTTTATAAGGGTAAATAAGGGTAGGTACATTCCAAACATAAACATATCATATACATGTATTTACATAAAGCTGAGAAATAACACATTATGCAAAAAAGGGGAAAATTATATCTTGTGACATTGTCCAGGATTTGTTTGTGTGTGACACGTCTCATTTGTTCATATACAGTACCCAGCCGTCCCCAAATCTTGAGCTCCTCCCCTCAGCTGGTGATGACAGACAGTCTGCTGCCCTCAGATCAGATCCTAAGCCATCTCTCCCAGTGGATAGTCATCCAGCGGGAACCAAGGGTAGAGAAACTCTTTACCACACCTGCCACGGATGAAACAAGGTCTAACACAGCAGGATCAACTGCAGGACCTACAGCGTCTAAAGGAACAGAGTCAGCAGCAGCAACAGGATCAACGGCAGCAACGCAAGGTCAAGGAGACAGGGTCTTGAAGACATACAGACATGTTTGTCTCGGAGGGACCTTTGACAGGCTGCATGCAGGACACAAGATACTGCTGTCAGATTCAGCGTTGAGAGCAACGGAAAAGATCACAGTGGGTGTCACTGATGGCCCCATGCTTGAAAGTAAGTAATGTTTCTTTTTTTCGCAGTACTTGCGCATGTTTGATAAAGAGAACATTTTTTGCTGTCATAAATTATCACTTTACTTACCCATATACTGTGCTGTATGGTACTATGAACATTAGGAATATAATTTCATCGGCCAAATGCTAGAGAATAAATGACATTAGCGACAATGTGATGAAAATCAATTTAGATTTTTATCCAAGGATGAATGATGATTGAACACAAATTTAGCGCCATGGACATTTACAGAGAGATTATAGCGCCAAACAGTGACAAGAATAGAAGTGCAGTTGTGACATAAGATGGCATGCACTTCAGATCAACTTCATTACTTAAGGTTTATAAGGAAAGGCTCATCTTTATTATCCATTTAACAATGAAAATTCATTGTGTTACATGGTAATCAGGTAATCGGCAATGAGCAGCCTACATTTGAAATCCCTCTTGTAAGTTGTAGTAAAAAAAAAATAGCCTCTACTAGATAGTTAACTATTAATTGCCTTGAAAACGAGTGATTTTCTACTGATCGTAATATCATGAATCAAACTTTTAGCAGATTTCATCAAAAAGTAAAAGTTATTCACAAATGACACATCTTTGTTTTAATCTTAGATAAGACTTTGATGGAGCTGATCCTGCCTCTCGCAGAGCGCTTGGAAGGCGTCACTCAGTTCATCCAGGACGTAAAGCCCTGCCTCCTGCACAGCGAAGCAGTCGTACCCATCACTGATCCGTTTGGACCAAGTATTGTGGTTCCTGATATAGATTGCATCGTCGTCAGCGAGGAGACCAGGAAGGGAGGTGACAGCGTCAACAAGCGGAGGCTTGAAAAGGTAGGATTCTTCTCTGTATTTTCATCCTTGAAGTGAAATTGGTAAATTTCTGGAGTGTATCAAAAGGACTGTGTACAGTTTGCTTTATTGACTGCCCTAACCTTGCCCTTTTAGGTTTTGTTCTTTTGGGAATAATTTTATTTTTATCTGTGTAAAATTTGTCAACCAGAGCAACAATACGACCTATATAACGTTGTAGGTGGGGAGATGTATGCAGGCAGAAAGGCAAATGTTTTGTCTGATGTGGATTTAAACAAAAAAGAACAATTCTATATAGAATGATAGAATAGAGCTGTTTGTATAGAATCCAACAGATTACATAAAATACTGATAAGACAGAAAAGATATTCAACTGATATCATTTTCATACCTGGTGTATTTCAAATCAATAATTTGCTTGATCTTAGGATATAAATCCACACTCTCTTTTGAAAGCATTTTCCATGAGATGACTGAATGTTTACCTCATTTCATGTCTGCAATACAATGTTGTCTCGCCTTTCATTTCAGAATATGACGGAGCTTTCTGTCCATTCAATAGACATTGTACCTGATCAGAACCATGCTCAACATGAGGAAGCTAAAGTCAGTTCATCTTCCACAAGAGCTAGACTTCTGGGGAAGCTACTACAACCACCCAAGGTTTGTTATCTATCTTCTCATCTAATTCATCCATGATAAAAGAGCTATACCAGGCAAATATCATTATTATTTAAATATTCTGAAACCAATATGTATATTAAATACATTAAAGAATGATGATAATGCATTCATAAAATGCATTGCGTATATGTAAATAAATAATCATATGCATGTAGGCAAACATATAAAAAATTGTAAAACGTTAGTGTGATTCTTTTTATGTTCTATATGCATTGTAATTGCAAAATTATCGTACCTTGGAAACATAATTCCTGTGTATTAACATGGATCAAGAAAGATGAAACGAAATGAAATAGGATGGAGGAGATGAAGAGGAAGGAGGATTGAGAAGAGCGAATGAGAATTGAGAAGAGCGAATGAGAAGGAAGAGGGGGGGGGGGGGTGGGTAGGGTTAGGGAATGAGGAGGAGGGCGAGGTAAAATGCAAAGAGAAGGAGAGGAATGAAGAAGATGGGGAAAAATTAGAAAAACAGAAAGTAATGAGAAAAATTAAAATCAAGTAGAATGAGAAGAAATTTTTTTAAAAAGAGTATGCTATTCTGCTACTCCATCTACTGCCGACAGATAATGCCACATATCATATGTGACATTATCTATTGTGGCCATTTTACAGAGTAATTGAATATGATATGCAATTATTCTGTAAAATGGTGACTAACTGAAATGCCTAATGGGTTTACAGGTGCTAAATTGTAATTGACTCAGTGCCTCTAGCACAAATACTGTAGAAAGCAATATATGCAGGAATAAAAAAAGTGGCTTGGAGAAAAGTTAATCATCATTACTCAAAGAATAGCAAGAGCAATCTTTAATCCTATCCTTGTCACCTTGCAGATAGTAGGAGAGAAACCCACCCCTTACATCATCGGCCTGACAGGTGGAATAGCCAGCGGGAAGTCATCGGTATGTAGAAGGCTTGAAGGGTTAGGTGCTGCTATCATAGACTGTGATAAGCTAGGTCATAGGGCGTACGAACCGGGCACGCTGGCACATCAACAGATCATTGAAGAGTTTGGACAAGGTAAAACTTCTGCTTCTTCTTCCAAGGAAAGTGCTGCTTCAAGGCCTTGAAGATTGCGCAGATCCTTGCTTAGTCCCTTGCACCAGGCAGTTATTGAATTACATCAGGGTCTTTTTTCATCCTCTGTTTTTTATGTATTGTCTGGTACACATGGCAGCCATATATAGATATACAAAAAGAAATCGAAATTCAAATACTTTCGCTTCAAAATAGAGTGATTATTCATTTATCCAATGAAATCCATTTTATGCTTTATTTTATCATTGTGTCTTCTTGTGGATATTATATATATATATATATATATATATATATATATTTCATATTTATATTTTCATTTGATTCTTGTTCGTCTACTTTTATTTGTATCATATATGTGATCTATTGCTTTGTCATCATATCTCAGGGCAATATATGGTTCCAGATTTGTTCTTTTCATAGTTAGGTAGCGTAAAGCTGAATTATTTTCTTTTGGATTCATAAGATTTTTTTCTCTCTCTCTAAAACCAATTTTCAGATGTTCTTGGTGAAGATGAGAGGATAAACAGAGCAGTACTTGGACCCAAAGTGTTCTCTAATCCAGCCAGACTGCAGGCCCTGAACAAGATAGTCTGGCCCTCAATCCAAAGGCTGGCTCAATCCCAGATTGATGAATACACTACACAAGGTAAGAAGGGCTTAAGGTCGTACTAGGACCCAAAGTGTTCTCTAATCCAGCTAGACTGCAGGCCCTTAACAAGATAGTCTGGCCCTCAGTCCAAAGACTAGCTCAATCTCAGATTGATGACTACACTGTACAGGGTAAGAAGTGAGATTGAAACGAGTTCAAAACACCTGTGCAAGGCTCATCTGTGGGTGTTCCAAATTCACACTGATCACCCCAATTTTAAGAAATCTACATTGGTTACCAATACGCCAGAGAATAACATTCAAAATCTTGCTGATTGTATATAAAGCACTTCTCGGTCAAGCTCCCTCTTATATCAAAGAACAGTCGAATCTCAAACTTAATCAACACAATCACAACTTGTGCAGTTCCTGAGATACTTTGTTGCTGCAGATTCCATGATCTATCAAAACAAAAATAACATTTGGTGATCGAGCATTTGCTTGTGCAGCCCCAAAACTCTGGAATAACTTTCCATTTGAAGTCAGGTAATCACCATTTGTGAATATCTGTAAATAAAACTGAAAATACATCTTTTCAATTAACTGCAAATCTAAGCTTATCAGGAGCTCTTGTAGTGCAGTAGAATATATACTTAAAGGTAATACAAAGTTTTGGTATGGGGTCATGAATTTGGTTCAAATCAACATATTTTAAGCTTATGCAATCCTACAATATTCAGTGATCGTTGTCGCAGTTGAAATCGAGTCTAAAGTAATGAAATTTTAATTAATAAACTCTTTATGTTGTATAGCTCCCTCTCAAGGTCAAGATATTAATTAAGCTATAAAACAATGTTTCTTGACTAAAATCGACCGATTAGCTATTCCCGTTTGGAAAGGATATATCACAACTACATATACTGAGAGTTTCATGGTCGCAGCTACCATTGTACGGCCAAAGGCGCTATTTGAAATTTATCAAAATTTACCGGGAGCACCGGTAAATTTTTATATTCAATTGTTCGCGAAAATAGAAGTGTTTTAGGGGCTAAATTTTCTAGTGCTAAAATACATCCGCAGGGGCATCCAAATATATCAAAATTGTAAAGAATCACTATTCACCAAATTTTCAAAATTTCCCAAAACTTTGTATTACCTTTAATGTTTCTGCGCTCTATAAATGTATTATTATCATTATAAGCCCTTCCACTTGTACGACCTTTGCTTTGGTGACAATTGCTCTGCGGTCGAAATGCTATACTAACTGATTTCTTAACTTTGACCCTAGACCATAACCCTAACCCATTACCCCAAACCTAACCAGAACCAAACCAGAACCCATCGGCAACTCTTACCCTATAATTCTTGACAAAATAAAGCCTGGAGTTGCTGGAGCATATGTCACAGCACCCTCGTTTTTGTTTGACTGGATTGCCTTGAGAATCTTATTTTCATATAACTCTGATGGGAAATGAAGCCCTAGACTGTCAAATAGGTCCTGTTCATAGTGTTCCGTAGACACTGCATGTGTGACAAAGTCGACTAAAGCAGTTTCTTTTATGTTCAGAATGTGGACCATCGAAATCAAGAGCAGAAGGACCTACACATATTTATCAATAATGGATCATATGATACAGAATCAGCCAAAAATATCTCATGGACACCTAGGTACCCTAGAAAAATGGTTTGGAAGATAAATGTTAGCTTGTCAGCTATTTTTGTCTATACACATGCGGCAAAAGTACAGTGAGAGACCAAATATGCAAAATTTATTTCCTGTAATAGTTTGCAAAGATTTAAGATGTGTTCATGCAGTAAATGTTATTTCATAAGATTGTAGTACATTCATATTTTGATAATGCATTGATTTGAGGGCCTGTGTGAAGGAGAGTCACTTTCCATTGACATAACAAGAGTTAACCCTTACTGTACTGGGGGGGGGGGGGGGCCTGGGAGGCCCCCCCCCCTCGACATTTTCAGAGATCGCGCCGCAACCGCTCAAAATTTTGAATTGTCGTTTCATGACTTTTTTCCCTCAAGTCTTACGCACATTTTGATACCATTTTCGTCAAAATCGGATATACCTGTAAGGTGTTACATAACAATTAGTATGCGCATGTCATCAAAAAAGTGCTATAATTGCATATATTCATGTACAAGCAGAAATGTGAAGATATGAATTGATATCAAATTGCTTTTATATGTTTCTCAAAGTAACTTGATGTATTTCAGAACAAAAGAATACATTAGATATAAAACAATAGATATAACTAGAAATTTAATTCGTCACGAAGACGAATAAGGTGGTCTGTCTATGTCTTATGATAGATTTGAGAATGGGAGAAGTTATATAGACATGTAAACAATGATGATCATCATGATGATCATGATGATGATGATCTTGGTAGTAATGGTGATGACGATGATGATTATCATGATGATTATGATGATGTTGATGATTATCATCAACAGACTACGATGACAGACTGAAAAAAATGAGAGAACATTTAGATAGTATATAGTCTCAGCTACAACATACTCAAAAATCAACAAAAATCAAGCCGAAATAACGGCGATATTGCTCGCAAAAGACAAGAATGTAGAATCCAGATTTGAGGAAAAAGTCATCTTCCATAAGGATTACATGCAAAAAGTAATGGATCTAGTGATAATAGGGTAATAATAAAGTAAATATGGTTGTTTATTACATTATTTGCGATTGTACGTGTTTTAATATTCAAAGGAGATGGAAGAGTGAAAGGTCAAAAAGAAAAAAAAGTGAAGAAAAAAAATTGTTGGAGACGCCCGGACTCGAACCAGGGACCTCGAGGTCGGAAGTCAAGTGCGTTACCGATATACCAAAACATTTCCCTTAGAGATTACACGTAAACGTAAAATGGAATTATCAAATCCCACTTTGTAAGTGAAATATATGAGCATGATCCCGGCATCTGATCGAAAAATAAAAGGCGCACTTGCGATAGCTTATTTTCTCAGCTACAACATACTCAACGCTCAGCGTAAACAAAGATAAAACGACGGAGATATGGGTCTGATTGTGACGTCACAATAGAGTTTGTGTATGGTGCGCATTTTGTTATACGCGTAATATACATTGTCATTGTCACCAGCAGCTGGTGCGCGATGTTATTTACAACTGGCTCGATTATTTCTCACGAGTTTGACACGCAAAAAATTGTGGGGTCAACTTGCATCCTAAAGAGCTATAATGTATTTTGTATAGGCATGTTTTGACCATATATGCTATGTATTATAAGACCTCGCACGCACAGACATTTACCTTAAACGGACGGTCATTTCCTTATTAATGGTCATAATGAGAAAAACATGGTATCGAATTGATCGGAAAAAAATGGGAAATACTATGATAGACAAAAAATGACCATTTAAGGTTGCGTTCGACCATTACGAACAAAAACGTGCGCGCAAATTTATGCGCGCGGAAAGGTGTGCGCACGCAAAATTCTCGAAATGCTTGAAATGGCCTAAAACGTACTCTAATTTGATCAAAAAGTGATTATGAGCATTTTTTGTTTTTGCGCGCACCGACACGCGGACGGACACGTACGCGCGCGTTTATTTACCTAAGTTGACTGGACGGATATTGACCATAATCGTTATAAATATGAATGAGAAATGATTTACGGTTATAAAGATATGATCATGAGTTGATTCTCAGAGCACTTCACAAAATGGCGCCTAGATGACGTCATGATATTTTGATGAACTTGAAAATGTTCCTGTCACGTCTTAAGATGATGACCTATGACTGTATTAAATTTGAAAGAAATTGGACGGTTCAATTTTGAGTAATCGTGCACACAAAAAAGTGGTCACAAATTTATTTTAATTGAATTGTGTTTTTGTACAAATTCAATTAAAATACTAGAATTTAATTCGTCACGAAGACGAATAAGGTGGTCTGTCTATGTCTTATGATAGATTTGAGAATGGGAGAAGTTATATAGACATGTAAACAATGATGATCATGATGAACATGGTGATGATCATGATAGTAAAGGTGATGATGATGATGATGATAATGATAATGTTATATGACGATAAAAACGATAATGTTAATGATGATGATGAGCATAAGCATGATCCTGACAACTGATTAAAAAAATGAGAAAATATTTAGATAGCAAATAGTCTCAGCTACAACATACTAAAATTTGGGAGAAAACTGTTGAATAACAACCGAGATACTGGTCAAAACACCTTGTCATGCAGATTCATGTTTTGAAAAAAGTGACCTCCCATAGACATAACACGCAAATATAACAAATTATGCATTGTCGTCTTTAATCGAATATTAAAGTATGATGACGTCATTTAAATAAAAAATAAAAGAATATTTGTGATAGAGAATTATCTCAGCTACAACATATCAAAATCTGGAAGAAAATCGATCACCGATAAGTGAGATAATCTCAATTAAACAAAGACAAAAATGACGTCATCAACAAAATACATTTTTTGGAGTTTAGATGCCAATATTAAGACTTTGTTTCACTTTGTACGAGTCAGGGTGGTATGAAATCATATCTCCAACTCATGCTTTTTCCAACCATGATATACAAATTGGGGGTCAATGGAATATCTGAAGAGCTATTTCGATTTTTAAAATGGGATGTTTTTGCCCATATATGCTATGTATTACAAGAGCTCGCACGCACGGACATGTATCTTAACGGATGCTCATTCCGTTATTAATGGGCAGAAAAAGGTGAACAAGGTATCAAAATGCTTGGAAAAATGATTCAATTATGATGACTGAAAAAAATTGGCAATTTTATGTTGCTAAATGCCAGTACGCACAAAAATGCGCGCGCATGCGCGTGTGCGCGTTTTTGCTTAAAATGCTTAAAATGGCCTGAAACGTATGCAAAATTAATTTGAGACGATTTAAAGCATTTTTATTTTTTGCACGCGCGCTAACGCGCGGACGTACGCATGCGCGCGCGTTTTCTGACCTGAAACTGACCGGACGAATATTGACCCTAATCATGATAAATATAAATGAGAAATGCCTTTCCGTTATGAAGATATGATCATGAGTAAAAAGTACCCCAAAAAACACAAAATGGCGCCTGGATGACGTCATGAAGACTTGATGACCTTGAAAATGTTCCTGTCACGTCTTATGACAATGACCTATGACTGTGCCAAAATTGAACGAAATTGACTAAACTGATCGTGAGTTATCGTCGGAACAAAAAAGTGGGAACAATAAATAAAAATAAAGAATAATAATAAAGAAGAAAGAAAATTCTGACGAAAACAATAGGTGATCTGTCGTTGACAGACCACCTAATAAGAAAAAAAAATCAATAAAATACATAAGAAAATAAATAGTTGAAAATTGCATCAAATTTGCATAAATTATCATTATTAATTACATCAACTAACTATTTTGTGTTAAAACAGAAGTTTCATATGAATAATGAGTTTCAACATTAAAATAGTGGAGTCTGACAATTTTTGTAATGATTCTAGTTCCCTGTATATATTACCAGATTTGATATTCATGAATGCGTATTCATAATTTATGCAAATTAACCTATGCATTTTCAAATATCATAAAAATAATGAAACCTCATGAATTTGAGATGAAGGAAACATTTATTCAATACATTTGCAAGATTCTTCACAAGTCTACGGACAAATATGTAGAGTTTTCTGTAAAATGCATAAAATTAGCATTTTGCATAATTAATTAGGCTATAACGACAAAAATTTGCATATTAGGAAAAAACTAATTATACCATCTTGTTCCTTATGTAAATATCTACAAACGTGCAAATTTTCGCGCTCATTGGACATTTGACGGCCGAGATCATAGGGGGGGGGGGCCTCCCAGGACCCCCCCAGTCAGAGAGTGCTCAAAATAGCCCAGTACAGTAAGGGTTAAGGTATCTGGAAACCAACAAAAATATCAGTCGGATTCGGATTCATTTTAGTTTCTATACACACAGTCATGTCCCTTTCCATGGAAAGCATAACAGATACAGTGTGGATAATATGGTTAGAATTGGGTTTCAATATTTGTTTATATCTTACTGCAGGTAAAACAATCTGCATTCTAGATGCTGCAGTTCTATTAGAAGCTAACTGGGATCAGTTCACCCATGAAGTATGGACATGCATTATTCCAAAGAAAGAGGTATAGTTTTCACACAATATCTCAATGTGTATTCAGAGAGAGGGAAAGGGAGAGAGAGAGAGAGAGAGAGAGAAAGAGAGACAGAGAGAGAGAGAGAGACCCAGAGAGACGGAGACAGAAAGAGATAAAGAGAGAGAATGAAAGAAAGGGAGAGAGAAAGAGAAAGAAAGAGAGAAAGCAAGTGAGAGGTTCATTTTACTATGTCTACAGGGGTCATAACTCAGATTATAATACCTTCAGGTAATTCAGAATACCGGTAGGCGAGGTCATGAATGTGCTTGTAATAATTCTTTCTTGATGCATTAACTTTTGTTGGTCAAAGACCAAATCAGCTGCCGAAATAACATTTAGTCTAGCTGAGCTTGTCATTTCTATCAGTAAAAATTATCTTGAGTTCTGTAAATGGAAATACATGTCAAGATTTTATTTCTGTATTGTTGCTATGTCTGGCAGGCAGTACAGCGCATCATGGAGAGAGACGGATTAGTAGAGGAGAGAGCTCTACAGAGGATTGAATCCCAGATGACCAACGAGGAGAGGGTTGCTAGGAGTAATGTGGTTCTATGTACTAAATGGGAACCAGAAATCACACAGAAACAGGTATGCTGACCAGCTAGTAATACAACAACAGTTACTCCTTCAAGAACTGCTTTGCTTATAATCTCCTACCCTTACTGTATTCCTAACTTTAACCCAGGACCCAGCACTAAACCTCACTTAAACCTTATTGCAACCCTAACACTAACCCTATAATTTTGATGTGATAACGCCCGGCTGGAATGTTCCCCAGGGAGTGGAGATTGTGCACACATTGTGTGCGGCCAAGCACTGACATACCTGCCAACCACCCCGATTTAGGCGGAGTTTCTCCGCATTTTTCATACCAACTCCGAATTCCGAGTGCATGCCTCAAAACTCCGATTTTTTTTAATTTTAATTTTTTTTTTTTTTTTTTTTTTTTTTAAATAATTTTTTTAAAATTAATATGTTATGTGTGCGTCCGCCATTTTCAATGGAAAAATGTCCATTCTGTCCTGTAAAGTATCCTACAAGCATCTCACATCAGCAATTTGGGGATGTTTATTCATACCTGCGTACAGCCCACGTGTATTTATATTACATGTGCAGTTGATACGCCGTGCATAAACACTGTATACATTGGCGTGTTTTCTTCAATGCTTGTGCGATGACTGCGATAGTGGAAGCTTGTTATTTACCGGACTTCCTCGGATTTATTTTGGATTACTACTACTATATACCTTTGCAAAATAGGGCTCCTAAATGAGGTGGGTAGTGAAACATGTAGTTTTGTGAGTGTTCACATTTCAAAAATTGTTTATGTGTGGGGCGAAAAGGTTGAAGGAAAAGGCCCATTTGCACCATTAAAATGGAGAGAAAAAAAAATAGACCCTAAAGTCCTGTGTACCCCCCCCCCCCCCCCCCCAATCTACGGGCTACTACCCCAATCCTTCGGTGGTTCGCGACCTCGTAGTCCATCCAGAAAAATTTACTCCTAATTTCTCTTGTCTCAGGTTGGCAGGTATGCACTGAATCCAATGACCGGAGTAATAGTATATTTGTAAAGCGCTTAGAGACATTTGTATTAAGCGTTATATAAAAATTGAATATTATTGTTATTATTATTATTATTATCACAATCATTAGCAATGGTCGCTGGAGCAATTTTCAGAGCACCTGGGGAGTGTTTTACAAAGACTCTGATCAACTTTAAGTTGGACTCATGCCACTGTTTGCTCTCACCATTATGATCTTTAGATAATATTTTTTCCTTAATAATGAATTATCAAATAAATGTAAATTCTATAAATTTGTGACCATGATTCGTATGGCACTTGGAGAGACCAATGCCAGTAAATGGTAAGAGCAAACAGTGGCATGAACAGCCTGCCGTACTTAAGTCCAACTTAAAGTCAATCTTAGTCTTTGTGAAACACTCCCCAGATCTCCTATATACTGAGAATGGTTTGATGTAGGTTTTAGTCTTTTATCATCTGTTGAGAACCAGAAGGGCATTATTAAATTTGTATCGCTTAAAGGCCCACTGCACTACTTGTAGCTACTTGCGCCCTCTATATAACAAACAATGCCTAATCGGTGACCATTGGTCTCCCATGATCCTCTTTTTCTTATGTTAACTGAAAGCTGAGTTGATGAGATAACCACCTGTCCAGTGACCTTGCAGGCCGGTGTAATCCCTCCTGTAAACTATGGCAGATAAGCTTTAACATTGAGGTATTCCATGATTCTGTAAGGTGGGGGTAGAGCACAATAAAAAAAAATATCTGAAGAGCCCAATAAAATTATTATTTTGTACATAAGGATTGCCAGATTAGGGGGAGGGGGGGGCACATATATGTTTGTTATGATAAAAACACCATGCATTCTCTGTCTCTACTACACCCAATCTTTATGTTGTTCAAAGCCAAGATATAATTGTAAGGCTATGATTGTTCTTTCAGGTTGAGAAGGCGTGGTCTGGTCTCCAGGGGCGTCTCCAGAACATTGGTAAACCTGAACAACCCAAGCTATGAAAGGAGACTGTTATCCAGCACCTGCAGTCTGATCTAAGTTGAGATGATGGAAAGTTCTACAAAGTGATTATTCAGATAAGACTGAATCTGTAATGTCTCAAAACCAAAGATGCTGAGGGCCAGAAGGGCATTAATTCACTTGAATTTAGGTAGGATCAAACTTTAAAGATAAAGTTGAGTTCTGGTCATGCGATTGCATTGTGAAAGAAACGTTGTTGAATCGATCAGAAAGGGTTGATCATCTAGCATATAAGTATTGGTGTGTACTGCAAGGTTCTGGAATCATCAAAATGATAAGAAATTTGGCCCAATCTTGGTAAAGTTACAAGCACTGTACACAGAAAGATGTATATGGGACTACACGAACATGCGGTGTAAAAAGCCATGCTTTTCAGAGAACATGTTTTATCTGATGTTCTTCCACACTTGTATAATACAATGATTAATGCTAATAAATTATTTGTCACCTCTTCCCAGAACTCAACCTTCTCTTTAAGTTCAGTACTCCTCATGCAAATACATTTTAAATGAAACTGTCTGGAAGTCATTTGGAAAAGGTTGATTATATAGTGCATAAGAATTGATGTATACTGTTAGGAATGATCAAAATGACGTTCGTGCAATCTTGCTGAAAATCCCATGCTCCGCACACAGAAATGGATGAGTTGGGACTACACATTCATGTGGCATGGGAATTTGGTCGAAACCCTTTTTAAAAAATCTATTCCTTGTCATATTTCAAATATGAGAGGATAGGAAGGGTAATCCTTTGTAGGGGATGTTTGTTTAGGATGTTCTTCCAACTGATGTACAGATAACGAGAAAGCTCACAAATTATTTTTCATCTGACATCAGAATTCACCCTTCTCTGTAACACCCTACTACCTCTCAGCAGATTATCTATCATTTGGTTTCTCATATGACAAATCATTCACCTTTGACAAAAATGAAAAGGCCATCATGTTGTCTGCTAGTCCCAGATAGGTATAACTGTGTTTGTGATTATTGATGAATATGATTTTTTTTTTCTGCAATATTTTCTAATCTAGTTATAATTTTACTTATCCTGATTGCCAGACCCATTGAGGATTTCCCATCTGCTCTTGGTACATTTTCTGTAGAATTTTGTTTTCTCAAAAAGAAACTGCACTGCCAGTACTCTAAATGAATGTGTAAATATGTTGAAATTATTATATGGTGCTTTTAAAAAATTCATGCAAATTTTATAGAGCTGCATTTAGAACAAATGCAATAAGTTCTGGATACCGGTAATGAGTATGATCGGGAATATAATCAGTGCACTCTTACGGTAAACGCATTGACATGTATGAAAATGACATATGTTGTAGGTATAATGGTTGGTGTTTTATTTTACTGTTATATTGATTGAATTAGAAATGTATATTTATGGTGATGGAAAATAGTATTTTACTGTGATGTGCCTTAACTGTTGTATGACATTCAAATTACATACATTAGTCGCTGCTATGTAGGGGTGCCCTACTTCACAACATGTGATATATATGCAGTTTGCATTTTGAATATTGAAACACAATTATCTGTTACAGGTGAATGAAATAATTAGAATCGAGGCACTTAAGTATGAATTTGGTTACGTTACGAAATTGGCCTATTGCTATGCTGTCATCCTACAATAAACTAATGCTCAACTTTAACCTTGGATTAAACACCATACTTACCTGTAAGCCTGTATTTTTTATGAACCAAAGCCCTGAGCATTCTTAGCTGGAGCATATGTCAGAGCAATCCCTTAACTCATATTAAGATTTTGAAGAATTTCAGCTGCATTTCAGTGGCGAAAAAAAAAAAAAATCACAATTTGTATGAACAAAAATGATTTCGAACTTCTCACTATACACACATTGCCAATTAAATGGAATTTCATACTGATTTTAAGTTTAAAATCACTGGTATCAACCCTCATTGTAACACAAAAAAAGTAGACACAGGGTATGTAGAAACTTCTGGTTTGTCTTCTCATGCCCTTGATATTTTTCTTTAGGGTTGTAAATCAGAAGATTTGTTGTCAATACACAAAATGTAAGCAATTGCTCTGATTGTGTTGAGACTGGTGGAAGTAATTATTGTATATTCAATGATGCAATGATATTAATGTTGTCTGTTATGGATGGAGAGATGAATTAATTAGGGCCAAGCTGACAAGTCAGTTATACTCTAGTACTGGTGGTGGTTGTTTGTACTTTGTTATTTTTGTATTGTTATCCATAAATAATCACTATTAGAAAGTGTTACATACTGATACCTGCAAATTGATTTGTTTTTTATTCAAAATGACCTGTGCAAGATTGCAAATATCTGGACCCTATTTCATAAGCTTGTTATCAATACCTGTTATAAGTTACTGAAATGGTGGCATTTGATTGGCTGAGAGCAAATTTGTCATAGATATTTAGCATTTGTTATAGATAACAAGTTTTATGGAACAGGGCCCTGATGCACAGTGGAATGCGTTTTTTTAAACAAACAAAGCAATGAAAAGCTGTCAATAGAATAATTATTATCGTACCTAATACCTATGCATTCCTAATAATTTACGTACTTGTAGTCTGTTAGTGTTGGGAATTGTTCAACTTCGTACTACACTGTACTGTATGTCAGGCAAATATGCTATACATCTCCAACTATTTTTCGCTCCTTCACTTTGTCTTAAGAATACAAAGTTCTCTTCTCATTCTTTGCATTTACCCCCATTACCAAGTCCCTCAGAGAGGACTTACTGCCATTGGTCCCCTGGTTACTTACTTAAATGTATACATGCTTTCTTAGCAGTCGGGTAAAACAATCATCATCATCGTCATCTTTATTCTACATTTCGTATTTTGTCCTCTGTGAGAACAAAATGCATCTTTTATGAAATTCAGGTTTTTTTCTTTTAAGACAGCACAAGTATCGCCGCAGCACAATGTAATTCATTGCCTTTCATTTTATCTGTCATGATATTGATAATGGTTTTTCAAAAAAATGTGCAATATGATTTCAACAACTTGATAATCCATATCAGATGTAATCTGCTTCAAACAAGGTAAAGTTTCACCTTTATGTTTCCTGCTGGTCTATTTTTATTTGTGTTGATGAACACTGAGAGAATACCAAATTCAGCCCACATTGTATAGTACTTCATGTCTCTGATTTGTCAGTATTATACAGAGTTAGAAAACAGTAATCAATATATTGTTATCAAATCGACATGGCTAAATATATTTACCTTTAACTTTGTCATTGTAGAAGGGACATTATAATAAAATAAATGTGAATCTTGGTGTCATTCAAGGCCTGGTACCAACATTATTGTAGTATTCATAAATTTTGAATTTTTGTAAAAGTTTGAATTTTGTTCTCAAAGAACAAAGTTAAATTCATGTAATTTGATATTGCATTTTTATTAGATAAAAATTATTGTGTTAAAATGATTAAATAAAATATATATATATATAATACTGTTTTATATGTTTGTGTTTGTGTACTTTCTCGATTTTCTCTTTACCCTTTCCTCTGCATATTTAATTAATTTAGTACCTGTACTTAAACATAAACATAAACATAAACATATAGACAAACTAATAGTTCAATCACGTTTTTATGTTTATTCTCAAACATTTTCTCTCAAGCCACATACATTTAATTAACTCAAGGAAAATTATTTTCATGTTACGATACAGCCTGCTCGTCATACAGTTTTTTTCAATCTTGAAAAATCTTATGTATTGTTTGTAAAAAAGAACACATCCATCAAGTCACTTTAGCCTAGCGTTTTTATTTGCAGTTATGTGATACTGAAACAGAATTGGACAAATATATCATCATACTCAATCTCAGTAGGAAGTGCCTTGCTGTCTAGCCGATTGTTTTACCCAAGAGAGAGCATTCTTGATCGCAGATAAGTTTATTTTGGGGAAAATGTGCTTTCATTATTCAAAGCTCCGTCTCACTTTGAAAAACCATCGATAATTTGTTTTACAATAATTTGACGATGACAGTCTTGGATTATGACAACTATAAATAATAATATTGTCATAACAGAAGAAAAATAAAATAAAGTACTAGGAATTGTTATCAATTCGAGATGAAAGTTATTTTTTACATCGTCGTCTAGTATCTCATCTAGAATCTTGATTCATTACGGCCAAGTCTGCCACTGAAGTTATTTGTTTAAATAATCGTCATCTGGAGAGTCTTGATGGGCATTGAGCTAAATTATTCGTCGTAAAATTTGGCATGTGCGTTTACTCTTTAAATTGAGCTTTTCAATCACGTTTAACAATATCATATTTTTAATCGAATCATTACCATCCCGTATGTATTTGAGTAATCTTTAGATCATCCTTTTTTTCCCTTGAGAGTTCTTGGATGCATCATGCTCTATCCTCTCACTTAAAAGAAATGAAGTGTTATCCATTTTGTAAATATAAAACTTTGTATCATTGTCATGTTTCCTTTCATGGAGAGGATATTTTTTTTTGATCCTTCTTATCCTGGTGTCACTGAGAATGTTTTTAATGATGGGTGCCGAGATCGGTCTCCGTGCCGTACTCCGGTAGATTAGTTCCCCGATGACGATAAAAACCTTTCATGACATGCTCGATGCGGGCGTGCTCGCGTGTCGTCTTCTCTAACGGAGGGCGATGACCGTAGGCTGATGAGGAAAGAGCTGGGACGGCTTTGGACGATTCCTAAGAAAAAGGATTAGATGAAGATAGTTGTCGGTTTTATATCAGTTGACAAAGATTAATGATATTATTGATATGTTGGGAAAGAATAAATGAATGCAATCTTAACTTTGGTCATCATTGACCGACGGCAATCATCTTCATTAAATGGTAGACCGGCTGGCCTAAGCATGTCATTAATAAGATCATAACCAATGTCATCTTTATTGTTGTGGGTAGAAACACAATAATCGTAATCCTCATTATCGACATCATTGTCAACATCACCTTTAATCATTAATGTTGTCATCATCATTACTACCATCAACATCATAATCATCATCATCATCATCATCATCACCACCACCATCAACACTATCATCATCATCATCACCACCACCACTATCATCATCACCACGAACACTACCGTCCTCATCGCCGTCATCGTCAGTTCGTCACCATCACTACCTTGCAACCTTTATCATCACCATCTTCATCATCGTAACCACCACCACCATCACCACTACCATCATCACCACTTACCTCCTCATAA